CAAGGAAAGTTGCTATCAGGAATGCCAGCCTCAATGCTGGCTAATGAGGCAGGTGCGGTTTTGATCCGGGGCCAGTGTCAAATAAAGAAGAGACACCTGTTAAAGCCAGTTGAGGAGAGACCAGAAACCTCCCAATGTCCCATAGTTGAAAATGTAAAATGCTTGTTCAAATCTCCCGGGCAAGAATCTGTAAGTAAGTCTGGTAAAAAAAAACAACTTAGAAGTTGACTCTCAAACCTAAAAAGAACTATGGGAAATGAAATCCAAAAGCTAGCTTGCAATAAGGGACTGATATAAGGGAAATACATTCTGGGAAATGTATTTCAGCTAAAGATGGTGATACTGTCCAAAAACTTTTCAGCTCAGAATGAAGTTTCTTTTCAAAGCAATGCTAGAAAGCTTAATCTTACCTCTTGAGAACTCAGACAAAAAGCTACCTATAAGAGCAAACAAGCCACTTTAAAATCCTTAAAACGAGGGAAAGCAGTTTATACACTGAACGTTGTCTTAGATATAAAGAAACTTATGTTGAAATTTAAGTTCTTTGCCTTGAACGAACAGCCTGCAATGAGTGATTCCTTTGCAAATCTAATAAGGAGACAAGGAAACAGGCATTCAAAAAAATGACTGCTTTATAGATGGGAAACAAACTTCAGAAAATCTAGCTGTCTTTCAAAAGAGTTGCTTCACCTGAAAGTTCCTTATAAGAAATCAATCCTAAATATCACAGCTGCTAATAATATCAGGAGTTAAAGTTAAGGAAGTGAAAATACTAAATCCTAAAAATGCTTTTTCTCAAAGTAAACTAATGAAGGAAATGTTTCATGAAAGAACATCTATTCTTGACTCCTTTGAATAGTAACAGTTTTGGTGAAAATATTGGAACTTAACAATCAAGTAAAAATGTTTCAACAAATTCAAGACGCTATTCACAAAAGAAAGCTGCCATGCTTTGTGGGCCATATTAGAGCTCACTCCAATCTTCCTGGTCCTTTAGCTGAGGGTAATGCAATGGCTGATAAGCTAACAAAGATAGTAGCATTATCCCAAGTGGAAATGGCTCAACAATCACATGCTCTTCATCAAAACAGCAAAAGCTTAAAGCAATTCAATCTTACCAAAGAAGCAGCTCGTCAAATAGTTAAATGATGTGGGGGTATGTCCAAAATATTTTTCTGTCTCTCACTTAGGGATAAACCCGCGAGGTCTTCTTCCCAATCATCGGCAAATGGATGTTACTCATATTGCAGAATTTGACAAATTAAAATATGTACATGTGACCATTGACACTTATGCAGGATTTTTAATGGCTAGTGTACAACCTGGGGAAGCTACAAAACATGTAATTATGCACTGCTTGAAGTGTTTTTCGTATACGGGTATACCAAAAATTATTAAAACTGATAATGGTTCTGGATATAGTAGTAAGGCATTGCAACAATTTTGTACCCAGTGGGAAATTGTACATAAAACAGGTATTCCTTATAATCCTCAGGGACAAGGTATTGTAGAAAGGGCTCATAGTCTTAAAGTACAACTTCAAAAAATAAAAATAAAAAAAGGAAGAAATTTACCCTCGATCTCCACATAATGCATTAAATCATGCTCTTTTTGAATATGGATGTCTGTGAGCAGTCTGCCACATATAAGATTTTGGCACAGTGGCATCCAAGCGACTTTTGCTTAAGTAAAATGGAAAGATCACAGGGTTCCGATCCTGTGTTAATATGGGGTCAAGGACATGTTTGTGTTTTTTCACAAGAGGAGAATGAAGCTTGGTGGTTACCGGAGTGTCTGGTAAGGAGCGTGGAACTAAGGAAGGTCAGCTCCAATGACGTTCCTATAAAGGAACCAGAATGAAAGTGGCTCGATCAGTGTTTCTGAGGTTTTGTCACTGGTTAATGCAAGCAGTGAGGAAATAGAGTTCAGAGCTGTGCCGCTTTTGGCTTTACTAGCTCCTTTAGAAAAATACTTTATATCATCTAATAGCTGTGCAGTATTTGGTGAAGAGCTTTACAGCAGCTAAATACGGTAATTTCACCCTCAGCGTGAAGTGAAGTTTTTCGGTAGAACAGACCAAAAATACTGCTGTAATAGAAACGTTTGTCTGAACTGAAGCACTTAGGGGAGCTATTATGAATCTGGGTGAAGGGACAGCCTCTAGTTAAAAACCGTTTACTGCTGACAGTGCATCTCTGCTGGTCTGGAACGGCTGAGAGAACTGGCAACTTTGGAGTGTGGCTTCGTCCTGGGAATGTTACAGTCCCTTAGCAACAAGTACCACAATTCTATAACGACAACACTCACTAAATCCCAGTGTTGTTATAGCAAAGCTGACTGTAAACTCTAAACTTTAGAAATGATTTACGTACTTCCTGTCTAGTTAAGAGAATCTTTCTAATAGAGATAGTGATAATAATTAAGAATAAAAAGTAGAAAAAGATGAAAATAAGATGTGAGTTTGTAGAAATTATTCTGTCTTGTTAGATCTGTGTTAAGAAATCTTTAGATGTTTGCTAAGTTAAATATATGCTAATGGTAGCCCTATATAAGTTTGTAAAATAGATCCATAGAGTTCCTTTAGGAATATAAGCTTGCAAGAAGTATCTAAGGTAGTCTTAAGACATGTAGTAATAGAGGGCTGGAGAGATGGCTCAGAGGTTAAGAGCACTGGCTGCTTTGCCAGAAGTCCTGAGTTCAATTCCCAGCAACCACATGGTGGCTCACAACCATCTGTAATGAGATCTGGCACCCTCTCCTGGCCTGCAGGAATACATGCAGACAGGAAATTGTATACATAAGAAATAAATAAATAAATCTTAAGACATGTAGTAATAAGCTTGTAAGAAAGATACTAGTTGTAAATATAAGTTTAAATAAGAAAAGTATATAAATAAGTAGATGTTAATGTTATATATGAGTTTGTAAAAATGTGTAAATGTTGAGTGTGAGTTTATGCTTAAGCACGTTATATGTAAAAAGTGTAAATATTGAGTGTGAATCTATGTTTAATGTATATGGTGAAAGAATCTGAGACACAGAAGGTAGTGTCCTAGTAGACCGCAAAGCAGGCAGTCTGAATGGTTTCAAAAGCTCCAGAAGCCGCTGAGAAGCTAAGAATGGTGGACGCCAGAACAAGGCATCCGCAGCTGAGATCCGTGGAAAATCAACACAACACAGAAAAACCTGAGCTAACATCAAAAACGGTTTGGTTTAGAATACTACTGTACCTAGAAAGGTCTCTGTCTGTGAGAACAAGTTGCAGAGACGCTTGTTTGAACTAAAATTGTTAACTGCAAAAAGTTTTGGTTGTAAAATGTCTCTTCATATTTGGAAGCGAAAGCCTGATACCACAATTTACTTTTTTTTTGAACTTTTTGAACTTAAAATAATGAGAACTATGAAAAGACTTGATACGGATTTCTTCATATTTGGAAGGCTCGTACCAGAATTTATTTGAATTTTGGGACTTAATGAACTGAACAACAGATATCATTGCAATGGGACAATTTTGAGTTTACTTATAGTAATGATCGAGGAACTGTTTTCTGGCATTGGGTTAAAAATGGAACTGTTTAAATGAAGAAATTTATTTCTACCTAGCCTAAAGATGCAATTTTGTGTATGCATATATGTTTTATTAACTGGTGATTCATGAATTGTTTTATGGAACTGTTTATTTAAAAATGGAATTACTTCTGGAAATGGTTTTGTGTTACAAATGGAACTGTTTAAACAGAAAAGTTTGGGTTTTCTAACTAGGCTTGAGATTTTGCCTAAAAAATTATAAGGAAAAGGGAGAGTTAATATTCCTTACTCTATTTAAAAAATTGTTTGAGTGGATTAATGTCATGTTTTGCTAGTAAGAAATGCAAATGTGGTATACTAAGACTACTTTTAAAGTGTAAAGAGTTTTATTAAGAAACTGCTTTTGGATGTTTTGCTAAAAGTTTTCAAAGTGTTAATGGTTAGATTGAGAAGATTGCATTTCAATATGGGTTTATAGGAATTGTATAAGTTTGGGTTCCTCTAAGGTTTGAGATTTTGTTTAAAAAATTATAAAGAAAAGGAGGAGTTATGAGGTTGAATTATGTTTGCAGACAGTACGTTTAACCTACTTTTAATGCACCCTGGTTTTGTGGAGTTAAGGAAATAAGTTTGACGAAAAAACATCAGAAGTTTTTCCTATGTTCTGTTAGCAAGAAATTCAAATGATTCTATTAAGAGTTAAAGTTGTAAGACTGAGAAAATTAACTATATATAGCACCAGATATGCTAATTCAAATGGTTCTGTTAAGAGTTTGCTTTGAGTTGTAAGACTGGGAGAATTGTGACTATGTGGAGCAATATTTATGTTAACCTGTTAATGGTAATGATGAAGCTAAGGGATTCTTTAAGTTTGCGATTGCATTAAGTTTTTCCTTTAGAAACGGCTTGATGCAGCTAAAGACTGCTGTAGTCACCTTGGACCTAATTCAAAAGAGAAATGCCATCTATATCATCCTCTACTCCCATACTGGGAGGTGTAACAGCTATGGAGATTGCTGTAAGCTATTAATGAGTTTTTTTTTTTTTTTTTAAATATATATTAAGAAAGGGGGACCTGTGGGAGCCCGTTTTCAGTTTCCTCATGGCTTTACCCAGCAGGTCCGCATAGAGAGGATGATTAGGACCGCCGGCCTGAGTGCAGGTGTCTAAAATGGTCTGCACTTGGCTGTGCTGGGGGAGGAGGTCTTTTGCTCCACCCCTTGGCGTCTCTATAAATACCCTGGGGCAGAGACAGTCGGGGCCCATTGGAAAAGGTTCCAGGCCCTCTCAAGGTTATCCTTTATTTTCTGTTTATCTCCGAAATATAAATCCTTCTATCTAATATTTCCTGCTGCTCACACTCAAGAAAACTCTGGGGACCTATGGGGTTAGTGGGTAAACGCCCCACACAGCCCTCAATACCTGCTCAGGTACGGCCATGCAGCCACGCCCCCGCTGCCAGCTTCTCTTACCTGCCATTCAGCCTCCTCCCTGGAGAATCTGTTTATGGGTCCATCGGGGCTGTCCTGGGAGTTCTCAGCTCCATCTTGCTCTAGGACTGGCAGTAGGTACTGAGAAGGGGGATAATACTCCAGTCCTGACTCTATGGGAGAAGGGGCACAGGCTGGCCAGAAGCACCCCAGCGGCATGCTCCCGCTGCCCTCACCCTCCTCTTCCCTCCTCTCAGAAAAGTTTTCCTTTATTTTAGCAGCTGGGAACTGAAGCCAGGGCCTCATGTGTACTAGACAAGTGCTCTGTCACAGCCTGAAGCACACGGAAAGGCAAACACACCCTTACAAGCCAGGGACAGTGCTGGCTCGGAACGCAGGTACTGCCAGGCGCAGGCCTACCTCCTCTGTGCCTGGCTTCTCTCCCTCTACTCTCTGGCAGAGACTCCAGCTTGCTGTATGCAGTTTGTTCTTTATGCTGTGTGGTACTCACATGTGAGTAGGAAATAGTTCATTCAGTCTCCTACTGGTTACACTGCTAGGGGGCACCTGGCTTCTCCTTCTGCTGGGCAAACACCTAGTCAGGGAACTGACTGAGTTGTAGGCCTGAATGTTCCGCTCAAACAGATACTGGCAACATCCAAAGTGGGACAGGGAGACAGACAGGGTCTTGCTCCACAGCTCAGGCTGACTTTGAACTCACTATGTAGCCCAGGCTGAATTCCCTGCCTCAGCTTTCCAAGTACTCAGTACCATACCTAGCTATAATTTATATTATACTATATATCTGCTTCTACCTCTGGAGTGCTAGAATTCTGGGTCTGTGCCACCACACACACATTATGTGGTACTGGGACTCCAACTTAGGGCTTCATGTTTATCAGGCCAGCACAGAACTGCACATCTGCTTCCCAGCCTCTCTTGAGAGTCGGTCAGGTGCTACAGCCTGGCCCCGAACTGGAGTTGGTTTTTCCTGTAGCTCCTGGCCATGGGATCTGGGATCAGCTGCATATTGAAAAGATCCTTCAATTCGCTTTGTACCACATCATGAATAATTCAGATGACCAGAGGCTTGCTCTGAGGATGCCACAGGTGACAGGAACCACAGCTGACAACAGCTGCTCCCTCCTGGTGCCCAGGCCACCAGGGTGTCCCCAAGGTGGCCCCAGGGGCCTGCCTAGCTTGTCCTTCTTACTCCAGTTACTTCTCACTTTACCATGTGATCTTTGTGAAACCAGGTCTCCTCCTGGGCCGCTCCCCACCCTTCCTCCTGGGCCCTCAGCACTCCAGCCACACTGGCTCTTTCTCCACAGAGCCTCGGGTTCCCTACCTTCCTCTAGGTCTCCTAGCACTTGCCTCCTCTGCTAGAAACACACCGTCTCTTCTCCTGGCCCAGCTCCCTGTCAGGCGTCAGCCATGTTGCTTTCTCAGACAGGCCTTCCCCAGCTCTAACCTAGGCAGACGCCTGACCCTAATCTTTCCTGAGCTCAGCCTGGGTGTTTACGTCCCTGTGTGATCCTTCACTGTACCTGCTGCCCTCACTGGACCCTGCCCTCTGACCAGGCAGACTGCCCCAGCTGCTCTCAGCTGTCCCCAGCCTGGTGGCAGGGGATGACCACGGGGTGTGGGGAGGAGCACGGGTGGCCGGCCTTTACCTTGGCAAAGGAACTGCTGCACAGCTGCAGTACCAGCAGCACACACCTCTGGAGGCGGGTAGACCATGGACAAGGCGTCGAGGCTCAGCGTCTGTGGACAGAGAACCCCTTTACTGTGTACACCACTTCACCGCCTGGCACTTGGTTTTGTTACTAACTTGGGTGCTTATAGTCTCCCCTGCCCACAAGGAGCACCCAGGGAGCAGTGAAGGCCAGATCTAAAGAGCATTAATGCCACCTGTGACACCAGTCACCATTGTGGTGGCTTGAGTGTGCCACACTGCCCAGTACGGCGGCTGGAAGTCACATGTGGCCGTTTACATTTCTTGAGTTGTGTGTGCATGCCTGGGTGTATAAGCATGTGTGTATGTGTGGAGGGCCAGGGGATAACCCTGAGTGTTGTTCATTAGGAACCACTGACTTTGTTTTTGAGCTCATCTCTCACTGGCCTGAGCTCTCACTGGCCTGAACTGGGTAAACTGGCTAGGTTAGCTGGCTGGCAAGGCCCAGGGACCTGCTGTCTCTGCCCCAGGCTAGTCATCGCTCCAGCCCCAGCCCCAATGGTTTTCTTGAGACAAGATCTTGTTATGTGGTCCAGGCTGCATGGGAACCTGTGATTCTCCTGCTTCTGCCTCCCGAGTGTCAAGACCACAGGGTGCACGGTCAAGATCACGGGGGTGCACGGTCAGGATCACGGGGTGCACTATCACAGCACCCTTCATTGCAGTTTTAATTAGTTAAGGTCACCTGGGCTGGAGGAACTGCACATCAGCTTGGTAGCCACCAGTTCTTGGTGGCCGCACAGATGACAGCATTTCTGTTCCCTGCAGGGGGAGTCTGTCTCTTGAGACACTCAGCCTGGCTTTAAACCCAGCACAGTCACTTAGCTGTGCTGGGCCGTGATGTCCTTAGTCACTCTGGACAGCTTGGAATGGAGTCGGCACACAATATGGCCTTGTGGTCAATGCCTGTGCCCTCACCCTGAGAAAAGGCCTGTGCACATCTGTAGTCTCAGCAGGTGGAAGCAGGGGATCGAAAGTTCAAGGCCATCCTCAGCTGCACAGTAGCCAGCCTGGACTACAGGAGACTCTATCTCAAAAAACACGAAAGTGCTAGAGCAGCAACAAGCCACCCTGTCACGACCAAGAGCCCAGTGTCCCTGGTGGGCCACCTGGTGCTGGCTCCTGCGGTGGGCTGAGCTGTGCCCCCGCTTCACACCCTGAAGTCCTAACCCCTGGACTCCAGAATGTGACTACATTTAGAGCCAGGCCAGACCCTAGTCCAATCTGACCGGTGTCCTTTCAGAAAGAGGAGATGTGACATGACATGCAGACAGGACGAGCTCGGGAAGGACAGGCCGAGAGGGGCCTTAAAGGAACCAACCCTGCCTGTCAGCAGTGGGATCTTGGATTCTCATCAGACTGTGAGGACACAAACTCCTTTGGTGTGAGGAGCTTCCTTATTCACCCTGAGGTGACTCACATGGGGTCCCAGGACACACTCACCCACCTATTCTGATGAGATGTAGTTTCCACACTGAAGCCAGATCTCCACATCGCTCCTACTCTAGTCCCAGCTTCCCAGGCTCCAGGTACAGCAATTTCTGGCCTTACTATTTCCTGTCCATAGCTCATTCCGTCTTGCTTACGTCTCTCTGTGTCCTGTTCTCTCCACTGGACGCCCCCATTTCCACGGCTCTGTTCCAAATCTCATTGCTCTTCAAAGTCTGGCTTCAAGGCCACAGAGTGAGGACCTTCTGGATTCAACTGTCCTCCGCCACTTTGGACTTCCGCCCTCCCACTTCCATGACGGCAGCTAAGTCACAACATGACAAGCAGTCACACGTCGGTCTCTGTGAGCACTCGAGAGAACGCCCCCTTACCTCCAGGGTCCGCACATGAGCCAGCATCTGAGGCAGTCTCCGAACCTCGTTCTCACTGATGTCAAGGGTCCGCAGGCTTTGCAGCTCTCCCAGTGTGTCAGGAAGCTCCTTCAGCTTGTTGTCTGCAGGGACCCAGGCGGCAAACTCAGCACCCCAAAGCCCGCTGCCACCTCCTGACACCCGAGGGTGTGGGATGTGGGGCCGGGAGGCTCTGCCACTACTGAGCTGAGCAAATCGGGACACCTGGCCTTCTCTCCCTGTACGGCTTCTCCTCGGTAACAGCACCACTACTTCCCATAGTCACACGACGAGCTGAGCCTCTGCTGAGGGGCCGCAGGAGTGAGATGAAGAGCCTGGCCACAGTGAGGCAAGTCCTCTTTGGAGGATGAGGGTACTACGCTGGTATCTTGGCTAATCACCACCTCACTGCAGGGGAGGGGGTCCCGAGCAGGCCACAGCTCTGAGCCTGCCTCAGGGACTTACCAGGCCAGCCACATGCACGGGGCCAGCATTACTCACTGAGTGCCCCAAGCCACCCAGAGTCACTGCAGCGACACTTCCTTCTGTCTTGCCCATTAGGCCACCCTCTTCCCGTCGCTTAGCTTACCACTCACTACACTCTGCCTTCTGCCCCACAAGTCTCTGATTCTGGGGGTCAGGGCTCTTTAGACACACTGCCTCTGGTTCGTGACCAGAGACAGGCTGGCTAGCTGGAGGTCAATCTGGCTTATGGCATCACCCTCACACTTGGTGGCTCCCAAGGACAGCCCCCGGTGGAGGCTGGAAGGACAGGCTGGCCTGACCCTGGAGCTGCTGACATGGCCTGAGCTTTGCGGCCCTACCTTTCACACTGAGGGTCTGGAGCTGCAGCAGGTTCCCAACAGAGCGTGGGAGATGCGTCAGTTGATTCTTTTCCACGTTCAGTACCTAAGAAAGAAACGATCATGCAAGGAGCCGGCAGGACAACAGTGTCTTCGTCCTCAGCCCTGCGTCATCCAGCACCGAATATACCTGCCTTGATCTCTTCTACAGCCCTGACAGGGAGGCAGAGATTGCTATGGTCGCATCTAAGAGATGAGAAAACTGAGACTTACAGAGGTCATGTGTCTAGGAGAGCCAGGCCAGGCCCCCGACACACCCTCACTTGAGGTTTTACCATCTATACACACTGCAGAATGCCCAGGAATTGCATGAACCAACGGGGAGGCAGAAAGGCTGCCAAGGGCCCAGTGAGGCAGGGAGCGTTAGGATACGGCCATCTACTATTGAGCAACGGGGAGGCAGAGCTCAGGCTAGCCCCAAATAAAGCACTCAGCCAGTGCAGGGCAGCCACAGACAAAGCATTGGGAAGCCAGGAGAGTACAGAATTTGTCCTTTTAAAATGATGTACTAAAACTTATGCACCACCTGTATGCAGCACCCGTGGAGGCCAGAGGAGCACATCAGGTCCCTTGAAACTGGAGTTACAGAAAGTTGTGAGCTGCCATGTAGGTGCTGGGAACCTAACCAGGTCTTTCTCAAGAGCAGCCAGTGCTCTTCACCGCTGAGGCATCTCTACAGTCCCTGGAATCTGTCTTTAAGGTGGAGACCCACTGGGTGTTAGGCTTTTTGTGGGGAGGAGTTAGAGCTGTGAAGCCATGAAATACCAAGAAGAACAAGCCAAGTCCTGGTCGAGGCTCACAGCCAGGCTGCAGTGGTGACTCCAAGGGCCTCACCTGCAGGACTGTCAGCTGCCCCACGTCATCAGGAAGGGCTGTCAGCTGGTTGTCATGGAGATCCAGAACCTATAGAACAAACATGTCGGTCAGGCCCAGAGAGCAGCTGGGAGATGACAAGGCCACCCCATGCCCTGGTAATAACATGGCAACCTGTAGTAGGAATCTAACAGAGTCCCTGTGTCTAGGGAAAACAACAGAATTAACCAGCTGTCTTCTGCAAGTACCCAGACCTTAAAGAAACCAATGTGAAAACAGTGGTGGTTTTCTGTTATCTACAGAGCTGTTTCTCTGAAGGACCTTCACAGCCTTTGCGTGACTTGAGTCACGTGATGATGGCCCTGGCACACCTGGAATGTCCTTCATTATCGAGCACTGCAAACAACCCACGCTAAGAACAGAAAATGAAGGGTGAGGTGTTCCTTCCAGAAATGGAGACTAGATCTGGATTTTGGTCTAAGGAACTTGTTTTACTCTAAAAACAACTTTTGTGTGACTGTCAAGAAATCAGCTTCTGCATGGCTGTTCCTCTCTGCCGCCTGCAAGGCCTGCTTTCATCCTGCAGCGATCCTTTGATCTTCCTGCAGGATTCACATACCACAGCACCCTTCCTCCTGCCTCAGCCTCTCTGCCAATGCTCAGGACTGCAGGTACGTACAGCTCTATCACGTCTGGCTTAAGTGGTCTCTTTTTACTGAATACAAAAATTATGCATGGGCTGGGGTGTGACACTCAGTGGCAGAGCAAGTAATCAGTATGTGTGAGGGCCTGGGTATATTGATTCCCAACACGCATGTGCACACACACACACACACACACACACACACACACATACACACATGCACACACACACATAATAAATAAACACAAAGAAAACAACAAGCATAGAGTAGGGTTGGAGCGAAGGTTCATCAGTTAGGAGCGGCTCTTGCAGAGGACCCAAGTTTGGTTCCCAGCACCCACACTGGACAGCTCACAATAGCCCGTAACTCCAGCTCTGGGAAACCTGATGCCCTCTTCTGGCTTGCTTATGCATGCATGTGGTGAACGGAATACAGATAGGCAAACAATCATACACAGAAAATAAAAATAAATAAATCTCTTTTTTTTTAAAGATTTATTTATTTATTATGTATACAATATTCTGCCTGCACATGTCCCTGCAGGCCAGAAGAGGGCACCAGAGCTCATTACAGATGGTTGTGAGCCACCATGTGGTTGCTGGGAATTGAACTCAGGACCTCTGGAAGAGCAGTCGGTGCTCTTAACCACTGAGCCATCTCTCCAGCCCAAAAAAATAAATAAATCTCTTAAAGCACTGAGCACTACGTGTGGTGGCATACACCTTTAATTCCAGGACTCACGCGATAGAGGGAGACAGATCTCTGTGAGTCTGGGGTAAGACTGAACTACACAGCCTGTTTTAGGCCAGCTAGGACTGCACAGTGAGCCCACATCTAAAAAAAAATCACCATGGAACAGAGCTATTCCAGCCCCACCTGTGGGAGCTAAGATGGAGTGCCGGGAGAGCATGCAGGATTTCAGTCCCACCCTTACCAGGTCACACTCATGTAGGAGAGCCTGGGCCGACACTGCACTCTATTATGACTCTCCCGTGTCCTGGAGGGAGTCCACCAGGTCACTGAGGCATCCAATGCAATGACCTCTCTGGACGCCCCTCCTGCTCACCCCGGTTAGGGTCATCATGTCCATCCTTTTTGCTGACTGGGCTTGAGTTTAGGACCAGCTGGAGTGGAACCCTTGGAGGGTAGGTGCTGGGGCTGGTTTTCTTTACCAACAACACACAGGAGTGCTTAGAAAACCACGCTGTCCAGACACCACAGTGACCATCCGGTGAGGACCATTTGACGTATTTTAACAGAAGTCCCAAGGAGGGTGTGGAGGCTCCGCTGTCACCTGGAGCACAAAGTCCCCAACGCCTAGAGAGGGCCCAGTACCTTGATGGTGGCAAGGCTCAAGAGGCTGCAGGACTTGGGAAGCAGGGAGGTGAGGTGGTTTGTATGCACAATCAACACCTGTGAGGAGAAGAAGAGAAACGTCAGTCCCAGAGGAGCAGCAGGCAGGGAAGGCTGAGGGTAAGGTAGTGGCTTGGCCCCGGCACAGGGCGGCCACGCTGTGCTCCATGCGTCCACCAGCCCCACAGAGGGGGAGGTGTTACAATCACGGGCACTTCCGAGCTTGACTCGGAAGGCTGTAAGCTCCGAGACTCCTGGGGGGAAAGGGAGTTTGGGAGTCTAATGCTACCTTCTATTCTGAGAGGGGGGCAGCTATCACGAGCTTAGACTTTCCTGGCTCTAATGTTTCCTGGAAAATAGAGTAACAAAGGTTGCCCTTCTCCAAGGGCTGCCATAATTAACAAGCCACCTGGTCATTAGTGTTTAGCCCAGGCTATCATGTGGTCCACTCCTCAGACTGTGTCAACCACAGCCATTTGTGTCAGACATTAACTCCCGCCTCAACTATGCTATTGGCAGGGAACATACTTTACCTTTCTATGTCCAGATCTAATGGTATGGACATACCTACTTATATGCACAGCCTGGAACGACCTTCTGAAAACACTTTCAGCCCCTTCTAACTCTGAGGGGCGGCCAGAGCGCACTGAGTGCCCTTACTGGGGGAGATAATAACCACATGGCGGTAGACTCTAGCACTCATTTAATTCACACAGTATCACGAGATAGCCATGAATGTCTTCTTCCTTCTACAGATGAAGAGAATGGTGTGTGGGCTGGAGCTGGCTCTGCAGTTAGGAGCACTGACTGCTCCTCCAGAGCACCGACTGCTCCTCCCGAGCACCGACTGCTCCTCCCGAGCACCGGCTGCTCCTCCCGAGCACCCAGGTCTGATTCCCAGGACCCACATGGTGGCTCACAGCCAGCTATAACTCCAGTTCTAGAGAGCCTGATGGGTTTCTGGCCTCCCTAGGCAACATACACGCGTGATGCAAAAATACATGCAAACAAAATACCCATACACATGAAACACTGAAAGTTAGTAAAAGAAACAGAGGTGTGAGCGTGTAAAGAAGCTGAGTCACAAAGCTGGTGAAGCCAGGGCCAGGAGTGGCCGGCCCAGAGTGGTCCAAACCCAGAGCCTGCTCTCCTGATTGTGACAACCTCTACTGCGGACCAAAGGGTGAGGGCCAGGGAGAAGGAAGATGGCCGTGTGAGGCGCCTCTAAGTCCCACGTGGCTTCCCCCAAGCAGACACCCAGCTAGCAATTCTCTGAACAATAACTCTGCTCACCTTTTTCTGCAGAACTTTGCACGTTGCAAAAGCCCCAAACGGAATCTAAGACAAGACAAAGAAGGGTCAGAGCCTCCTTGCTTGCGGCTGTCCCTCCTGCTCTCCCAGCGGCATGGTGGGAGGTGACTGAGGAGTGTAAGCTACTGCCCCGGACAGTGCTTAGCCAGGGGAGGGCTGGGGAAAAACGGAGGGGCAATCAGCCCGCCCTAGCCTACCTACTCTGGGGTATCAGGAACTGTCGGGGGTAGAGCCCTCTCTCCCAGCACCCCAGGAATCCGTAGTGTATGTTCCCTTCTTCCCATACTGGGGAGTGAACCTAGGGCATCTTGCATGCTAGACAAACTCTACCACTGAGTTTTATCCCCAGATTTCCCTTCCTGCCTTCCTCCAGGGTTTTACTATGTAGCCAAGGCTGACCTCAGACTCATAAGCCTCCCTACCTCTGCCTCCCGAATGGAATGCTGGGAGTAAAGGTGTGCTCTACTACACCTGGTTCATTTCTGAACTAGGCCCTGACTTTGGGAGACTATGCTGAGGTCAAAAGATCATCTCAATTCTTTTGGACAAGATCGCAATGTAAGGAACATCTCTGCCTAGTTGGTCTGGCTGTGTCTGTGTGCGCACACTCTATGCAGGCGAGAGGCTGACGTCGGGTCTCTCACTCCCCGCCTTGTGTTTTTCAGAGTCTCTCACTGAACTTAGCGCTCAATGACTCAGCTAGGATGGTTGGCTAGCAAGCCCCGGGGACTCATGTCCTCATGCTTAGAAGGCAAGGCTTCAGTGGTCCACCCACCCACCTTCACTCCTGGCATTTTGAAAGTCTCAGTCTACACTTGTTTTCCTCAAGGACACAGGACAGATTAAATTCAGTCTTTGTACACCCTCACTTTACCTCAGAGAGTTCACATTTAGAGATGTCGAGAATGTCATCTGCCCCAGCTTCTTTTGCCTAAGGTGAAAAAGACATTTTTACGTTAAATTGTTTCTTGAGACAGGGTCTCATGTAGCTTCAAACTCATCATGTAGACAAAGCTGACCTCCAACTCCTGATCCCCCTGCTTGCACCACCCAAGAATTAGCTTCCAGCACAGGTGGGGGGGGGGGAAGGAAAGAGGGAGGGAGAGAGAGAGAGAGGAAGGGAGCGAGAGAACGGATTTTTAAAAATCTTCAAGTCTCCTGGTGTGGTGGCACACACCTTTAATCCCAGTACTCAGGAGGCAGAGGCAGGCGGATCTCTGAGTTTGAGGCCAGACTGATCTACAGAGTGAGTTCCAGGACAGCCAGGGCTACTCCCACCCCCACACCCGAAAAAAAATCCTTCTGTATGTTTACAAGATCTGTTGATTCTGTGAACGTTTCATATTCATGGTGTTAGCCTCTTAAAATCAGTGGTAACTGGTTTGGCTTTGTTTTCAGCCTTGAACGTTCTTTAAAAAAAAAAACACCACTTTTTAATGATTTATTTATTCTTATTTTATGTGCATTGGTGTTTTGCCTACATGTATGTCTGTATGAAGATGTCAGATTCCCTGGAATCTGGAGTTACAGATAGTTGTGAGCTACCATGTGGGTGCTGGGATTGAACCCAGGTCCTCTGGAAGAGCAGCCAGTGCTCTTAACCGCTGAGCCATCTCTCCAGCCCCTTTTTTGGTTGCCTTCCTGAACTCCTGCTCTTTTATCTGGCCTCCGTGGCTGTGCTGGATGCAGAACGCAGCCCCTCTGCTAGCGGTGAGGTAAGAGCAGCTGGTTTTCTCGCTACGGCTCAGGCCAGCCTGGAACTGACTATATAGCCCTTGCTAGCCTTGAACCTGTGGCAATCTTCTTGCCTCGGACTCCTAAGTGCTGGGATTACAGGTGTGAGCCAGGTAACTTGGGAACCGTGCCCAGTTCCCAAAATTAAAAAAAAAAAAGGTACTCGGGCAAAACATACTTGTGGAATGGAGAAAATAAGAAAGGAGATGCAGGCGTAAGGAGCTGGAAGGGACCACAGCCAAGCTACAGCCAAGCCATAGCCAGCGTTTACTGGTCCGTTTGGCAGGTGGCCCAGTGACTGAGGTCCAGCAGGGAAAGAAACCACACACACCCAGCCTGTGAGGAGGGGCACTCCCAGGGTGGGAAGGCAGAGGGAAGGAGTAGGCACCCGGAAACATTTCAGGGGGCAGAGGAGGGAGAGATAATATCCCCGCCTTACCAGACACATCTGGTACTCCAGGCGTTTCCGAGCCTCCTCACTGGGTTTCCGCTTCCGAAAGAAGAGGGGCATCCTCCTGTGTGAGTTCTGGACACTGGAGGACGAGAGGGAAGTCAGCACCTGGGAACTTGCACCGTATCTGACACTGAAGCCGGGCGGGCAGCTCAGATGCAGGCAGCTGGTCAGCTGGCTGTGAGTGTCCTGCCGGCTGGGCTGTCTGCCTCATTCAGTTGGGCCCTGAGCCCACACGGGTAGTGCTCAACATTTTGCTCTTTGTTGACCAAGCCATAAACATAGAATATGGTGGAAAGAACATAAACACAGGCCAGGAGTCCTGGGTTTTGGCTCCTTTGCCATTGACCCTCTGGGAGGCGCTGACATCACCTCCCAGTGCTGAGCCATTTCCTCCACCTTAGGGAGGAGTCCCCCAGGTGCCTTCCAAGGATGTTCTCTGGAACCCTTGACAGACTCAGCTGATGAAACTGTCAGAGTGGCACCAGCAAATCCAAACTGGAAGTAGCCACGGCTCAGGGGAAATTCAACCATGCCAAGCCTAAAGAGATGCACGAGTTAAATAAAAATTAAAACGCAGCCTTTAGGCACCTTCCCACCTTTGACTGTCACGAGCATCCTGCGGGGAGTATGATGTTTACTAAGTTCAGTGATCTGGCTACACGACCTGGATTACAGAAAAAACAGCCTGGGATGCTTGCTGTTCAAACCCTGATGCTGTGCAGTCTGCACAGCCCCCTGGATTTCACAGTTCAGCAAAGTAACCATTCTGTCCTGAACTCAGGAGCTGGGTGCCCACAGCCAGCTCAGAATCTGGAACTTCCAGTGCTGAATGAGGGCCAGTAACAGGAAGGAAGCAATCATCTGGAGGAAGTATGTAGCTAACATCATAGGCTTTGACATCCAAGACATCAGCTGTGTCACATTGGGTCACCTGTCAGAGCCTATTTCCTCAAATGTGATATGGAGTAATGTTGCCAACAGTGGGTTCTGTGGGACTCAGTGATGCATGCATGTCAGGCCTGTGCCACAGCATCTGACACAGAGTGCACCACATATGTGCACTATGACAAATAGATTCAGGAGGAGTCTGGCCGTTGAAGACACATCCTGGGTCCTTAGAGATTTCAGACCTCCATTCCTGGGTGTGGGTGTCAGGGGAGGTGGTCAGGCCTGCAAAGCCAGCTCTTTCCTCACTCACCTGCTGGCACTCCTGCAGAATGATGTAAAACAGCCTCCTCCATCCCTTATGATGACTTACCTTCTGCTTGCTAATGACTAGCTCTCCCCCATCCCTATCCTCCAAGGGAAATCCTGTTCAATGACTACCCCCCACCCTCCACCCCAAGTCCTCTTCCCTAGTCATTCTCAACATAGATTCTTTCAAATCTGGTTTGAACCTCCCTGACGGTGTAGCTTGGTTGGGAGAACCACACCCATCCTTCCCTGGCAGAGCTGGCCAGTGGCTGACCTGGCTTTGTGGACGGAAAGGTCCTTCACTGATGTTCCGATTTTGGGGTGGACCTCAAGGTAGGCCAATCACTCTGAAGGCTTGGTCATATGTGCAGACCATAGGCACCAGGAAGGCCAGCTGGAGTCGGGTCTCCTTCCAACATAGGAAGTTAGGACCGAAACTCTGAATCTCATAAAATCATGCAGCTCAGGATGACAAAGTCTTGTGACTCTAGAAACCAAAGAACTGCAGAATTAAGAATCGTGATTTAGACCCGAATAGTTTGCTCGTATAACTAACATGCACACACCGCAATGGCTAAGAAGGGTACTGGGGCAGCATTGGCACTGGGGTCCCGCAAGCCTGGTGCGGATTCCTCAGGGGAGGGGCGGGGTCCTGGGACTCCAGAGTCACCCTTGTAAGGGAACGTGGAATACATCAGGAGCCAGGGCCTCTGGGGCGGTCCTGCTACTCTGACTGTCCCCGGGAAAGGTGCTCCGAACATCCACCCCTTCCGAATCCCTAGCTCACCCAGGAACCCGGCTCTCCAGTCCTCTGCCGCAAACGCCTGCCCACAAAAAACAGGGCGGCGAGGGTGTCGCCCCGACATGGGGCGGAGCCAGCGGTTATCGCGAGAGCCGAGCTTTTCTGCCTATATCCGGCGTGGGCGGGGCGTCGGCCGTCTTTTCGGCTTTCGGCTCGGCGGAGGCTACGGTGCAACTTTCTTCGGTCGTCCCGAATCCGGGTTCATCCGACACCAGCCGCCTCCACCATGCCGCCCAAGTTCGACCCCAACGAGATCAAAGTCGGTGCGTGCCCTCGCCGCGGCCGGGGGGAGCCCTCCCCGGCGCGTGCTGCCCCGGGGCCTGGCTCCGGGCCTGGCGGGTCTCCCTTGGGCCCCGGCTTCCTCGTGTGTAGATGGGGAGGGAGTACCGACGCTCTTGCAGCCTGTGCGCCTTAGGGTAAGGCCTGGCCCCGGGGGTCTGCGGCCCGCGGGCAGGGCGGCCTGCGGCCCGGCGCGCCCCGCAGGTCTAACTCTGCTTTTTCTCAGTGTACTTGAGGTGCACCGGAGGTGAGGTCGGCGCCACGTCCGCCCTGGCCCCCAAGATCGGCCCCCTGGGTCTGGTAAGTCTGCGCTGCCGAGAGCTGTGTGTGTATGTACTTCACGTGAGAGCAGACCGCGTGATTGTGTGTGTGCCTGTGGAGGTCAAGGCACCACGTGCCTGGTGTGGGCCAGCTACCGGGTGAGTGCTGGGACTCGAACCCGGGTCCTCTCCAGCCCCGTTTTGACTTGTTCTTAACATTTACAAAGGAAAGTTGGGATAACAAGTGTTATGGGCTCGTTCCACACGGCACAGTTGTGTTAGTCATCGGGCTTGGCTGAGCCATCTTGCAGGCTCTTGCCCATGGGCTCTAGGAGGTAAAGAGGAAGCTCAAACAGTACCATGTGCTTGGTGGACAGGAAGTAGCGTTCTTACCTTGTTCCTAGGTGGAGCAGTGGAGTCCCTGAGGGACTAGTTAAATCCCTGTTGCCAGCCTATGCGCTTTTCAGGTCGCCCCCTCCTAGTAACATGGGAACCTAGCAGCGAAGCTCTGGGTGACCCACTGCGGCTGAACGTGTTTGCTGAGCAGCCCTTCGGGCGGAGCTGGCTTAGGAAACGAGGTGTGGGGTCTTTGGACACGATTATGTGGAGTGATGAGGAAGGCTATGCCTTAAACTTTAGGCTCGTGGTAATTATTTTAATGCCATTATTTCCACAGTCTCCAAAAAAAGTTGGTGATGACATTGCCAAGGCAACCGGAGACTGGAAAGGCCTCAGGATCACAGTGAAGCTGACCATCCAGAACAGACAGGCCCAGGTATTCACTCTGCTGGGTGTCGGGAGGGTGGCAGGGGTGGCAGCCCTTGGACAGTCACAGGATCTCGCTGTTCTGGAAGGTAGGAGCCAGGGTGCCGGGTTCCACGTGTGGGGCCTAGGGATTAAACTCAAGTGATCAGGCCCAGCAAGAAATACCATTTCCCACTGAGCTATCTTGCTGGCCCCATTAGCATGTTTTGGTGGCAGTACTTGTGTTGGAGGATTTCTGCACTGTGCTCATTAACTTATCTCTTGCAGATTGAGGTGGTACCCTCTGCCTCTGCCCTGATCATCAAAGCCCTCAAGGAGCCACCAAGAGACAGAAAGAAGCAGAAGAACAGTGAGTCGATTTGCACTCGGGGTTCCCCTTCAGTGTTTACTGCTTGGCATTTAGTTCCCTCTAACGATCCTTGGGTCAGAATGGGCTCACTTCAGGCCGTTTGTCCCGTGCCTCGTCCTCTGGGTGCAGAAATAACCCTAGTGTTGACACTGGACCCTCAGCCCCAGCAGAGATTTAAGCTAAAGTTGAGTGTCGGCTGCTGGGGAGGACATGGTTCTGCCCTAGCCACCCGCCACTGCACCTGATCAGCACCGTTGGCTGGTGCAATCCAGTGGTGAGCTGACAGTAAGCCCAGCTTAGGAAACAGGGTTGTCCTCCATGTGGATGACTCTGTGCCGAAAGCCTGGGGACAGCCCAGAATAGGGAAAACCAAATCATGGGATCTTGTTTCAGAGATTGAACTAAAGCTTTTAGAACGCAAAACCCCCCTTGTGTTTTCTTCCCTGCAGTTAAACACAGTGGAAACATCACTTTTGACGAGATTGTCAACATTGCCCGGCAGATGCGACACCGGTCTTTAGCCAGAGAACTTTCTGGTAAGAAGAGCAAGTTATTTTCACTGAACGGCTGTTGAAGGCCCAAGATTGGGATGCACTTTTCTGAGACAGGGTTTTTCTGTGTATCCCTGGCTGTCCTGGAATTAGCTCTGTAAACCAGACTGGCCTTGAACTCTGCCTGTCCCTGCCCCCCAAGCGCTGGGATTAAAGGTGTGTACCATCACCGCCCAGCAGGCCGCAAATTTTTTAGTTGAGCATCAGGAAATCCATGGAGCCATGTTTTTTCCCTTTGCCCCTCAACCTAAGAGTTGCAAGGAACTGAGATCTCTGCTGAGGCCACTATTCTTAATATAGGAACTATTAAAGAGATCCTGGGTACTGCACAGTCTGTGGGCTGCAATGTGGACGGGCGCCATCCTCATGACATCATTGACGACATCAACAGTGGTGTGGTGGAATGCCCAGCTGTAAGTGACTTTGCATGATTCCCTTTGTTATAGTGGGGGCAGCTGGGCTTTTGTTGCCTCTGGTGTCTTATTGGGGCATCCTTAAAGGGTGAAAATTCTTTGTCATGTATATTCCCCATTGTGATTGAGAATTTTCCTCCCTTTTCCACAGAGTTAGAAGCAACAAGAGAGAATATTTCAATAAAAGACCATCTGTCTGATAAACCAATGGGCCTGGCTGTTTTTTGGGCAGGGGAGTGTTTCTCTTTTTGGCATGTTCAGTATGGCCATGGTAGCAGAATATGAAGCACCAAGTTCTGGTGTAGCTTTGTAGACAGCTAGGAAGGAAAGGGGACTTTTCTATGGGTGTGGTTAGGCTGTCAGGAAGAATCTTGCTCTAGTTTACATACCGGCTACAGTTTCCCCTCCTCCCCCTTGCCCTTCCACTCCTGGCTCCATTCAAGGGGGCAGGCCTCCTGTGGGTTTGAGGTAAAGCTTGGCACCTTAAGTTGAGGCAGGACCAGAGTTCCTCCCCTTGGGTCAAGCCTGGGCAAGGTGGTATCTAGTGTGGGGTACAGGTTCCCAAAAGCCAGCTAAGCTTTAGGGACACTTGGCTACAAAAGACAGCAGTACTTACAGCAAGGCATCTGAGAAAGCTCTACCTGGACCACAACCATGAAAGGGAAAACGCTGTGTGGGGTTAAGGGTGACTTTTTTTTGTTTTCCATTTCATGAGTTTCTCCCCAATGAACACAAGTTATGTTTGTATTTAGAGGAAGAAAAGGTCCAATGCAACTTGAATTAAAAAAAAAAAACACTTGGTAGCACATGTATTTTTGCAGTCGACCAGACTTTGATTTCCAGCATCTACATGGTTGACAACCACCCCAAATTCCAAGGATACCAAGCATGCTTACTGCACAGGCACATGCTGGCAGCAGTCTACAAACCTGTCAGATTTCAGCTCACCAAACACCCATCCAGCCGCCCCAGGGAAGGGAAGGTGCTGGAAGAGAAATCGATGAAGCCTGTCTGCTGCTGTTGACTCGCCTGCGTTGACCACGAGTGGGGGAGGCTCAGGTGACATGGTCCCTGGGTGCTTGGGCTGTGGGTCAGTTTTTGCCATTTCCTACGCTCAGGTGTAGAAAGATAACGGGTTGGTAGTGAAGAGCACTGGCTGCTCCTCCAGCACCCGTATGGCAGCTCACAACTAACTAGTTCCAGGAGACCTGACAGACATGCCGTGGCGGTGGTGTGTGCCTTTGATCCCAGCAGAGCCAGGCGGATCTCTTGAGTAAGAGGCCAGCCTGGTCTACAGAGCGAGATCCAGGACAGGCACCAAAACTACACAGAAACCCTGTCTCGAGGAAAAAAAGTTATATTCCCCATGTCCAGTGCTGGGGATCAGTGTGCAAATCATACATCAGTGAAAAGGGGATAGTCTTGTAGAGGGCTAAGGTGTTTTTTTTAAGTTTTTTGAGACAGTTTATAGCTCTCGCTGTCATGGAACACTAGACTAGGCTGGCCTTAAACTTAGATCTGCCTGAGCCAGGACCTCTCTGCTGGTCTTCGGATTTTATGGGTAAATCAGTTGGTATACAATGTCTTCCGTGTAGGTGGGTTTAGAAATATGGTGTATTTAGTTCTCTGGGGAAAGTGGCTGCAGATGAGAAGTTATTACTAGTGGGTGCCTCAACTTACCATAAGCAGAAGAAACAAGGTGGGCCACCAGAGTGGACCACTTATAAAACACAAGCTGCTTCTTGGCACCCACCATAATTCTGGCTATTTTGGAGGCTGAAGTAGAAAGGCCTTTTAAATACAAGGCCACCCTGAGCAATTTGGGGAGACAGTTATAATAAGTTTAAAGGATGCTGGCTGCTCTGCCAGAGGACTTGGGTTCTGTTCATTGCATACATGACAGTTGAATAATACTGATACCCTCTTGACCTCTCTGGGCATGTATGTACATGTACTTATATATGTGATGCACATAAATGCAAGGTCAACATACACCTTAAAATCTGAAAGAATTTAAGTCTTTTTGCAGAGGACCCGAGTGTGTTTCCCAGCACCCATACTGGCTAAAACACCTGTAATTCCAGCCCTTAATGGATTTGACACCTCTGCTATGTGGGTAACTGCATGCATGTGGCATTTATTCACAGGCATAAACACAAAATTCTTAAGAGGGTAGGGCGAAATCGACTGGAAAGCATAAAGCTCTATGCTAATTGAAGTACTGCAAAAACAACAAAAACCAAAAACACTGACTAGAAATAACTACTATGGAATGTGGCACTAACATACTTCTGACTAAAGACTGAAGGCTTTCTCCCGTTAAAACAAGCACACTGAGGGTGTCCGCTTCTGTTTTGACTGCCTGCTGCTCTTGTAGAGGACCCAGGTTCAATTCCGAGTACCCACAGTGGGGTAGCTCACAATCACCTGTAACTCCAGGGAATTCAACACCCTCTTCTGGCTCCTGTACATGTGCACATATGTACACTCAGGGCATAGGTGCACACACACACACACACACACACACACACGTTAAATGTCATCACACAACCTTTGCATACATATTAATTGCAGCAATGCTCATGACCTATAAGTGAATGTAATCCAAATGTCCATTCACTGAGGAATGAACAAAATGGGATATGTATACGTATGTTTTTCAGTCATAAAGAGGACTGAGTGTTCATATACATTATAGCATGGATGAGCCCTGAACACCGCGCTGACAGGCTAAACAAGGTCATGTATTGCATGAGTCCATCTATGTAACATGCCCAGCAAATCCAGACAGAAAGCCGAGGAATTTGGAGCTTAGGTCTGAGGAGTGACTACTAATAAGGGGTTTCTCTTCCAGAAGATGTGTTCTGGAATTAAATAGTGGTTACATAACTACATGAAAATACGGCCTGAACCACCGAATGTAAAAGGGTCACCTTTAAAAGCATGAAACGACTACTATGACGTGTAACTTAATCTGAATAAAAGGTCAGAACCGGGCACTGGTTTTAGCATAGACTGTTGCTGATGTGCACCTAGCCCCTGTACATCGCCATCTTTTGTGATGCAGGTAGGATAGTCACATTTGTTGTGCGTTCCAAGTACCTTCAGACGCTATTTCACCTGGTTACAGTTCTTAGAGTCACGAAGAGAGCCAAGATCTATTTTCTACAGAGAAACCCAGGCTAAGAAGGACCTTCGGGCTGCACACTCCCCTGTCCTCCACGAAGTCCGTGCTAAGAGGCTGAACCTGCCCTCGAAGTGGTCCCTGTTCCAAGCATCCCCAGCTGCTTCCCCCGGGGCGGAAGGCTAACGTCGCCCATACCCCTCTCCACTGGATAAGAGGCAGTTAGGTACGCAGAGAGCCCACTCCGCTCAGACCGCTGGTGGAGTGCTGCGCACACCAGTGGGGAAACTGAACAACTGCACAGCTCTCCGCCCCTTCTCACCGGCCCACACACAGGGCAACGCTGACGCGGCCGCTCCGGGACCTGGGAGCCCTGGCCCCAGAAACCGCGCGGACCGCTTACCCCGCGGCAGGCGGGCGCGTAGGAAACACGTCACTTCCGGCCACGCGCAGTCCGCACACCGGAACTCGCTTCTAACAAGTCACTGTGTCCACTCCTCTGCGGTCTCTTCCCGGCCGCCAGGATTGTGACCCCTGTTGCCTCGTGGGGTGTATTTTACAAAGAAGCTCCCGCATGCCGGTCCTCGCTTCCAGAGTCCATCCTGAGAACTAACTCCGCATCTTTCAGGTGCACTCGGATCCGGGCGTGGAACCTCGGACAGGGAGCGACCAGGCCGCCAGGATGCCGGGAAGGGTGCTTATGCTGCCAGTGGGCGACTTTCCCAGAGAACAGTTGTCATTCCTTCCCAAGCAAGTTTGTGGTGGGGCGTGGTCCGGGAGGGTCATTTAGAGGAAAACAGCTCGGACCTCACACTGTTGTGCTGACCTGCCATGCTCAGCAGTCAGGATGAGCTCTGGAGCCCAGGGAGTCATCGTTTTCCCTGCTTGGGATCGAGGCAGCCCAGAGCTCACACCTCAGCTAGTGCGATCTTCATCTTTGGCAGGTTTCCTGTCTTAGTCCTATGATCTCACTTTTGACCGCCGGGAGGTAGCAGAGTGCTTCAGGTGTCAGATGATGTCATTCTGCATATGGCTACTTAGGGGTGCTAGGGCATTTCTGCGCTTTGCAGAAACCAGGATTTGCCCACGTTATTCTGGGGATGGTAATGTGAATATGGTAAGGGTAATTGACATTTGTGAAGAGTGCAGGTTTGTACCTCAGGCTGCATAAACCTGTGTCTGGTATACCTCTCCTCTGGGAATGTTCATCTTCCCCTCTCCATGGCCTTGTTCTTATGGTGTTGACTTAGGCTCTTTGGTGGGGGAGGGGCGGGGGCAGGTACAGGACTGTCTGATGGAGCTGGCTCTTGGCTTCTCAAACTTTATACTCCGAGGGGAAGTGTCCAGAGACTGTGGAGGCCTTAGGGAATGTATGGACCCCCAGAGCACTGGCATCGGGGGCAGTTGGTGACAGAAGGCGGTACACTGAGGCGGCAGGGTGGGGAGTAAAACAGGAGGGAACCTCAGGCCAGGCATGGTAGTGTGTGTCTGGAACCCCAGCACTGGGGAAAGAGACCTAAGGCCAGCCTGGTTTATAGAGTGAAGCCCTTCCTTGAAACTCCCTTTCAGGTGTCCATTTATGATAGATACATCCCTGAGTTTGACACTGACCTTGCCTGCCGCCCCCTACCACCCCTCTCAACGGCTGCTGTGGGCCAGCCAGCATTTTCTTTTCTCTTTGCCATCCTCTGTTCAAGCGCTTTACATACCTCAGCACCAGGCCAGTTAGAGGTAATTAATTGGCCCAGAGATATTGTGACCATCCAGGTCACACAGGCAGTAAGTACTACACTGGAATTGGAATTTAACATCCTGACTTACCCTTTCCCAGGCTGCCTGGCTCCTCCTCCAGGTTACAGGGAATACAGTTGGAAGCCACAGTGATATTGCCTACATGTTTAATCACCTCTCCAGTGGTCTATACGCCTGACCTCTTGCCTTCTAGTCTTTCATTAGCCCACTGACAGGTTGGACAGTGGCCAAGCAAGTCCTTTGCAAGGACCAGTCTGTGGCTGAGAATAGATGCCTGGGCAGACAGTGGTGTAGGCAGGCCCCTTGCCTCAGCCCCGTGGCCTGATGTGTTGAGCCAGCTAATTTCCCTAATCACAGTCATGTCCACACCTGTCTGAGGTACTACTCCATGGCCTTTGCTGTGACTCCCTGAGAACTGACTTGGTCACGAGGGAGGCCCTTCTCAGACACAACCCACTGCGGCCTATCAAGATGGATGGGTTGCTTTGCCAGTGTGCACCTTATTGACCAACAACCACACCTGTACGGTTTCATCCTGTGAAGGTTTGCTCAGACAACATCTATTATTTTAGTTACCTCCTTCATGTCCACCCTTACCCTCCACCCCCTCACCTCTCATTATCAGGGTTTCCTTGCTTCTCCATCTGTCTCTACCATTGTCCTTTATCCCTATTATCTCCATCTATTGTCAGTCTCCCCCTTTTAAAATGAATCTACATATGACATCCGAATTCTCAATAAAGAGACTGGAAACAACCTAATGTGGAATATGGAATTGCTTTAAGTTCTGGATCTAATAAAGGGTTGACTTAAGTACTGATGTAGTTATACAATGGACTAATTTTACATCCAGCAAATATCTATCTTTGCCAGGAACTATGTCAGCATGGTAACTGCACGCACTGATGGTGAACCAAACATACACACTTCCCTCCATTTCTTCCTTGTCAAAACCCACCAAAATGACATCAGAGGTGTATAAATAGAAACAAATCTGTAGTATATCAGGGAGGTATGTGTGTTGAGTCGGGAGACTTATGCCAGGTATTAGAATGTAGTTCTTCAGCCCTAAGCATAAGCGTGGACAAAACATGCCAGCTATGTGAGATAAACCAGCTGTTTGAGATGGGTCAAGATAACCAGATCAACTCATTGGAGGAGAAATCAGAAAACAGAAGATGAATTTAAAAAAGTTAGAATCTATAGCTTGCTTTATAACAGGGAATAAGCATCAATGACACGGAGCCACTGCGGGTGGGATGGGAAACACAACTTTGAAAGTCGAAGCAGCTTCTAAAATTGCTTAGCACATGCCCCGCAGTTCCTTCCACTCCACACACAAGATATGTCTGCAGATGTTAGCAATGGGGCTCCACGCCCCCAGTAATATCCCCAAACTGGAAATAGTGACAATCTTCTCAGATTACAGGAAGCGACTTGTTGATGCCCCTAACCACATGAATGAATCCAAAAGGTGCTGTGCTCCATTAAAGAGGCCAGGCACAGAGGCCTCACACCATGATTACACCTTTATACGATTCTGTGGAAAGCCTGATGGAGAGCACAGGCCACTGGTGTCCAGGGCCATAGATGCAGGGGGTGACGCTGCACAGGGATATGAAAGTGTCCTGTCCTTGAGTGTGGTGGTGGCTCATAACTACGCTGTGCTATAAATCATTAGATTTTGTATTAATTGTTGGGTTCCGTTTATGTAAATAATGCCTCATTTTGATTTTCTTTTTTTTCCAAGACAGGGTTTCTCTGTTTAACTCTAGCTGCCCTGGAACTCACTCTGTAGACCAGGCTGGCCTTGAACTCAGAGATCTGCCTGCCTCTGCCTTGCCAGTGCTGGGATTAATGGCAGGTGCCACCAATGCCTGGCTCAATCTGATTTTCAAATGGTGGAAGTGTATATCCTTAGAAAAGACACTCATGCCCTAAACAGCATAGGATGAAGTCATAGAGAGTAAGACAAATGGAGAAGACAGAGAGAGTACGACAAAACTAAGGGCTGGGGGATGACTCAGTCACTGAGGTGCTTGCTCCGCAGCCCGTCACCTGAATGCGGGCCTCCAGCACCCGCAGCCCCTCACCTGAGTGCGGGTCTCCAGCACCCGCAGCCCGACACCTGAGTGCGGGCCTCCAGCACCCGCAGCCCCTCACCTGAGTGCTGGCTACGGTCATTGGCAGCAATGGCACTTTCTGAGTCTCGTGCCTGCCTTTGGGCTGGAGTCGCACTGTCAGCACTCCTGGGCCACCAGCTGCTGACTCACTGCAGACTCTAGGTTTCTCAGCCCCTTGCAACAACTGTACTGTCTCTCTCAACACCCCGTCTGTCTGTACACCCGTCTGTCTGTACATCCATCTGTCTGTACTCCCGTCTGTCTGTACACCCGTCTGTCTGTACTCCCGTCTGTCTGTACACCCGTCTGTCTGTACACCTGTCTGTCTGTACACCCGTCTCTCTGTACACCTGTCTCTGTACACTCCTTTGTCTCTCTGTACACCCCGTATGTATTCTGGGTTTGGTTCCATCTCTCCTGCCAACCACCCAACAGCTTACTTGGCTTAAGTGGCACTTCACCCCACCAAAGCTGCCAGTGTGATTCTGTTCAAGAATCTTCACCAGGGGAGAGTGTGGGCTCACAATCCTCATAAACTGAAAAGGATCAGAATTGCTTTAATGACTGGCAAGGCAAAGTATTTGTAGAACATAAAGTGAAACAGAGCAAAGACACACAAAGGTATCAGTGAAAGCAGGTGTGGTTTGCACACCTGGAATGGCACACCTGGAATGGCACACCTGGGATTACAGCACCCAGTGGTAGGATCACTAAGTTTGAAGCCAGCCTGAGCTACAGTTGAGTTTTAGGGCCAGCCTGGGCTGCTCTGGGGAAAGAACTTGTCTCCATATCCTCCCCACAAAAAGGATCTAAGTGGAAAGTGAGAGAAAAACATCAACCAGGAAGAACGGGTCCACTAATTAAAGAGCCGGGACAGAGCAGGAACAGTGTCCACTAACTATAAACAGGACAGCAGGAACAGTGTCCACTAACTATAAACAGGACAGCAGGAACAGTGTCCACTAACTATAAACAGGACAGCAGGGACAGTGTCCACTAACTATAAACAGGACAGCAGGAACAGTGTCCACTAACTATAAACAGGACAGCAGGGACAGTGTCCACTAACTATAAACAGGACAGCAGGAACAGTGTCCACTAACTATAAACAGGACAGCAGGGACAGTGTCCACTAACTATAAACAGGACAGCAGGAACAGTGTCCACTAACTATAAACAGTCAGGACAGCAGGGACAGTGTCCACTAACTATAAACAGGACAGCAGGAACAGTGTCCACTAACTATAAACAGACAGGACAGCAGGGACAGTGTCCACTGACTATAAACAGGACAGCAGGAACAGTGTCCACTAACTATAAACAGTCAGGACAGCAGGGACAGTGTCCACTAACTATAAACAGGACAGCAGGAACAGTGTCCACTAACTATAAACAGTCAGGACAGCAGGAACAGTGTCCACTAACTATAAACAGTCAGGACAGCAGGAACAGTGTCCACTAACTATAAACAGGACAGCAGGGACAGTGTCCACTAACTATAAACAGTCAGGCCAGCAGGAACAGTGTCCACTAACTATAAACAGGACAGCAGGGACAGTGTCCACTAACTATAAACAGTCAGGCCAGCAGGAACAGTGTCCACTAACTATAAACAGGACAGCAGGGACAGTGTCCGCTAACTATAAACAGGACAGCAGGGACAGTGTCCACTAACTATAAACAGTCAGGCCAGCAGGAACAGTGTCCACTAACTATAAACAGGACAGCAGGGACAGTGTCCACTAACTATAAACAGTCAGGACAGCAGGAACAGTGTCCACTAACTATAAACAGGACAGCAGGGACAGTGTCCACTAACTATAAACAGACAGGACAGCAGGGACAGTGTCCACTAAGTATAAACAGGGCAGCAGGGACAGTGTCCACTAACTATAAACAGTCAGGACAGCAGGAACAGTGTCCACTAACTATAAACAGACAGGACAGCAGGGACAGTGTCCACTAACTATAAACAGGACAGCAGGGACAGTGTCCACTAACTATAAACAGTCAGGACAGCAGGAACAGTGTCCACTAACTATAAACAGGACAGCAGGGACAGTGTCCACTAACTATAAACAGTCAGGACAGCAGGAACAGTGTCCACTAACTATAAACAGGACAGCAGGGACAGTGTCCACTAACTATAAACAGTCAGGACAGCAGGAACAGTGTCCACTAACTATAAACAGAACAGCAGGGACAGTGTCCACTAACTATAAACAGTCAGGACAGCAGGAACAGTGTCCACTAACTATAAACAGGACAGCAGGGACAGTGTCCACTAACTATAAACAGACAGGACAGCAGGGACAGTGTCCACTAACTATAAACAGTCAGGACAGAACAGGAACAGTGTCCACTAACTATAAACAGACAGGACAGAACAGGAACAGTGTCCACTAACTAAACAGCCGGGACAGCAGGAACAGTGTCCACTAACTAAACAGCAGGGACAGCAGGGAGAATGGTGTCCTGACAGCTCGAGAGGGAACAGGGAAGCCCAGGGCTGGGGCAGGAGAATCAGGAGATAAGAGATGGACTAGAGAATGTGAGTGTCCCCAGGATAAAATAAAAAAAGTCACAAACAAAAATAGATTTACAATTACATTCTTTCCTGCCCAACTTTAAGTCACCAAGATTGTGAAAGCTACAGCAGTGTTCCACCCGCATGGTTAACTGGCAATACACTTGCCATCAGCCAGAGAAGATCCTAACAGACACTTGTAGTTGGCAAGGATGGCTTAGTGGGCAAAGGCCCTTGCTCGAAAAGCTATCCTCTGACCTCCACACATGAGCTATGACACAGGTGTCTCACCATAAATGTAAAAAAAAAAATGACACCAGGGGATGGGGGTGCTCAGTCAGTAAAGTGGCTGCTGTGACAGCCTGAGGACCTGAACTGAGATCCCAGCACGTCCACAGAAAGCCAGGCATGAGGGTTGCCAAGATGACCCGCTGGGGACGACCCCTGCTGTCCAGGATCCCAGGTGCGCATGGTGGAAGGACACTCTCACAGACCCGCCTGCCTCTGCCTCGAGTGCTGGGATTAAAGGCATGCGCCACCACGGCCCCACAAGCCCGCTGTTTTGAGTAACTGACAGAGTGGGTGTCAGAGGAGAGCCTCATGATGGAGCCATGGTCTCACTTGGGGTCACCTCTGGAAAGGGACAGCTTTTCCATGCCAGTAGTAAAGTTTCTAGCAGATGGCTGGCTGCTGTCAATCATGCTAACTTGATCTGTCCTCTAATTTACTCCAGTATGTATGACCCATGATACAAGCAACCTGCAAAAGACTTCTGGCTCCATTAAAGCCAAACAGAAAGGTTTTTTATTTTTGGAAACACGACAAGATTTGGTGACTAATGACCCAGGACACTGAGTCCAGGAAAGAGCTGGAAAGAACCTCCAAATGATGGGTAAGGTGGATGACCCCAAGGTGGATCCACAGGATCTCTGGGCAGGGCTGAGGAGGGCTTGGTTGACTAGAACATTTCTTCTCAATCTGGACTCACTCAAAGAGGTCACAACCCTGTTTCTGAGCCCAACTTTTATGTGGCCAAATTCCTTTCTGATCCCACAGTCAAGTGTGAGGCACAGGCGGATGCTTAGGACCCAAGAACCAAAAGATCCCCAGCCAGAAAACAGGAGGCAGGAGGCCTCACGTCACTTCAGATGCTGACTGAGGCAGGAGATGCTCATGCCAGGCTTGGCTGCACAGCTCCTCAGATGTCCTGTGTGCCGCAGGCTGCAGAGACTAGATCCAGAACCTGGTGAACCTTACAGCATTGGTCTGGGTCTCAACCCGGACAAGGAGGGGCTCTGAGGTGAGGAGTCGGGGGGCTCCAGGCTCAGACTGAGGTGTGGCTCAGCTACAGGCACTCTACTCCTTCTGAAACCCAAAGTTAGGCCAGCTCAGGGCTGCCAGTCACAGAAAGCGGCTGTCACCGTCCCTCGAAGTGGGCTGTGATTTGTTCCAGAGTCCTGCCTTTTGTCTCAGGGACAGAGGTCAATGTGAAAAGGACACTGAGGACACAGAAGGCAGCGGTGAGCCAGAAGGCACCATAGGGCCTGAGGATCTCCTGCAGAAGAGGAAGGCACATGTGGAGGTAGCCAGAGGTCAAAGGCCCCTCACAACCCAGGAGTATCCCGACTGCAGCCTGCCCTGCCGGGCTTATCATATCTCTGGAGACCCAGCTGTGTGGATGATAGCTCACTGCCACCCGAGGTGATGTGTGTCTGAGAAACGTGTGTGACTGTCCTGAGAGCAGAAATGTCAAGGACACTAGGTTCCTGTTTCTGGGCATCCCAGGCTTACTATCCTCACTCCTACACCTTAGGCTACACCTCCAGTGTCCCAGCTACTGTGAGTTCTCTGTGCTGAGGAAGGGGAACTGCTGCTCTGAGAGAGGGTGGGGGCAAGTCTGCGACCTTGCAGGTGGCAAAGTCCCCCTCCTCTGTTCATTCCTTGCAGGAGGGGACACCCAGTGACCTTTCAGCCTCTTCAACAGGGTGCTCCCTGGGTCCCTGCTGGGTCTTCATCACGTCCTTCTGGGCTTCCTCCCCCAGGTCCTGTGCTGGCTGCTCCCTACCACATTCCGTGATGGCTCTGCTCGCCTTCCTCTGGGCTTTCTGGGAGGCCCCGTCTACCTGAGCATGTCTTTGGCTAGCTGGGTATCCACGCCACCCACCACCTCCCTGGCACCTGTCATGAAAGCGACTCTGTTGACCTCAGTTGTTACCATCTTTGCTGCCTTAAACAGGCCTGAGCACGGCCCATGCCAGGAGACATGGAGGGCACCAGTGACTGAGCAGATGACCTGCTCATCTGCCCCAGGACCTCTCTCTAGTGGCTAAGAAGCTGGCAGGCAGCAGCCACATCAGCATCAGCTAACACAGAGGGAAAGAAAGTATTGAATGGAACTGACAGGCCTTCAACCTAGAGGAAGGTACTGCTAGGTACCCGCACTTCTTCAGGTCCATGTTGAGAGACCGTTAAGCAGTAAGCACAGGGAGGCAGGCCCTCTCCGTGTGTGTGTGTGTGTGTGTGTGTGTGTGTGTGTGTGTGTGTGTGTGTGTGTGAGTGTGTGTGAGTGTGTGTATGTGTCTCAGAGCCCAGGCGCCCTCTCCCTGTGTGTGTGTGTGAGTGTGTGTGTCTCAGAACCCAGGCGCCCTCTCCCTGTGAGTGTGAGTGTGCGTGTGTGTGTGTGTCAGAGCCCAGGCGCCCTCTCCCTGTGTGTGTGTGTGTGTGAGTGTGTGTGTGTGTGTCAGAGCCCAGGCGCCCTCTCCCTGTGTGTGTGTGTGAGTGTGTATGTGTGTGTCAGAGCCCAGGCGCCCTCTCCCTGTGTGTGTGTGTGTCTCAGAGCCCAGGCGCCCTCTCCCTGTGAGTGAGTGTGCGTGTGTGTGTGTGTGTGTGTGTGTGTGTGTGTGTGTGTGTGTGTGTCTCACAGAGCCCAGGCCTGTCAAGTTTCCTTAAATATATCACGGGCTTCTGGCCTGTGTCTCTAACACTCATTAATGGGGAAGGCTGGCCATATTATTTTCACCCCAACACAGACTGAAGACTTAGGGGATCATTTGGTTCCTCATTTGGTTTAGCCTCTGGCTCCATGTCACTCCTGAGATGGCAGTGTCCCCGTCATGAGAGGACCTCAGCTTACACTCAAGGTCACAGACACGGAATCTCTCTGGCAGTGAAAGTTGTTTCATGAGGTAAGCCTTTGTTGACAGTGTGAGGGGAAGGCACGGTCTACACTCACCATGACTCTGCTGAACTCTTTGGTCACCAGAAAGGCCATGAACCAGTTGGTGAGGACACAGACACCAGTAGCCACACCCTTGACATGCAGAGGGAAGATCTCCGACATGAGGAGCCAGGGGATGGGTCCCCAGCCCACCGCAAAGCCTGCGGGAGCAAGGCAGTGTTAAGGCCCACATGCTGGGCTCCGACACCATCTTTCTTCCCAGCCTGTGGGCCTTAGGGGTTCTGCTAGCCCTCAACCCTGCTGGGAGGCCTTGGGCAAGTCCCTTCCTGTTTTAGACTTCAGGAAAAGGATGGGACCTGCTTGCAAGTTGTCATGGAGATGTGAAAGAATTTAGCTCAGTGCCCAGCACATGGTCAGAGCCACATGCACAGAAGTCATGTTCCTTGGGGCAGAGGGGCAAAGCCAAGTACGATGAGATTTGAAGCTGTGTGCTACTGAACTTGGCATGGTGGGCTACAGGGAAAACCACCCCCTCAGCGTCCCCTGAGTCCCTTCTTACCAGCAATGAAGAGGCACATGCTGCCTACGGCCAGCCAGGCCAGCCCCACGTGGACATCACCAGGCTCCACAGAGATGGGCACCAGGAGGCCTACATGGGAGGAGTTGCTGGGGCCACTCTGGGTCAGCTTGAAGTAGGTCCCAAAGGCACTCATGCTGAATACCATGATCACACCTGCAGGCAAGGGCTTGGGCTAGGCAGGATGCTGGGGACATGGCTTAGAGGGCAGTGTGGCCGCTCTGATAGAGTAGGGCCAGGTTAGGCACCTCACACCTTGGCCATGGCAGCCCAACTGGACAGGATTCCTACCATACTGGACCTCAGCCCTCGGCAAATGCTGGGAACTTCTCCAGCAGTCTCTTACCTGCGGAAGCAGGAGCATCAAGGGCAGCGTTCAACCACACCCACAGCGGCCTTCACAGGTTCCAGTGGGCACCATGGGTGTGTATGCCAAAGCTACTGCCCAGGACCGGACCTCACCACAGCCCTTCCCCAATTCAGAGTGGGAAAAGGAGGCTTGGGGACAGATGGTCACTTGCCTCCCTGCCCCTGTCTCCCCATGTGAGCTGGGGAGGCTGAGCCCTCCCCTTAGGCCTCACCCGACAAGGCCAGAAGCAGCCTCCGCCCTGCTCTGTCCATGATGAGGGCCGCCAAAGCAGTGAAGAGGACCTGGATGATGCCCACAGTGACCGAGGCCAGGCTGCTGTCCTGGAAGAGGGGAAAGCTGGTCTGCTAGAGAGAGACAAGTCCCTCCCTCTCTCTCTGGCTCTGAGCTGGGTCGAAAGCTCCCCAGGCTTCGGGAGGCTAAATCACACATGTGGCATGAGGCAGGCTGGGCAGAGGCCTCTTACCTTGAACTTGGCTTCCTCAAAGATGGTGTTGGCGTAGAACATGATGGCGTTGACCCCTGACAGCTGCTGAAAGGCCATGAGTGAAATGCCAATGACGAGGGGCTTGTAGACGCCAGGGCGCCGTAGCATAGCCAGATGGAAGCCCTGCCGCAAAGACGGCCGTCAGTGTTCTCTCTCCCGACCCAAGAACCCTTCTTTGAGCCCACAAGCCTAAGTGGAGGGGACTGAGCCTCAGCTTGCTGGCCCCACCCCACCTGTGGCCCTGAGTGTACAGACAGACCCCTGCAGCCTCCTCACGTAGGAGGGGAGGGGTGGAGGCTCGCACTCCAGCCCTGGGGAAAGAATCCTGTACCTGACAAGCACTTGTGTGTGTTCAGGCTCACCTCCACCAGGGGGAGGAGAGTACCTCCTGTAGCCATCTGTGTGGACCTCAGCATCACCATGAGGTGAGGACTATCCTTTTACAGATGAAGGAGCCAAGACTCAAAGATGGCCAGTCACACAGTGGCTGCAAAGTGTCTGCGTGCCACTGACTCTGAAGACTCCCCTGCCTGTGGTTCCCAGTAAATGAAGCCCTCACCCGGTTCCCCTCAGGCCTGGCCTTTCACTTGTTGGGACAGTAGGAGCTAAGTGGGGCTCCAGGCGGGCCCCCTGCTCAGGCAGGGTGGTACTGGCCCTCACTGAGGGTGGAGGGCTGCTGCCACTCAGGCGTGTGGCTTTGGGAGCAGGTATGCTCTCTGCCTGCTCTCAGCCTCTCACCTGGTGCTCAGCCCCGACGGGGGGCTCTTCCCAGCCCTCCTCAGAGCCCCACAGGAACCGAAGGGCAGCCATGGCCTCCTGGTGCTGGTGTTGAGTCAGGAGGAAGCGTGGGGTCTCGGGCATACAGCACATGAGCAGCAGCATGAAGGTGGGAGGCACACAGCCCAGCACGGCCAGCCAGCGCCACTCCAGGACCCAGCCTGCAAAGGCAGACGTCAGAGCCAGGGCGAGCCAGCCTAGCCCCCTTGCCAGCCCGGGGACTCGCTCCAAGGGTGGGCACCTCACTGCCTCGCCCGGCTGCCTTCATGTTGGTTAGAGACACTGCTGCTAATAGGAATGTTTCATCAGGACACCACTGGGTAGCATCTATTAAGGGAAATACAGATGGACTGCACATAAGATGTAAAGTTAGAACAGCTGAAAGATGTCCATTGCCAAGCCTGCCTTGTAGCCATGGTAACGTATTATAGTGCACTGCAATGGTGATACTGGTGGAACCCAAAGGCTGCGCTCCCAGTCATGTTAAAGCCTGGGCGCCGCAAAATGGTTAGAAATGACTGCTATTGCGTTGATGCATTTACTACAGTATGCTTTTAAAGTAATTCTTGATTTATCTGTGTGAGTGTGGTGTGTATGCACTCATGTGTGAGTGGAAGCCAGAGGAGGCACTGGTGTCTAGTGCTGCCCACCTTATTCCCTAGACAGGGGTCTTCCATTAAACCTGGAGCTAGGCTGGTGGTCAGCAGCCCCAGCATCCTCCCGTCTCTGCCCTACCACAGCGCTGGAGTTCCAGGAACTCATGAGCACACTTCAGCTTTTAGGTGGGTTCTGGGATTTGAACTCAGGTCCTCATGCTTCGGCAGCAAGCTCTTCTACTTGCTGAACTACTTCCCAAGTCCCATGTTATACCTTTATCATAATTTTATTATATCATTTGAACTATTTTGGGTGTGGTGGTTTGAATGAGAATGGCCCCTCTATGCTCAGATGTTTGAATACCTGCTCCCCAGTTGGTGGGACTGTTTGGGAAGGAATAGGAGGTGTGTCAGTGGGGGCAGCTTTGAGGTTTAAAAAGTCCTTGCCATTCCCAGTTAGCTCTCTGCCTCTGCTCCAGTGCCATGCTTACCTGCCTGCTGCCACGCTCCCCACCATGATGGAGACTCTGGAACCATACACCTCAAATTAAATGTTTACTTTTATAAGTTGCCTTGATCATCGTATTTTATCTTAGTTACAGTATACAAGTAACTAAGCTGGGCGTGGGGGTGCACGCCTTTAATCCCAGCACTTGGGAGGCAGAGGCAGGCGGACCTTTAAGTTTGAGACCAGCCTGGTCTACAGAGAGAGTTCCAGGACAGCCAGTGCTACACAGAGAAACCCTGTCTGGAAAAACAATAAATGCATGCATGATGCATGGCACAGCGTGTGTGTGGAGGTCAGAGGCCAGCCTGCAGGAGTCAGTTTGCTTTAGCAATAAGGCTCACAAATAGCTGTTCCACAAAGTCTCGTGACTGAGGCATTACTGTCCCCACCACATCACTTTCTTGTGTCACAGTCAACTCATACCAGTGGGTCAAAAGGACAGAACCAGATCAGTGCAAGGCAGTGTGATGAAGACGCATTGGAGGCAACACTGTGGTTGACGGACACTGACTGTCTCCCTACCACACCGTCAACATCTGTGCCTCATAGGGGCTCTGGCTCACCACAGCGCTCCTGAGGCAGCCAGGCTGCAGGGACGACACAGAAGAGCCGGGACGATAAAGGAGTTAAAAAGGAAAGACTGAGACCTGTGTGGGGTTCACTGTGAAGATCCAGTATGTATACCCCAGGCTAGATCACAGCCTGTCAGCCACCCCACCCGCCATGGCTCTCAAGCCATCATTTAACAATTCTCATTGGGGATGTGTTCTCAGGCACTTTTCATATGCTATTACTCTCCTGGCCCTGGACATTTGTTTAGGGATGGAGGGGATTGAGGCTCTCAGGGGCAGTGAAACTTGGCCAAAGTTACATAGCAAGTGGCGGGTGTGGCAGGTTTCCTAATGAGGAAACAATTCCTGAAACTGCAGGCCACCAGCTCTGCCCTTCAGGGTCTCTGGGAACCAGCCTCCTTCATGTGACTTGAACCCAGTGATAACATGCTGAAACTCCAGTTCTCCCAGTGAGGGAGCTAAAGCATTTCCCTATACCCCGCCCCTCCGTGAAACTGGAACCCTCTGCTGAGTCCCTCCACAGTGTGGTGGGCTTCTGGGACAATGAAGGGACCACCTGCCCCAGTTCTCCCTGGCTCAGTTAGCACACCAAGCTCCAGGAGTGTGACTAAGAACCTGGCACCTTGGTCAGTAGCACTGGGCGAACTCCTGCCCTCTATAAACCTCAGTTTCCAAAGTGGCCACATAGCCATTAACGGGGATAAAAGACAGCATGCAAATCTACCTGCCACGTAGGCCAAGAGGATGCCGGTGACAACCATCAGCTGCACACAGGAGCCAAGCAGTCCACGGATGGCTGGGTAGGCAATTTCCGAGATATATACCTGGGTAGGTAAGGTGAGACTTCACTTGGGCCCTTAGACGGAAGGGTCTAACTACACTGCCACAGAGTGACACTCCATCTTCTGCAGATTTTTAAAGAGGATTGTGGGTAATGGTTGCTGCTGTGTGTATGAGCAGGGGGAGAGAGGAGTGCACAGAACTTCCTTATACTCATTTTATTTTTTTTAGATAGTTTCATGTAGCCCAGGCTAGCCTCCAATGAGCTGAAGATAACCATGAATTCCTGATCTTCATGTATTTACCCCTCAAGTCCTGGGATTACAGGCACGTGCCACCAGGCCCAGACCAGTACACGTTTAATATGCACAAATGTGAGTTAGAACAAAAGACTTCTCCCTTGCTGGTCAGCTCCAGGTGCTACCCTGGACACTGAAAGTGCCCTTGTCCAGCCTAATTTGACCAGGGGCTGCCATCACTTCTTCAAAGCTCAGGGGTCACAGGCATCGACCATACTTCTAGATTATTCCATACCTTATGCCCATGACTATCCTAGTTAAAAAAAAAAAAATCTGCAGCTCTACAGCCTCCCTCTCCTCTAGCTCCTGCACAGCTCCAACAGGTGCAGAGAATGAGAGGTGAGGAAGGGACCGGTGGTCATCCAAGTCGGTGATTGCGGGTTGCTGGTGATCTGTTACCAGGGCCCAAATCTCTCTAGAGACCGTGCCTGGACCCGCAGCTTCCCGTACAAAGGCCTCACAACCAGCTCAGGGATAACTCTTAATTTACAAGGGAGCGGACTGAGCTCAGAGAAGAGCCTGTGCCCAGGTAAATGATCCTGGTGTGTGGGCTGCAAATGTGTAGGCTTCAAGCTGTGAAGGTAGTGAGAAGTCCGTCCCAGGGACAACCCAGAACAGAACCGCCCTGCTAACATGAAAATAGGGGGGATCCAGTCATAACTGCTAAGCAACAGGGATACCATCATTTGTAGAGTAAAAGAGGCTCAACTAAGGGCAATGCTGGGCGTGAGGAATGGCTTCACTGCAGACTAGCTGCCCGCTTCCCGGCAAAGATCATATAGAAGGCCCAAACCACTCACCGGTGCCACTAGTGAGGCGACTCCGCAAGCTAGGCCAGTGAGGAGACGGCCTCCGAGCAGCATCCACAGGTCCTGAGCCGCGGTGATGACGGCAAAGCCGGTCACGAAGGGCACGGTGCAGAGCAGGAGGCTCAGCTTGCGCCCTGCACGATCCACGAGCCAGCCGCCCAGTACGCCCCCTGCCGCAGCGCCCAGGGTCACGATGGCCTGGGAACCCGTACGGTCACCAAGGGCCATGGTCCACGATCCCTCCACCCCACGCCCCGCAGCCTCAGAGGAAAGAGAATAAGGACCCTGGGGTGCGGCGGAGAGTGGGGGACCCCCGCGGGCTCACCCCGAACCAGGAGGCCGCACTGTCTCCGAGGCGCAGGGCGGGGGGCGCGGTGCGCCGCAGGCTGGGGATGGCTGGGGAGCTGTAGCCGAGGGCGAAGCCGAAGCTGAGCGGGCCCAGGGCGGCGGCGAAGGCGGCGAGGAAGACCCGGCGGCCGCGGGGAACGCTGCGGGTACAAGGCGGGGCGTGAGCGGCGCCGCTGGGCGTGAGAGGGAGGCCGCAGACCCCCGGGGTCCGCACCTGGCGTCCGGCGGCCGCAAGAGCGGCAGCGTCTCCTCGGCGTCCTCGGGCGACATGCTGGCAGCAGCAGAGAGCGACCCGCGAACTGTCGCAGCTCGGGCGAGCGCGGCCTCGGCGGCAGGCGTGGCCAATGGGACGCTAGAACCCGCCCCCAATTAGAGCTGACCAATGGGAGCTTGTGCCCTCGTGGGCAAGATTGTCCAATTGGAGTGTGGGATGAGTCTGAAGGCGTGGCCACCAGGACCTAGGACTGAGCGAGCCAATGAAGTTTGGGTGTTTTAGATGTTTTTTATCCTAACCTGTGTTGTGGGGCCGAGGGGACGGCGCCCCTGTGCAGGACAGAAGTGAACTTTTTCAAGTTGGTTTTCTCCTTCCACCATGTGGATTAGGTCATCCGGATCGAACCGATGTCGTCAGGCTTGGGGGCAAGCACCTTTACCAGCAGACATCTCGCTGGCCCATGTTTTGGTGGTTTCATTTGTTTTTATTCTTTATTTTTATTTTAAACTTCTTTATTTGTGAGTGTTTTGCTTACGTGTATGTTTGTGTGCCCCATGCGTGCCTCGTGCTTGTGGAGGTCAGAAGGCGGCGTCAGATCCCCTGGAACTGGAGTTACAGATTGTGAGCCACCATGTACGGGTGTGCTTGGGACCTAGGTCAGAGTCCTCTGCGAGAACAAGTTTACAGTTTTACTTTTTTCTTTTTTTGTGTGGCATTGTCTCTCAATCTAGCCTCTGCTAATGAGGGTAGTAGTGGGTCAAAGGCGGAGCACATGAGCTGGCTGGCGCAAGACTTCCCACCCTTACTACATAACATTTCCCTGGAACATGGTCAGCCATTCTTCCCCAACCTTGACTTCTGCCTCAGGGAGCCTCAGGGTGAAAAGTCTCCGAGCAGACTGTCTTGGGCCACCTATCCCTCTCCTTGGACTTTCTGAGACTGACCCGGTGCTTCCGGGGGGCAGATCACCTTCAACATGAGTGCTACAAAGTCTAGGACCCCGAGATGCTGAGGACCCTGTCAGGTCCCCGTTCCAGAGGTGGGGAGAGTGGGACTTAGTGATTTCCTTGTTCCTTGGTTGCCCCACAGATCATCCCCAGCCTTGAATCTTTATCTTTCTACCTCCCCGAGTCTCCCTCTGGTTATGTACCACCGCTTTGTGGGCAGGCAATGGCACACATGTACTTCTGGAAAGAACAGTGGGAGGCGCCTAGCCCCTCCCTGTGCCGGGTGTCTTCATCTGTAAGTGGGGGTACGGACTATCTTCCAGGAGAGCTGTGGGCAGGCGAAGCTCTCAAATGCCTGCTAGTATAGTGGTTTGACATTATTGCAGCCAGTCTATTGTAGCAGCCAACATTTTCCAGTCCTTATCACAAGACTATCTTAAAGGCAGCCAGCCACCTGTTTGTGCCCCTACAAAAACTCATGCTTGGGGGTAAGTTCTTACATTGCTCCATAACCACCTGCTCTTTTCTTTCCCAGTGGGCATTAGCCCCTTTGGACAGAAGGTGCTTGGTGTCTGCAGAGCAGAGGCCATGGAGAAATTGCACCTAGACCCTGTACTTCGTACCTGAGCCAGTGGCACAGCTGAGTGGCTTATTTGGAAGGGATGCTGCAGGGAGCCCAGCTAGCGCTAGACTTCTGAGCCATGGACACCTGTGAGCCACTAGCCAATGTTCTCCCTTCCCACATTTGCCTAGATATTGTTGGTAGAAAAGCCTCACTCCCCCCCCCCCCTTTTTTTTTGGTTTTTTGAGACAGGGTTTCTCTGTGTAGTTTTGGTGCCTGTCCTGGATCTCACTCTGTAGACCAGGCTGGCCTCGAACTCACAGAGATCCTCCTGGCTTCTGCCTCCCGAGTGCTGGGATTAAAGGCATGCGCCACTGTCACCTGGCACCCCTCCCCCTTTTTTATGAGCAAAGCATCACCAGCTTGAGTCATGTCCCTCTCTTGCCTCCTCTGTATTTCTTATACCCTTGTCTCTTACCCGTCATAGCTGGCTTCATTACTGCCCTTTCTGGAAGAATAAATACAGGCTTAGATTTTCTTCTCTTTCATCAAGATATAACAACAACAACAAGGACAGGAAAAATAGAGATACAAGCTCATTAACTGGTGTAACATGAAAAACAGAGGCCAAGAACCAGATGTGTGGCACAAGCCACTCAGCACCTGGGAGGTGGAAGTTGGAGAATCAAGAGTTCAAGGCCAGCCTTGGCTGCATGAAACTCTGTCTCAACCTCCCCTCCCCAATCCTAAAACAAAATATTCATTCAGCCTACCCCACCTGAGAGGAAGCACTTAGCCCGTTTCTGTGAGGCCCACAGGGCAGAGAGAGCAGAGTTCTCTGGGACTAAGAGAACATAAGTTCAAATCATAGACGCTTTCTGAGTTCTGAGTCTGTTTCCTTTCCTCAAAAGAAGGTGATAGGCCTGGGAGACGGCTCCATTGGTACAAAGCTTGCTTCTGAAGCATGAGAACCTGGGTTTGACTCCAGCATTCTCGCAAAAGCTGGGAGTGGCGGTGCACGTCTGTAACTTCAGCACTGAGGAGGTAGATACAAGTTGTCCCTGGGGCTCACTGGTCACCCAGCTTAGCTTAACTAGTGAGCCCCGCCAGATCCTAATGAGAGATGCTGTCTCAAAAAAACCAAGTGCATGGCCCCTGAGGAACAACAGCCGAAGCTGACCGCTAGCCCCCACATGTAAACCCACTGACATCCCCACAAGCCCCCAACCGGAGAAATGCCAGAATAAACCTAATACAACTGTTGGTGGGGTTGATGTAGCCTCTAACGCTTACTTTTGGTCCCATGTATCACACGGAACTGTTGTGCAGAAGGGGGAGGGGAAGGGAATCCTCCTTATGGCCTGCAAGGCTCTAACCTCTGATACCATGACATCAGAACTCCTCAGAGCTGCTTCCTCTTGGGCAGACAATGGGGTTTCTTTCCACAGGCCATGTGGGCATGAAGGGGAATCAGCTGCTAAACCAAAGGTGACCTGTGACCTCTGGGCCAGGGCTGCTGTTTCACTACTTCATTTGTGTTTGGTTCAGTCCACATTACCTCCTGCTTACTTTTCAGGAGACAGCTCGGGTAGGCATTTTAAAAACCAGATTTATTCATTTTATAAGTGTTTTACATGCATGCATGTATGTGCACCATGTGTGTGCCTCCTGCCCTTGGAGGTCAAAAGAGGGCATTGGATCCTCTGGAACTGTAGTTAGAAATGGTTGTGAGACACCACATGGGTGCTGGGAATCAAACCAGGGTCCTCTGGGAGAGCAAGTGCTCTTAACCACAGAGGCAGCTCTCCATCTCTCCATCTCAACGTTCTGATACATCTATAAGAGGAGGGATAATCTGGCTTCATATGGAAGAGCAAGGCGGGGCTGAGGACACAGCTCAGCAACAGAGCCTGTTTGCCTAGTGTGGGTAAGATCTGGGCGTCCATACCCAGCACAGCAAAACAGAACAGGTGGACCCACTCAAGGGAGGGGGCCAAGAACTCTGCATGACAAGGATCCACTATTTCCTGGCTACACGACCTCACAGTCACAAGATGCATGTATCCTAAGACTATGCAGTGCCCTTGCCTTATTATTATTTGAGATCGAAGGAGGAAGAAGTGGGAGGCTTCATCTATCTTTCCCAGGTCTCTAGGCAGGAGTGCAGGGGCCCCACCCCAGTGAACACAGGCAGCAACAGGGCCAAGGTGCAGAAAGAAAACTTATTTATAGGAAAATTAAAAAGCAGCATCTTTTTTCATAAAAGAAGCATAGTATGTGACATAAGTCAAACTTACAAAAAATAATTTCCATCTAAGTCTATAAAATATAAGAGAAGGGTTGCAGTGAATAAGAATGAACATTTTTGATTTATTCAAAGTTTTGATCTAAGACCTCAATGAAATCTACCACCTTTATTACAAGGGGACTGACGGTTCTTGAATGGGAGAAACAAGGGTCAAGAAGGACGGCACTGGACTCCGCCGGAGAGTGACCCAGCTGGCTGAGGGTGTGGGAGTTTGGTCCAGTAGATGGCGGCCCGGCTGAAGGGGCACTTGGTTGAGCCAGGATGCTGGAGCTGCTGACAGTATAAACCTGCGTACGGAAACTAAGGGTGGCCGACGAGACACACTATTTCAAATCGATGATGTCTTCCTCTGAGGAGGCCATGAGCTGGAAGGGGCTGCTGCCTGAGCCTGAGCTGGCCTCTTTGTCCACCACCAGGTCCTGGTCAGAGCTTGCCGAGTGGTTACGGCCCTCAGCATTGGCTTCAGAAGCAGGACTTTCCAAAACTCCAGATGGGATCCTGGAAGAGAGAAGCTGCTGTCAAGGCGTGTTGCTTGCTCTCCTGTTCTCCTGGGCTCAGTGTATCTACCATGGATGAAAGGAGGAAGGTGAGGAAGTGTGGGTTTCACTTCTCAGAGTGATCCACAAAGGCCCCAGGCCTTGGAAGCACTGGCTCTGCTCTGCCCACCTGACCTCCTGCTGCCCCCTAACACTTGCTCAAGTGTCCCTTCTTCTTCCCCGTGTCTCTGGTCATGCTGCCTGCCCAGAGCCATTGCCTGGAGTCCCTGCTGCCTTGGGCACTGATCCCCCATTCTTCTTCTTTTTTTTTCCTCTTTCGTTTTCAAGACAGGGTCTCTCTGTGTAGCCTTGGCTGTCCTTCAACATGCTCTGCAGACCAGGCTGGCCTCGAACTCAGAGATCCTCCTGCCTCTGCCTCCTGAGTGCTGTGTAAGCACCGCCGGCTGTTCCTCCATTCTCAGCATTCACCCCAAGCCAGCCCTGTGCTCGGCTCTTCCCTGACCTCCTATCAAAGTGGACCTTCTCTCTGCCGTCCTGTCATTTATTTATTAGTGGTGTTGCTTCTTAAAAAGGTTTATTTTGCTAGGTGGTGGTGGCCACACCTTTAATCCCAGCACTCAAGAGGAACAGGCAGGCAGATCTCTGCGAGTTTGAGGCCAGCATAGTCTACAGAGCAAGTTCCAGGACAGCCAGGGTGGTTACACAGAGAAACCCTGACTCAAAAACAAACAAACACTAAAAAAATCTCAAAACATCTAATAATGAACAGATTTATTTTTATTTGATAAGTATGGATGCTTTGTCTGCATGTATGTCTGCGCACTCTGTGCATCCCTGTGCTCTCAGGGGCTAGAAGAAGGTATTAGATCCTCTAGAAGTAGAGTCACAGATGATTGTGAGCCACCATGTGGTACTGGGAATTGAACCTGGGTCCTCTGGAAGATCAAACAATGAATGCTCTTAACGGCTGAGCTGTCTTTCCAGCCCCTCATACTGTGAGCTAGGGTCTGGCTGGCCTTGAACTTACTGTGACTCTCCTACCTCTAATCCAGACCTGAACCATCATCCCCAGCCGCCTACAGTTTTTTTTAAAATAATTTATTATTTTTTAATTTTATGTGCATTAGTGTTTTTCCTGTATGCATGTCTGTGTGAGGGTGTTGGATCCTGGAGTCACAGACAGTTGTGAGCTGCCATGTGGGTCCTCTGGGGTAGTCAGTGCTCTTAACCACTGAGCCATTTTTCCAGCCCCTTATCTTTACTTTTGGTATTTTGAGACAGGGTCTCAATATGTAGCTCTGGCTGGTCTGGAACTCATTATATAGACTAGATTGGTTTGAACTCAGAGATCTATCTTTGTCCTCCTGAGTGGTGGGATTTAAAGTGTGTACCACCATGCTGGCTCTCTTTAAAAAATTACTGAACGTGTATTTTATGTACATAATTGTTTACGGGCATGTCTGTGTCTGGTGTGTCTGGCACCATCGGATCCCCGAAGCTGGAGTTAGAGATGGCTGTGAGCAGCCATGTGGGTGCTGGGAACTTGGGCCTCTCTAAGAGCAGCCAATGCTCTTGGCCACAGTCATTTCTCCAGTCCCTTAACTTCAGAGCACACTGTGGCTGGCTGAGATCAACAGTGTCCCTACAGTTAGATCTGTTTCTCCACGTGAGGCTGAGCGTGAGTGAGGCTGGCTCTTCCCACCAGGCAGCCTGAGACCCTCTGTGCAGGTGGCAGGACACTCCACTCTGCCATGCTTAATGGCTTGGTGCTTAACGGCCTATGGACCCTCTGAAGGTCCACACAGGCTTGGTCATCTCCCTCCCCCCAGCTTAGTGCAGAGTGCCAAAGTAGCTTGGACAGATGTTCCATTCCTTCCAGAAGGGCACATGCACTGTTGCTGAAGGGACCACATCTGTGAGGCAACAAACATCTGTCCACATGTGCTGAGCTGCCTGCCATTCAGAAGGGCTCTTCCTGTTCCGGAAAGTGGCTGACCCTAAACTCTTACTAAGCAATCTTGTTTTTGTGAATCTTCATCAACCAGTGATCCAAAAATAGTCTCTTCGGAGAGAGGTCAGTGGGGTGGGAGGGACAAGGAAGAGTAACTGGGGTGTGTGGGGGACTATGATTAAAATACATCACTACGTACATCCTAACAGCTTCTCTCTAGGACTGGGTGTGGTGGTACATGGCTTTTTTTTTTTTTTTTTTTCAAGACGAGGTTTCTCTGTGTAGTTTTGGAGCCTGTCCTGGAACTCACTCTGTAGACCAGGCTGGCCTCGAACTCATAGAGATCCGCCTGCCTCTGCCTCCCAAGTGCTGGGATTAAAGGTGTGCGCCATCACTGGTGCAGCATTCAGGAAACAGTCTGAGGCCAGCCTGGTCTACATGGTGAGTTAGGTTAGCCAAAGCCACATAGTGAACTCTTTTCTAAAAGTGTCTTTCTCTGTTGTTTCTCTCTCATACACATGTACTCCTGTGTGTGTGTGTGTGTGTGTGTGTGTGTGTGTGTGTGTGTGTGTGTGTGTGTGTGTTTTGTGCATGTTGGCCGTGGCTCTAGCTGACTGTCCCTAGCCCCTCTGAATTTATTCAGTGAACATTAGCTGGGTTGCTGATGGCAGTGTCCTCTTGTCTCAGCCCCATATGGCTGGCAGCCGTTGTTTCTGGACCCTCAGTGGGGCTGGCTGCTGACCCTGTGGGGTGCTGGCCAGTCTCGCTGGGCAAGCACCCAGAGCAGGAGGGCTTCTTCTTACCTGTCACTGCTAGCTGACCTCACAGCCTCTGGCTTGGGGTCTCCTTGACCTTCTTCTAAGCGTTTCCGGGGTTTTGATCTGGCCCTTGGTGCTGCTCCTTCTGACCTGGGTCCACCGTCATCAGAGAGACCTGTGTCACAGAGGAGGACCAGAGGTCAGGGGTCATCACCACAGGGGACAGAGATGCCTTTTTAATTCTTTAAAAACTTCAAAGTTCTTTGAGAATTTCACACAGGATGTGTTTGGATCAGATCCACCCCGCTTCCCCTCCCCGTCCAGTTTTCCTGCCCCTTTTATCCTCACTGGTACATTACTAGGCTTGACACAGTAGCGAAGATGACAGAGATATATTTGTGAATGGTTTTTCTGTTGGAGAAGTCTATTCTCTCTGATTATAAAGTGTATAGACACTGCAACACACAGTCCCAGAGAACTCTAACAGTGGCAAGGCCCCTAAAATCCTATAGTGTTCTCATAAGCTCCCTATTCCCCCTTAAAGTGGCTTAGTCAGCTTTCTGTCCATCATCAGTGGGAAATGGTCCAAAATTCACTGGTGTAGATGTAATTATTATTGATGGATTCTAAATCTCTGCTGAGAGGGAGTTAAATTTTTTATTACATTTATTTGTGTTGTGTGTCTGTGAGTGCTTGTATGGTGTGTGTGTGTGTGTGTGTGTGTGTGTGTGTGTGTGTGTGTGTGTGTGTGTGTGTGTGTGTGTGTGTGTGTGGAGAGGACAACTTGAGGAAGTTAGCTCTCGCCTTCAGCCTTCAACCATGTGTGTCCTGGGCCTCGAACTCAGGTCGGCAAGCTTGAAAGCAAATGCTTGTACCGTCTGAAAGTCCTTAGGACACTCATGTGACAAAGTCTTTCTTCGTGCTAATTATATCACATAATTAATTATATTCAGGAACAAGAAATTATGTCCAGGCAACAAGATGGTCCAGTGGGTAAAGGCACTGGCCATCAGGCTGATGACCTGATCTCTGTCCCACTGGTGGGAGGAGAGGACCGGGTCCTGCAAGTTCTTCCCAAGTGCCTGCCCAAGTCTGCCAAGACGAAAGCCCGCTGGTTGACTGACAAGCTGTGGGAACACTCCTGGCGGCTGTTATTACCTAGCAGTTCCCTGCGGGTCCTGCTTGCTATTTCTTTGATTTCCATGCGCGACAGGGACAGGGAGTGAGTGACAGGGATGGCAGCAATGCCAAGGCTGATGGAGGTGGGCGGCGTGATGACCTTGGACACCAGGGGCGACTTCAGAGGCCGCTCGATGCTTCTGCCCACAAGGTTTCTGAGTGGAATCCTGTACAGATTTTTAGACTGAACTTCACCTGAAACACAATTTGGAAAAGACCAGAACTTTAGGCTCATGTTATTTACAACAGAACAGTTTCTTTCTTTAAAAGTTTTAAATGACATTGTTGAGTGTGTGTGTGCATGTGTCCATGTGTAGAGGTCAGGGAAGAACTTGCAGGACCTGGTCCTCTCCTCCCACCAGCAGGACAGAGGTCAAGCTCAGGTCATCGGGCCTGATGGCCAGTGCCTTTACCTACTGGACCATCTTGCTGCCTGGACATAATTTCTTGTTCCTGAATATAATTATGTGATATAATTAGCACGAAGAAAGACTTTGTCATAGGCTGATGACGCCCAATGGCTCTGTGTGTCCTAGGGACTTTCTTTCTTTTGTGGGAATTTGATAGAGTACAATTGTGCTTGTACAGGAAACAGGAGAGACAAGGAGAGCGGGGAACTGCCCGCCAGGGGCCTCATCTGAACAATGAATGATAAAGATGACTGACGGGGGCAAGAAGTCAGGAGAAATGCTCTTCTTGGCCCCACAGGAGCCTGGCACAGGACACACTGTGCAAAGCAGAGTGACACCTGAGTCTCTGGGGACGTGTGCAAAGGGAGAGTGACACCTGAGTCTCTGGGGACATGGCAAAGCACAGTGACACCTGAGTCTCTGGGCTGCAGATTTAGCCGTGAAACTCACTGGTACTGTCACCCCCTGAGGAGAAACACATGATCCTGCTAGCTGGATGCACTCTGGCTTATTCTTTTCTCCGCTGAAAGCGCTGTTTTACAGAATGGGATTCCTCCTATTTTTGTTTGTTTGGTGTGTGTGTGTGTGTGTGTGTGTGTGTGTGTGTGTGTGTGTGTGTGTGTGTGTGTATACATATGTATATGGAAGCCAGAGGGGTGTGTGTGTGTGTGTACACATATGTATATGGAGGTCAGAGGTGTGTGTGTATGTGTGTGTGTGTATGTATGTATATGGAGGTCAGAGGTGTGTATGTGTGTGTGTGTGTGTATGTATATGGAGGCCAGAGGTGTATATGTGTGTGTGTGTGTGTGTGTGTGTGTGTGTGTGTGTGTGTGTATACGTATGTATATGGAGGTCAGAGGTTTCTCCAACTTACTTCTTGGGACAAGGCTTCTCACAGAACCTGGAACTTGCTAGACTAGCTAATCAGCGTGTGTACCCCAGGGATCCTCCTGACCCCAGGACTGGGCTTAGGAGTGTGCACCACTGTGCCTGACCTTTTATGTGGGTGCTGGGATGTGAAGTCAGGTCCCCATGCTTGTGGAGCAAGTGCAAGCAATTAACTGAATGAGTTGTCGATTCAGCCCCCTGCCTTTCTTTTCTTTTTAAAAATTTTTAATTTTAATTAATAATAACAATAATAATAATAATAATAATAATTATTATTATTATGAAACAGGGTTTCTTTATGTAGCCCTGGCTATACTGGAACTCAGTAGAGAGACCAGGCTGGCCTTGAACTCAGAGATCCACCTGCCTCTGCCTCTTGAGTGCTGGGATTAAAGGCGTGTGCCATCATGTATGGCTTTTATTGTTATTTTAATATAAAGTTTCTTAAGAATTTTTTTTTTTTTTGGTTTTTCGAGACAGGGTTTCTCTTGTGTAGCTTTGGAGCCTGTCCTGGAACTCACTCTAGCCCAGGCTGGCCTCGAACTCACAGAGATCTGCTTGCCTCTGCCTCCCGAGTGCTGGGATTAAAGGCATGCACCACCACCACCACCCGGCTGTTTCTTAAGAATTTTACCAATTCAAAGGACAAAGTTTATTTATTGGTTTGTTTGTTTTTGAGATAGGTCTCACCACCTAGTCCAGGCTGGCCCTGAATGTGCGATCAAGCAAGTTCTTTTCACTGGCTTTAAATAGTAACATCTTCAACAACTCTAACTGCTACTTCTCCTCCCCCTTATTCTTTGTTGCGGGATTTTTCATCGTATTGCGACACTCTGAGACTGTTAATAAAGTTAACCTTGAATCAGGGAGTGGAGTCAACGACCAGCTGACTGTAATTAGCCACAGAGATTTTGGAAGACCCAGGATACGATAAGATAGAGAGGGCCAGCTGGTCCTTTCTCGCTGCTTTCTTGATCTACCAGGTTTTTACTCCGATACCTTACTCCCGAGTTTTTAGCGATAACAGAACAATTTAGACAACTGCTTCACCTCTTCATTTTGGTTTTTTTGAAACAGGGTCTCCTTCTACATAGCCTTGATTGTCCTGGAACTCACTCTGTAACCAGGCTGGCCTGGAACTCACAGAGATCTGCCTGCCTCTGCCTCTTGAGTGCTGGGATTCAAGGCGTGTGGCACTATGCCCAATCTGAATAGTAACTTCTTTAGCAGTGATTATGTCTAGCTCTGACAGGAAGCCAAAGGAACCATGATCCAGGGGATCTATTAATAAAGCAGTAAACGTTGGACTTCACCTTCCCCCAGGGAAGAAGGGAACAGCGGAGTATCCCGGGCCGGAGGTGTCTGAGGAGACGTGTGGGCACTGGCCCCCTTGGAGCTGCTGGCAGATGAGCCCTCGTGCACAGCCGTGGCTGCTGTGAAGTATATGTCTGACTGGAAGGGAAGAAGAAGCGTTAGCAGCTGCCTTGTACCCCAGGCTCTGCACCACTGCCAAGACCGACTGGTTCCCAGGCCTGGAGGCGACTTCCTGACCTCCTCAGGGCAGGCAGCGCAGACCAGGGGCTCATCCAGCTGGACTTTGCCAAGGATTTGCTCTCCTTTTCTCTGCACTGACCTACACTAGCAGAGTCACTTGCCACACATCTGCAAACCCAACCCAACGCACACACGTCCCCTCCGAGTCTCAGAACTGGGACGGACCTCGGGGATTCAGTCAGGCCCATTCTGCAGGGGGAAGATAGAGACGTCTGCCTCATGGAGTCAGCATAAATATACTCCAGCATGCCCACATGTGCTCACCTGGCACAACAGTGGGAAGACATCACATGTGTTCTTGAGAGCCGACTCTCAGGAAGTTTGCAAGCCAGATCTTTTTTTTTTTTTGGTTTTTTGAGACAGGGTTTCTCTGTGTAGCTTTGCGCCTTTCCTGGAACTCACTCGGTAGCCCAGGCTGGCCTTGAACTCACAGAGATCCGCCTGGCTCTGCCTCCCGAGTGCTGGGATTAAAGGCGTGCGCCACCACCGCCCGGCGCAAGCCAGATCTTAAACATGGCCATCATTAAAATTTAAAAGTACAAATTTAGCTTTTTGTGTGTGGTGTTTACCCATGTGTGTATGCAATATGCACATCAGTGCACCTGCATGGAGGCCAGAGGAGGAAGTCAGGAGTCCTGCTCCATCACTCTCCACTTGACTTCCTTAAGAAAGGGTCTATCACTGAACCTGGAGCTAGGCTGGTAGCCTAAGTCCCAGCAATCCTCCTGTCTCTGCCCCTTACAGCACTGGGCTTGCAGGCATGCATGTGAACACATTCAGATTTTTACGTGGGTTGTGGGGATTTGAACTCAGGTTCTCATCTTGCTCTGCAAGCACTTTTAACTGCTGAGCTATCTCTCCAGGCAAATAGAATAAACTTAAATATTAGAGGCAAAGACTGTCAACAACACTCTTAACTATTTGGCTACATTTACTATTGTTTAGGAGCTCCTGCCTGGCTCCTGCTGACTCTTGTATCAGCCACATCCACTGGACAGACTCGCTGGACACTGGTGAGCGCTACCAGTAATAACTTGGATAAAAATGGGTTGAGTGTTAGGATTCTGTACATGCGCAGCTCAGGGTCTTGTCTGGCGCCTTATCGCGTCATCAGCGGGCGACTGTGTCCCCGCCTTAAAAAGCTACACATGGACCCCCATGCTCTCTCTCTGCCTCTCCCTTTCTGTTTCTTCTCTGCCAGGCCTGGCTTCTCCGTCCTATCCCCTCCTCTTTCTAATAAAGCCCATTTTAACTCTGGTACCCATGGCTCGTGACTCTTCCGCCGACCAACCAGCGCCATGATCCTTTCATTGAGTCTAGGGGCTGCAGCTGGAGTAAGTTCTGGTTTAAGAGGTATGATTTGTTTCTGGAGAGATATATTTAAATACTTTAATTGTGTGTGTGTGTGTGTGTGTGTGTGTGTGTGTGTGTGTGTACCTGAGTCTACATCTATGACCACATACATACAGGAGTTCAGGGAGCTCAGAAGGACTGTCCCCTGGAACAGACATTGTGAGCCACCACATGGATGCTGGGAACTGAGCCTGGGTCCTCTATAAGAACACTAAGGGAACTTAGCCCACGAGCTTCTCTCCAGCACAGAAAAACTGTTTAACACTCGATTACATATTAGACTTTTTTTTTTGGAGTCAAAGTCTTACTTTGTATCCTAGGCTATCTTGGAGCTCACTATGTAGTTCAGACTGGCCTCAAATGCATATCTTTCCTCCTGATAGCCCTACAAGTGCTGAGTTTACAGATGTGAGCCACACACCTGGCCACATGACAGATTTCTTGACATAACCTACTGGAACAATAATGAGCAGACTGTGGTAGGACTCCAACTTAGGGTGGAGTTGAACCTGTAGTTTGGTTATGGATACAGGTCTCAGCAAAAACTAGAAAGCATATCTTGTGAGAACTAAGTGGTATGGGTTTTACTAAGATGAACATATTTTACTGTTAACTGTAAACTAAAGCCGTGTTATATCAGTAAACTTACAGTCACTGTTTTAAACATACACATATTTTGGGAGCACTGGTGTGCACACTGGAGAGGGCAGCCCGGTCCCCATGCTCCCAGCAGACAATGCAGCAGGAGACAGAGGAGTAGCTGCCTCCAGCCAGCACGACCAAGATCAAGACTGAGAAAGGGCCACAGGGAATGAGGCAGGGGCGCCATCCTGGCCTGGCAGGGTGAAAGGAGACTTTGTGGGGTTCACTCATGGTGGAGCACTAGACAAAGACACCCCAGGAGGTCACCTGTTTTCTGGTTATTGGATGTGGTCAGTTGGTAAGCCACAGTTCACAGGAAAAATCTCAAACTGAAGCTAGACACTGAGCATGGAGGAAAGTGTGGGCTCAGCAGGTAAAGGCACCCGCCACCAAGCCTGACGACTTGAGTTTCCTACCTGGGACCCACACAGCGGAAGGAGGGAGCTGACTAAGGCAGGGTGTCCCCTGACTTCAACGTGTGTGTGTTGTGCACAAGCACATACACATACAGTCATAGACAGACACAGACAGACAGACAGACACATACAGTCATAGACAGACAGACATACACACACCCCAAATTTAAAGTTCAGGAGAAGACGGTACTATTCCACAGTTGCATTCCCAAGCTGACAATGGACCAATGGCTCTCTGCCCAAGGTAGGGAGCTTCCGTGGCGTTGGCTCCGTCTTACTTTTACATGTTCTAAGGACTCAACTGAGCTTGTCAGGTCTGCACAGCCAGTGCCTTCCAGGCTGAGCCATCCCCCCAGTCCTAAGGGAGCATTTGGAAGCTCGAGGAGGGCACACATAAACCCCGATCAATCTTGACAGTGCCCCTCCCTCCTGGCACTCCGACACAGAACAGCTGTCCTGGTGTGACAATCAACAGCGTTTGCTCACTTGACACCTCTGGGTGCAAAGGCCATAAGACTGCATTCCACTCACCCTGGAGGCCACGAGCTGCAGCTGGGGCACAACTGCTGTGTGGACCAGGTTCCCATTCACCACCAGGCGGATCTCCATGGAGTCGGTGGTGAAGGCCAGGAGGTACGGGAAGGCGCAGACTGCAAGGGAACAGACGGGCCTGGTGGCTGGTGGCTGCAATAGCTCAGTCATCTTCACCACTCCAGAAACTTCCATCCCTCCTATTCCTGCCTGCTTCACATGGGTAGGCCTGCCTCTCAGGTGTGCACGCTAACCAGTTGTCATGGCTACGGCCCTGCCTGATGCCCCATTGCCTGGTCTTCTGGTGGCTCAGCTGCCCAGTCCTGTGGGACTTTCCCCACATTCTCCAGACTACAGCTTGGCACCCTTCAGCACGTGACCACCTGCCTGGAAACTTCCCTTTACTCTTCCTTCCTGGCTCAGCCCAGGTGTCCCCAGCACGCCACCCCTTCTCTGCACCTCTGGCCTTGTGTCGCAGGCAGCAGTGCGTCCTTCAGAGCGTCCCTGACTTAGATGCTCTGTTCTTTGTTATAGGTGGGGCTCCTCCCAGTGCTCTTGTGACATGCTGACTTCCTGCACCAAGGCTTCCATTACATCTGTGTAGGTGGACTCTCTCAGGGCTCAGCACAGGTGACCTGTCCATTTGGGGTGTCCTTGGTGACTCATTCTCCTACATGAGGCCTCTTGCCCTGATCTCTCCAGTGCTTAGCTCAAAGTCCAGGTCAGTTTCCATTCCTCCTTTTGGCCGATCTCATCTGTCCTCACAGCATGACCAGGCACCGGCTTCAGGTCTGCTCTCTCAACAATCTCTGACGTGGGCCTTTCAGCAGATAGGTTTTTATTATTGTTGTTTTTTAGACAAGTTGGCCATGAATTTGCCAGGTGTCGCTGCACATCTTATGAACCTCCTGCCCCTATTACCCAAGTGCTAGGCTTACAGGCCTGTGCTACCACAGTCTGCACAGCAGAGAGGAAAAAAGTCCTAACTAGAGTACTCTTGGTCTCAGGGTGACTCTCTGATTCCTACTGTGGCTCCATAAACTACTCATATCCTGGTATTTGTTTTCAAGGTTTTTATATCCCTGTTATTTGTAGTGTTGGGAAGAGAATCCAAGGCTTGTGGATTCTAGGCAAGCACTGTACCATGGAGCCATATCCCAACATCTGGGAACTTGCTTTTTTTTTTTTTTTTTAGACAGGGTTTCTCTGTGTAGCCTTGGTTGTCTGTAGACCAGTCTGGCCTCAAACTCACAGAGATCCACCTGCCTCTGCCTCCCAATTGCCAGGATTAAAGGCGTGCGCCGCCGCCGCCGCCGCCGCCGCCGCCACCACCACCTGGCTTTGATTTTGCTTTTTAAATTTACATTTTAATGTGTATGTGGTGGTGGGTGGGGGTGCACATGTGGAGGTCAGGGAGAACTTGGAGGAGTCAGTTCTCTCCTTCTAGCATATGGGTCCGGGTCATCGGAACTCAGGCCATCAGACTTTCAAGTATCTCTGCCAGCTAAGCCATCTTGCCAGCCCCACACTGGCATCTTAGTGGCAGGTGTTTCGTTGGCCTCTGGGGTTCTGGACTTTCAGCAGGTAAGAACAGCACTGATAACTGTGTTTCTCCCCAAGCCAGTCAGTGCACTAGCTGGAGCTGGCTCGTGAGTTTTAGAAAAGGCCTGCCAGGTAATGACAAATTATATTTCATTGCTTTCTAATGTCATGTACCTAGGAATGAGAAGAGCCAGGGGACATGAGTCTAAACGGGGAGCATAAAAATTATCCAACAGCAGAGTATTTGAAGAATGTCCATGCCCCAGAATGGGTGCTAGTTTCGGAAGAAGCCCTAGTTGCCCACAGGAGACCAAGCCCTGTGGTGGTCAGCCAGGGGCAGGGAACCACAGAAAAGGTTTTTCTTACCAATTGCATATGGAGCCTGGTTCCAACAAAACTGGAAATCCGATGCCGAGGGTTGAAGCAAAAAAGAGCCACCATTAAAGGGGCAAACCTTTTTATAGATGCAACTGTCTGCAACAAAAACAACCGCAACATGTTTTGTTAGAGACGACACCCAGATCGCTGCATCCAGAGAAAGAGGAAACAGGGCGCCGGGCAGAATCCTCCAGCTGGGTCTCTGGACCCAGGCTGGACTTGGATTTGTAGCAATGCTCTGGCCTCAGCTTTCCAAGTGCTGGACTGAAGCGTTACCGCACCCAGCCCTCTCTGCCAGGTTTTCATAAGCAGCCACTGCCACCCTTGGGCCAGAGGCTGAGGGCTGTGAGGCAGTCACAGCAAGAATGACATTGACACCACTTATGCCAACAGCTGCCACCTGGAGAAAATACACTGTGTGTCAAGCATGGCGCTTTGAGAAGACAGTCCATTTAATATGCCTGGCTTCAGAAGGGAGATGCTGTTACCCTGTAAGGTCACTTTGCATATGAACTTGAGGTTGGGAGAGGTGAGGCAGTCTACCCTGAGTCCTATAGCTCTACCTGGGGCGGAGTGTTTGAATGAAGCTAGGCTGGGCTCCGGAGCCCATGTGCCCCTACTTTGCTGTATCATCATGCTAGAGAAAGATTCAGAATGGGCGGCCTGGGGTGGACGAAGCCTTTCTACAAGGCAGGTCACTCTTGAGCCTTACCCACTACAAGCACGGCAGGAGTTGCATATGCCCTCTGTGATGGCCATTCTTGGTTGTCAGCTTGACTATATCTGGACTTAACTAAAACCCAAACGGCTGGGCACACCTGTGAGGGACTTTTGCTTCATCATTTGAGGTGGGAAGATACACTTCTAATGTGGATCTTTGAGGTGGGAAGACAAACCTCTGATCTGGCCACATCTTCTGCTGGCAGCCTCTATAAGGAGATGGAAGAAAAAACTCTTTCTCTTTCCTGCTTGCTCTCACTAGCATGTCCGTTCCTTCACTGGCATTAGAGCCCGCTTCTTTGAGATTTAGGTTAGACATATACTGAAGAACATCAGAGACATCCAGCTTCACAGACTGAACAACTAATGGATTCTCGGACCTTTCATTCATAAGCAGCCATTGTTGGATTAGCTGGACTACAGCCTGTAAGTCATTCTAATAAATGCCCTTTATATATACACTATATGATATATATAATATATAATAGATGAGAAAGAGAGAGAGAGAGAGAGAGAGAGAGAGAGAGAGAGAGAGAGAGAGATGATTCATTCTCTAAGTTCTGTTACTCTAGAGAACCCTGACTAATACAACTTCCTAACATGTTTCTTGAGAACCTGCACCATGTGTGTATACCCCTTGCTGAACTTCAGCTACGTTAAGGCCAGTTTAATTCAGCTACCTGGTCCTGGTCTATTCTGACCTCTGAATATTAGTGTATATGGCTCAGACCTTCACAAAGTAAGAAAGCTTTTGTAGGGACAGAGTCCCCTTTCATTATAGAAGTTGTTTAAGTCTTCCTACACACGTTTTTTTTTTTTTTTTCGGAGCTGAGGACAGAACCCAGGGCCTTGCGCTTAGCAAGCGCTCTACCACTGAGCTAAATCCCCAACCCCATAAGTTTTTTTTTTTTTTGTTTTTTGGTTTTTTAAGACAGGGTTTCTCTGTGTAGCTTTGCGCCTTTCCTGGAACTCACTCTGTAGACCAGGCTGGCCTCAAACTCACAGAGATCCGCCTGCCTCTGCCTCCCGAGTGCTGGGATTAAAGGCGTGCGCCACAACTGCCCAGCCCCTACACACTTTTAAGATAATGAAGATAACAACTATAATTGTTATATATGTGTGTTTTGAGAGAGGGTCTTGCCATGTATCCCAGGCTGGCCTGGAACATATAATCTTCTTGACTCACTGCTGAGTGCTGGTATTACAAGACTGTGCCATCATACCTGTCTTAAAATTATTTTACTCAAAATTTTACTTATTTATTTTTATCTTATGTGTATGAGTGTTTTGTCTGCATGTATGTCTAAGAACCACATGTGTGCCTGGTGCCTGTGGAAGCCAGAAGAGGACACCGGATTCCCTTAACCTGCAGTTATAGAAGGTCGTGAGACACCAAGTGGGTGCTGGGAACTGAACCTGGGTCCTCCTCAGGAGCAGTCAGTGTTCTAACCACCGAGTCATCTCTCCAGTCTGTTTTTAGTTGGGTGGGGGTGGGGAGAGCCAGTTCTTTCCCCATAGATTTTTTTAAAAATAAAGTCACAGGATTGCACTCTTAAGGCCCACTGTTTGGAGGAATTCTTCTGCTAAAACTTGTGGATGACTGTCCCTTTGAGGGACTCAGAGTGGGGCTGCTGTCCTGCCTTCTCTGGACTATTCCCTGTTAAGTCTTGAATTTTGAAGATGACACCCTCCAGACAAATTTTCATGTTGATAAATAATTTATATTTATATAATTTGATAAATTACTTATCAAAGTATCTGATCTGATCTATGAGCTATAACCAGAATTGCTACTCTAGAAATTGATGGTTCTAGGCTGAAAAAAAGTTTTTCATTTTAGTTAACCCTTACCCAGGAAATGATCTCACTTCCATCTGTTTAAAAATAACTTAAGAGATTTACTTATTGTATGGATATGAGTGCTCTGCCTGCATGTACGTCTGTGCGCCACATGCAAGCCTGGTGCCCTCAGGTCAGAAGAGGGAGTCGTTTGCCCTGGAACTGGAGTCACAGATGGTTGTGGTTGCCATGTGGGTGCTAGAAACTGAACCTGGGTTCTCTGCAAGAGTGACAAATGCTGGCAATCCCCCCATTAGCCCTTGAAATGCTGGAAGTCAGTATCTAATACATTTGCTCTGCCTAAAACCCACCCTGCTAGGGATCCAAACTAACCTAACTGAGTTATGTGAGTCCAATTTAGGCTGATTTCATTAGCAGCAGGGGGTGGGTGGGGGGACACAAAAAATTAAAGGTTAAAAGCCAGGGCTGGTGCATGTCTTTAATCCCAGCACTTGGGAGGCAGAGGCAGAAGATCTCTATGAGTTCAAGGCCAGCCTGGTTGACATAGAGAGTTCCAGGTCAGCCAGGGGTACACAGCGAGACTCTGTTAAAAGAAAAGTTACAGGCTGAGCCCCTAATCCAAAAGTTCTGAAATCTAAATTGACCTAATATCCGAAACTCTCTGAGTGCTGACAGGTGTAAAATCCCAAACCTTACCTCATCTGATGGGTCACAGCCCAAATCCAGACACTCTTGCTGGGTGTTCTGAGTACGCCTTTGATCCCAGCATTGAGAGGCACAGGCAGGTAGATATATGTGTATTAGAGGCCAGCCTGGGCTACATACTGAGTTCCAGGACTGTCAGAACTACCCCATCTCAAAACAAAAATTAAAATAAATAAATAATTCAGATACACTAAAAATAGCAATACTAACTGATGAAATTACTTCCTGGCCTTTTGTAGGTGTATATGAAATGTAAATGAATTTTGTGTTTAGACTTGGGTTCCATTTCCAGGATGACTAGTTATGTATGTGGAACTATCCCAGAGTCTAAAAGTTACAAAATCTGAAACACTCTGAGCATAAGCACTTCAGATGAGGGACATTCATCCTGTAGTAACAGAAGATAAAATCTGGTACTGAGGTCAAGAGGGTCAGAGGTAAGCCCTGGCCCCGATGCTGAGTAGCTTATAACCCTGAGGAAGGCAGGTCACCTCTCCAAGCCTCCTCTGCCTTAGCTCCATGTGGAGGAAGGAAGCAAAGCCTGCTGTGGGCCACTGTAGGTGGAAATCCGACACGGGATTACCTGGCACACAGTAAGGACCTGCTAGCTGGATGCCACCATCCTCACCCCACACCCTGGAAGCAGGAACATGGTGACAGCTCTGATAAGCATGCCACTGAGAGGTCTGGGCCACAGCCAGTGGTGCAGGTAGGGGTGTGGATTTTAGATGCTCCCTGGTGTGATGATGTGCGCAGCAAGGTTCATCAGCTCAGTCTAGGGGAGTAGGGAGATCCCATTCTAGCACCCCGAGAAACAGGCTGTTTTTGTGCATGAGCGGACAGCTCCTTACTTACAGTTGTAGCATAGGAGCAGGCCGGCTTCCCCATCTTCATATACATCAATAGCTGCGACAAAATTAACCTGCAATGACAGCGGGCAGTAGGAGTAGTGCGCGGGATGGGGACGCTCAGAAAAACCCCAAGCTACGCGCTACTCGGCAGTGGCCCTCAGCCCCAGGGCGCTGCAAGGCCATTTGTGCTTCACCAGTACCCACAGTGCCACTGGGCCTCGCGTTACGAACTGAGGTGGGAAAGACACATCTTTGCTGTCCTCCATCTTTGCTTCCTTTCCATTCTGGGTGGAACTGTCTAGAAGGTCTGAATCCAGCTGTGTCCCCAAATGCTCTCATTTACCCAGAATGCTCAGGTTCACAGGGGTGGTCCTGTGTGTCACTCAGTCCATTCTCACACTGACTCTCAAGTGGACAGCACTGTGCCTGTCTTACAGGAGATGAAAGGAAGTGATGAGGACCCTGAGCCCCTCGGCTGTGGACTGCTCTTCTCTTGTGCCTTCAGCGAGGCTTCTCCCGCCTCCAGCACATGGGGTCTCTGGACTCTCAGGTCGCCCAGTCTGTCTCCATCTCTGTCTGTCTTTCCCATAAAGGCAGTGTAAGGCAGTCGAGTAGGTCTGTGATATGCTTGACCCTGGCTCACTACTGTCCAGATTTGAGACAAGGGTGCTCAGCCTGGGCTGCAGCCACCTCTTGTCCTTCTGGGGTTCAGAAACTGCCCTTGGACGACAGCTTCATGTGCTCCAGGCTAAGGAGCACATCACATGATACAGATGCACAGCACGTAATTTTATTGTTATTATTCTGAGACAAGGTCTCATGTGGCCCAGGTTAGCCTCAGTTACTATGTAGCCCAGGCTAACCTTGAACTCATGATCCTCCTGCCTCAGCTTCACAAGTCAAGAACTAAGGGCACAAACTTCCACATCTCACTAGAGGATGTAATTTTAAAGACGCCACATCACAGTATCTAAAATTAGAAGTCAAAATCCCTTGCTTTCTCTTATTCCCAATCCATTGTGACAACCATCAGCTCACCTTGTTGGCCTCCACGTGATGCAGCCTAAAGGCTTCTCCTGTGCTCTCATTTACCACGTCGAACTGATGCCGGTATGCCACACAGATGAGGTTGTCACTCTCCTCGGTTGGCCCGTCCACTAAGGTCATCACTGCTGGGGAGTCACACAAACAGATCTCCTGTGGGGTGAGGAAGAGGAGGACACCAGTTAGGACACAAGAGCCATCTTAGACAGCCTCTGCCGCCTGTTCCCCCTTCTACAGGAGTCCAGCCGCCTGGCCAGCAGAGCTCTGCTGCACACACAGGGCTCTCACCAGACTCCTCCTTCCTGTGATGCCCCTTCAAGACTCGGGCCTCTGTTCCTGGAAGGGATGGAGGCCAGGAAGGAAGGGATTTCACAATCTGATTTCACTGTCCAGTGGCTTTGTCTTCACTGTCTCGTGACTTAGTAGCAGCTGTATCATTGTTGATTGCCTTGTTGAGAACGTCACCTATGCCAAGGCAGTGTCTGCACGATCCTTGCACCAACCCCTGGCATGGGGTGTGGCTGTTACTCTATGGAGGAAAAAACTGGGGCTCCAAGGTCAGGTGTCTTGCTTATGGTCACAACATTTATATGTGGTAAAGCTATGATTTGAACTCCGTGACTCTGATTTCAGAGTCACACTACCTAACTACTCTACATAAATATTCATTATGGGTGGTAACTAGTCTTGAGAAGGCAGACACTTCATTAGGACAAAATTTTAACCTGTTTTAGTGTATCTATCAGAGTGTTCTGTCCCCAGAACAGCTGCAGAAACCTATGTGCGTAATTCAGGAGGCCTTAACCAAGTGAAAATCCTTCTCAGTTTGCCTAGCGCTCAGTTTGCTTGGCTCTGGTGGCCACTTCTGGGAACACTTCATAGCTTGACGAGCTATAGCTGTTTTTTGCTTTTTTTTGAGACACAGTCTCACTATATAGCCCTGGCTGTCCTGGAACTCGCCATGTGGACCAGGCTGGCCTCAAACTCACAGAGATCCACCTGCCTCTGCCTCCAGAGTGCTGGGATTAAAGGCATGCACAGCCATGCCCAACAACTGTAGTTTAGTTTAGTTTTGTTTTTCAGGAGAGGTGGGATGATTGGGAAAGGGACCAACTTTCAGAAGACTTCCTCCCTAGGGTTGAACCCTCACCCCATCCTCACATCCTATAGGCAAACACAGATAGACAGCTTTGCTCCACACTTCTTGCTTCTCCAGCTATCAAGACCACTACAGCCTGCTCGATCCTGTTCTGGCCTTTAGCAGGTCTCCTGATGGCCGTCTTGGTCCCCTGTGTTTGTCTACTGCCAAAGCCATGTTTTAAGCATCCCACTTGTTTGCACTGAACTTTCCAAGAGTCCCTACCTTGCTCCAAGCCAAAGTGAAAGCTCTCTGCCAAGGCTTCTAGGGCTGCAGACAATCTCTTCCCAGATTCATGCCGGACTGTACCTTCACCAGGCTCCAGGGCCTTTGGCTAGCTGCACCTGTTCTCTGGCATACCCCTCTCCTCAGCACTCCTCCCACTCATACTTCATTTGAGTGTCTGTTCACAAGTGGAAGCCTGTTCCTCCTCACTCTACCCATTACCCTCTGTATCCTGCATCCTCTCTTATTTTTATTCTCAGTGATTTTTTGTTTTTTGGGAAGGGGATGAGTTTTGAGACAGGGTTTCTCGTGTAACAGTCTGGCTGTCCTAGAACTCACTTTGTAGACCAGGCTGGCCTCGAACTCACAGAGATCTGCCCCCCGAGTGCTGAGAGTAAAGGTGTATCACCATACCCGGCCTCAGTGTGTATTTCTGCCAGCTATCAGGTATCTGTTTGTCAACTAGAGGGCAAGCTTGTGGGAAGAGAGACTTGGCACAGTTCACTGCTGCATGGCCATGCCCAGAACTCACAGAGGTTACTGTGAATGAGCACACGGCTTAGCTATCTGGGTAAGCCAGGGCACAGGAGACTGGGGTCCCACAGGGGTTACTGAGCAGTGGGACAGTCTTGGGACTAGACAGGCAGTCAGCTAACGCCTGCCCAGGAGAGCAGAAGCTGGACAGCAAACCTACCCTGATGTACTGGAATTCCTCAACAGGTGACTCCGACAGAGGGGACAGGAGCGAGGCACCCGGCACCCCACTTGGCTTGTTGTGTTGTTTCCTTGTGATGAGAAGCAGTTTATTGCGAATTGCAACCACGATCCTCAGTTCTCTGCTGTGGTGAGTGTTAATAGCATATAGGTGACAACCTGGGAAGAGGAAGTGACATCAGCGTGAGTAGGAGGGCTGGCAGCTCCCAGGCCTGGGGACCTTGGGGATGGTTCCTAAGAACCCTGGGAATGAGGCATAACTGAGACCAGATCAGGTATGTTTCCGACACCAGGTGCTGTGGTGCTCAGTTTGGAACCCCTCTCCCCATTCATGTGTTTAACACTCAGTCCCCAGCTGGGGTCACTGTTTTGGAAGGCTGTGAACCTTTAGAAGGTGGAGCCTCATTGGAGAAAGTGAGTCACTGGGGGTGGGTCTTATAGCCTAGTCCCACTTCCCATCTCCTCTTCTTCTTCCTCTTCCTTCTCCTCATCCTCCTCCTCCCCTCCTCCTCTTCCTTCTTCCTTCCTTCCTCCCCCTCCTCCCCCTCCCCCTCCTCCTCCTCCTCCTCCTCCCCCCTCCTCCTCCTCCTCCTCCTCCTCCTCCTGTTTTTTGGAGACAGGATTACTCTGTGTATCCCTGGCTGTCCTGGAACTCACTCTGTAGACCAGGCTGGCCGCAAACTCACAGAGATCCACCTGCCTCTGCCTCTGCCTCCTGAGGGCTAGGATTAAAGGTGTGCACCACCACTGCCCAGTTGCCCTCTGCTTCTTTTTTTTTTTTTTTTGGTTTTTCGAGACAGGGTTTCTCTGTGTAGCTTTGCGCCTTTCCTGGATCTCACACTGTAGACCAGGCTGGCCTCGAACTCACAGAGATCCGCCTGGCTCTGCCTCCTGAGTGCTGGGATTAAAGGCGTGCGCCACCACCGCCCGGCGCCCTCTGCTTCTTGACTGAGATGAAACACGGACAGCCACAGCATGTCCTGCACCTGCTTAAATTGTGAGCAACAAGCCCCCCTTCCTCTAAGTTGCTTCTTGCCTGATATTTGGTCCCAGAAAGTAGAAAAGTAACTAATAAGCCAGGAAAGACGGACATGAAAACAAGGTTAGGAAAGGCAACCCTTCTAGCCTACAGACTAGACTTGGTTTTATCTATCTGTGTTCTTTTTAGATTTGTTTATGTGTGAGGTGGTTTGAATGAAAATGGCCCACATAAGTTCACATATTTGAATGCTTGGACCCCAGTTGGTGGAACTGTTTGGGAAGCATTAGGAGGTGTGGCCTTGTCAGAGGAGGCGTGTCACTGGGCTTTGAGGTTTCACAGGCTCACCATTCCCAGTTAGCGCTCTCTCTGCCTCATGGTTGTTGTCACAAGACATGAGCTCTCAGCTACTGTTCTAGAGCCTGCCTGCCTGCCTGCTGCCATGCTGGCCACTGACTAACCCTCTGAAACCATAAGCCTTAATAAATGATTTCTTCTATAGTTACTGCCTTGGGCATGGTATCAACTTAGCACAAGAGAACAGTAACTAAGACGACGTGTGTGGGTGTCTGGCCCGCATGTGTGCACATGTGTGTAACTAAGACGATGTGTGTGGGTGTCTGGCCTGCATGTGTGCACATGTGTGTAACTAAGACAATGTGTGTGGGTGTCTGGCCTGCATGTGTACACATGTGTGTAACTAAGACCATGTGTGTGGGTGTCTGGCCTGCATGTGTGCACATGTGTGTAACTAAGACCATGTGTGTGGGTGTCTGGTCTGAATGTGTGCACATGTGTGTGTCTGGTGTCTGAAGGGCAGAAGGGGAGTCACAGGCAATGAGTGCCAGGAATCGAACCTGGATCTTCTGCAAGAGCAACAGCTTCTCTAACCTCTGGGTCATCTGTCCAGTCCCTGGGCCTGGTTTGTGTCCACCACACAACAGGAATTGAAGTGGAGGTTGATCAGAGTCTTTGTTTCACATTAGCTGAGAACGGAACTTACCTCCAAGACCTGAAACTTGTGGCCCAAAGCTGAAACTTCCCGTCTTCAGCCTGCTTTCCTATTCTCCTAGCTTCTTGGAGAAGCCAAGGTTCTATTTTGGCAGTTCTGGGACTCAAACCCAGGCCTTTGTGGGTATTTGGCAAGTGACCTGCATCCCCATACTCCTGCTCATTCCCCCTGAGAGGAGGGGTTGTTTCTTTTGCTCCCTAATTTTCATTTTTATTTTCAGTAGCCTGAAGATTTTAACAGAAATAGTTTCTTTCTTCTTTTGTGACAGTGCTCAAACTCACACGTAGGCAGGGATGGTTTGCACAGCCCAGGGAGTCGAACCTCGGGCCTCACATGTTCCCGGCAAGTACTCCACCCGAAGTTACTCCCCAGCCTCACCTTTGGTTTTCTCCAGCTTGTTTTCTCGGCAGTCAGATCTGCTCCTTCCAGTCTGCCTGCCATCAAGGCCTTTCTGCACCGCACTCAGCCGGAAGACGAACAGGCGGGCATCTTTCCCTGGTGACAGTGAGGAGAAGGCAGAGGAGGGGATCAGAGATGTCAAATGACCTGCTGGGCCTCCCAGGGCAGATGCACAGACCAGGGTTGGGAGGTGTTCCGGGATACAGGCAACTGCATCCCACAGAACGTTTACTCCACATAAACTCTCCTTTCCTCCACTACCCCAACAAGTGGGCCACCAAAGGACCATGGCACTGACAGCAGGCAAAGGAACGTGACCTGAGGTCTGCTGCAGTGGGCCACCCGCCCTCCGTTCTTTCCAGAGAACACCATCTGAGGGCAGCACCTTTGTCTGCTCGGAGGACAAGAAGGTCCAGGGCCTCCAGCACGTGGATCTGCTTCACGGGCAGAGTTCTGTCGAACACAGGCATGGATGGGAGGCCGTCTGGAAGAGAAGACTGGTTACTCCACTGCACAACTGTGACACTTGCCTGGGGCTGACCTGAGCCTCTCTAGTCAAGGACAGACGCTTCTCCAGCTCTCATGAGGTCTCAGAAGGAGTTCAAACGCTGCTCCCTCTGCATGGGAGAACTAATATGCCCACTCAGGGGCATCCAGAACTCTCTATGGGGGTGGGGTGGGCATTTCAGCAGGGACACCAAAGGAAGCTGTTTTTCTTGTTGGTGTCACCGAAGAAAGAGCAGCGTGTCTCAACCCCAAATTTACAGGGGTTGTAGCAAGGACTGAACACCATAGGGGAAAAAGAGCAGCTATTTATTATGTTATAATAGAAAGTATTATATCTTGTATTATTTCATGCATTTCTCAAGAAAGTAAGTTTAATACTTCTTTTTACATTTAAAGTGAATACAAACATATCCTATCCCTAGCATTCTCTCTGTCTGTATCAATAGTAGTCTGCTTATATGGTTTTTGTTTGTTTTGTTTTTCAAGATAAGGTTTCCCTGGCTGTCCTTGAACTCAGAGAGATCTGCCTGCCTCTGCCTCCTGAGTGCTGGGATTAAAGGTGTGCACCACCATGCCTGGCTTGCTTATGTTTTTAAAAATGTTTTTATTATTTTTAATTATGTGTAAGTGTGTGTGCCTGCATATGGATATGTGCATGTGAGCACAGGTGTCCTCAGAGGCCAGAAGCTTAAGCTCCCTTAGAGCTGGAGTTACTCACATGGGTTCTGGGAACTGAACTCAGGACCTCTGGAAGAGCAGCCAGTGCTCCTAAGGTCTGAGCCATCTCTCTAGTCCACTGCTAATTCATTTTAAATACTTTTTCAGATAGGAATTTGAAATATCTTTTTTAGAGACAAGAAAAATGAGAGAAGTATCAGTTAAATTGTCGAAGTATCAGGAACAAACGTAGCCAAGCAAAAACAGCCAGCAAGAGTTCAGGTGGGCCTCTTAAGAGTGGGCCTCTCAAGACATTGTAATTACGAACAGAATTTGACTTTGGGGTTATTTGGAATTTGCAAGTGGTAATAACTACACCACTGCCTCTCAGGGACCCTCGCATATGTCAGCTAAGAGAATTGTTACGAGTATTCTGCTGCAGAAGGACAGGCTGAGACCACCAGGGATGGTGTGGACATCTCAGGCAGAAGTGGCTAGCTCATTCTTCTCCTGCACTTCCTCTTCAAGGCTTTGCTATGGGCCTGGGCTGGTCTGTTTCTTCATAATTTAGGTGCAAGGGGGTGTGGGGTTCAGGCCTCTCGCAGAAAGTAGAAATGGAGCTGGGAGGTAATCCCTCTCTGGATGCTTCCCAGCCTGGCAGGGCCTCTGTCGTCAGGGTAACACCCTCAGTGGAGAAGGGGTTCCAGCTCCAGCAGGCCTGGGAGGCTTTAGATCTGTCTCTAACAGGTCCATGAGATAAAGAGCCTGTTCCTGTCTCCCTTAGTCACACAGGGCTTGCTTCTAGTGCCCCTTTAGAGGGAATGTTATGACAGCCCATCAGCCACGGTCCTTCCTTCTCTACTGATACAGGGGCTCTCGCTCAGAACATGAAACCATCATCCCAGTACTGTCATATCTGGGTGAATAACTGCAGTTATCTTATGGGTCCATGGCAGCATCAGCCGTGGCAGGTCACTCCACTAAGGGCTTACCAGGTGCCAGACCCTGATGCTTCCTATGTTCTTGAATTTAGAATGTAGGCTGGCACTTGTCATAGTCCTATTTAACCAAAAAGGAACTGGATGCTCCAAAGTGTTCAGAAAACTTGTTCAAGTTCCTCCTTAAACATGGGATCCAAGAAGGATGGAGCACGTCCTTGTACACCGGAAACAGAGGTGCACCATGTGTTGCCCAGCCCAGCATGGATTAGCATGCATTCCCCATCCACTCCTCAGTTAGCTAAAGGGATTCTATGTAGACAGGAAGGAGAGAGGCAAGGACAGGAGGAAGTGACAGATTTAATGGCTGCTTGATTAATTATTCCTTTTTGTAATTCTGGCATGAAGATGAAGCCTTTTAGAGAGAGCTTTTCCATTACCTAAAACCTACTTACTCAGTGACCAGTCCCTTGAAGCACAGTTGCTGCACTCACAGCACTGAGGGTCCTGAGATTTTAAAAACAATGACCTTGAAAGAAGATTCTCCAGGGCAAGCCTAATGAAATGAAGCAAAGGCTAACGGGCTCGAGCTGGAGTCCGCCTGAAACGAAAGGGACAGACTCCCAGAAACAGTCTGCAATGCGATCATGTGCAGAGCAGAAGGTAAAAACTAAGACGTGCTGGAACCATGGCACATGGAAAGGGAGCTCAGGGCTTCTGCCCTGCAAAAGCCAGGGGTGGACATCACTGGGCAGCCAGGACAGGGGAGGAACAGTCTGCACACCTCTCCAAGGCTGGAAGAAAGGGATTTCCTGGAGAATCACACCAGTCTTTATACCAATGCCACCATTATACTCTGGATCCAATGGGACAGTTTCAGAAAATACTTGATAATACTGGCTTGGATCTTAACTTTAAAAAAAAATAATTCATATTTGTTCTGATATTATATCCACTTGACACAGGATACTTCCTTTGATCTCAAAGGAAAACTAGTACAACATTTTCAGACTATTTATCTAGGACTATGGTTTTGGAAACTGGTGTCCAAGTCAAACCAGAAATGCTGGTAGAGCTCACTGTGTTTAAGTGGAACGTGGCTGGTACTGTATGTAGCCCTAGTTCTAGACCCACTAAAACAGCCATGTGATCTTACACAGGCTATGGTGTTCCTTCAGGCCTCTGTTCTTCATCTATAAAATCAAAAGACTAAATATCTAAAGTCTGTTTTGATTTTTTTAAGACAAAAAGAAACTTTTGGTTGTACTTCTGGCAAAAATCTAAGGCTTCGGTGGGCTTTCAGCAGCCCACTGGGCACATGGTAAGACGGCAGCTGCCTGGACTAGCAGCACTGCTGTGTACCAGAGACGCTGCCGGCATGCAGTGCAGGAAGCCAGCTGTCCTGCCAACCCCTCCTTGCAGTTCCGACCCCCGTCCCCAGTGTGCCCCACGCTTTCCACTACTATGAATGGGTTTTCAGCCTTTTGACGCCAGAGGCTCAGAGAAGACAGGTTTTCTTTCTGGAGATAGGGGAGGGGGAACCCAAGGCCTTACAGCCCAGGCAAGTGCTACACTATTGAACTTGCCCTCTATTTTGTTTAAATCACAAAGCGTTTCTCAAATTAAGGATTTAAACTCTGAAGTGATGAGTTTTAAGTTACTCTATTAACTTAGTCATAGATATAGTTAGGTTATGGGAAACACGGTGGATTTTAAGTTATCTACACTTTATTAAATTAGTCCTAGATGCAATGAGATTACGGGACCTATATGGAAAACCACAGGTAAGGTAGCTTGTTCCCCTGGCACCTGAGCAGGGTCGGAGGGACGAACAGGCCCTGCTGTGGGAGGTGACATAGGTCACCAAGTCACTCTCACCAGAGGACAAGTTTCCGAAGCTGAGGCCTCTCTAGTGCCTGCAGCTCCCTCACAAGTCCCCTGATGCTTGTGCGTAGCTCCTCCGTCATTCATGAGGGATCTAGAACAATCTAAAGGTGCTGCTGCTGTCCCAGAGTCGTCTACATCCCGTCATCGCCACGGTGAGGGCTTGGCCTGTGGTGGCTGCTCTGGTGACCATCTTCCCAGGCAGACTAGTCTAGCTCGCTGTCAGAATGTGCCATTTAATACTGAGTTGCAATCTGTCTTCCTGACAAAATCTTTCTGCTTCTATATACATAAATACAGTATCTTAGATTCATATAATTTGTTTTAGATGCAAGTTTTTTTTTCTAGTCAGAATTTTTTTTTTAAGCCTTCAAGAGAGCACATGCCCCTAAGAAAATGATGTGAAATAATGCCTGTTTTCATTTAAGATAAGTGCTGGGACCACGATGGTGCTTGCTGAGGAGTAATCTTTTAGTAGGTGGCTTAATATCCAGGAACTAATGGAGATTAGGGGGAAGGAATGAACTTTCCAGCATGCTGAACTCAAAATATACCCCCTCGGAGCACCTGTCTGAAACAAGGGGTTCATCTGATTAGAAAACCAACCCTGCCTAACTCCTCTCGGGACCAGGCATTTACGGTCTGAAGGAGCAGCCTGACAGTGCCCACCTTAGAAGCAGCACAGTCACACACAGACATCTGTAGGAGTGGTACTCACTAACCGTCCACCAGCAAGACGCCGGCATCCGTGGAAACCAGCAAGGCCTGGCCCCAGGGGTCTGCACACACGGCTTCATGAGGGAAATTACTGCAGAAACACTGGGGCTCCCAAGGCTGCGAGGCAACACAAGCATTGGAGAGTAAGTGTATCAGAAAGAACGCACTGTGTCCCACCTAATGGAAATGGACACCTGAAACAGTAACACAGATACTCCGTGGGAATCAGCTGTGCCAGGTGCCGGGAGCTTCTCGGGCTTGGACTCCATTATCTTTCTTAAGGAGAAAACCTCCTTTCAAATATGGGTGCCATAGGAAAGCAGTGACTTCCCATGCTTCTGGTACCACTGCCTGTCTCTACACGACCGACCGTTACATTCTTTGGGCAATAGAAGCATTAGCAAGGTTTTTAAAGCAGCTTTCTTTAACACCTAGAAGTTGGGCAAATTGGTGCCTTTTACTTTTTTTTAAAGAGGGTTGATGTTAGTTTAGCATAAAAGGAAGTCCCACATAGCTGTTAAATTTGTTTTCTGTGTTGCTGGTTCAATAAAATTATTAAACTGTACACAATACAAGAGGTTGATATTGTCTTAATATATAGGTGCTTAACTGACCCACAAAAGGCTACAAAATCTTAAAGAAAAAATGGCACACATTTTACAGGAAAACAGCAAAGGTTGCTAAATAAAATACCTCCAGGATGCCGTGTGGTATGCTCACACCACATGAACACTTTTTCTGGTCCCGAGGTGACATGTCACACTGCATGAACACTTCCTAGGACCTTAGATTCATTTCTGTTTTAGGGATAGAGTTAGCTCTCCCTCACAATGGCCCCTGAGGTGGGTGTGAAGGCCAGGAGTTGGCAAGTACTGCTTACTAGGATCTCAGTCACACAGTGTTGTGGACAGTTTTTGCTTTTGTAGCATTAGGAATTGAGCCCAGGACCTCTTGTATTCTAGCGAGTGCCCTCCCGCAGTTACATCCCCAGTGCTGAGAGCTGCAAACACTGTTAACAGACATTCACTTCTTCTGGACACCTCTCTTAACCCTATGCTTTGGAAGTCTTTGTAGGTTTCTGGGGACAAGTTGAAGGCTTACATCTTCATTTTATTCTCAATTAGTCATAAACATCTAACATGACCTGGCTGGGCAGCAGGAGAACCTGTATTTGCTCTTGTGATATGTGTGAATGCCCAGTAGAGACATGTTCAAGGAAGGCCGAGGACTTCAAGAGCATCATCAGGGCTGAGCCGAACACTGGATTATCTCTAGCTGAGCAAAGAGCAGGCTTCCCCTTTAGGACACCCACAGCCTCAGACTCGTGAAGGTGGGACTACATTGTTCTGAAGAAGCAGCCTAGAGAATACGGAAACATTTTCTAAGCTGAAAAAGGGAAATACGGAGACAGGTCACTAATTGAAATATTTCCCCCAAGAGGAGGTCTGGCAATTCTGAATTAGCAATGTATAACTAGAGGAATTGAAAATGCAGAGGCAAAACACACACACACACACACACGGACACAGACTTTGAAACCAAACCTTTAGGTAATACCAAGACAGAACAATGGAGTCATTGTACGTGTGCATGTGCATGGTGTGTGTGTGCGTGTGCGTGTGCGTGTGTGTGTGTGTGTGTATAAAGCACCGTGTGCCTGTGGAGGTCAGAGGAAAACTATCAGTTTTCTCCTTCCACTATGTGAGTGACAGGGATTGAACTCAGTGGTCAGGTGCAGTAGCAAGTGCCTTTACCCACTGACTCATCTCACTGGCTCTGAATTGCATTAAAAAGTTGTGTTTTTATTTTTATGTGTGAGTGTGTGTCTGTAGGCATACATGTGGGTGTTGAGAGAGGACAGAAGAGGATCCCTTGGAGCTGGAGTGACAGGTAGCTGTGAGCAGCCTGATATGGGTGCTGGGACCTGAACTTAGGGCCTGTGCCAGAGCAGTTAGTGCCCTTCCAGTCCCCTGGTCTGTTCCTGATGATCACCTATCCTGCTCCCCAGCCTCCAGAACTCAAAATAGAAAGCAGACAGGCTGCAGGGCTTGCTGTTGGCTATGTAGCTATACACACTGCAATGGTTTCCCACCTACACCGCCCTGAGCAGCAATCCCTGAGGACCAGTTAGAAGAGCACCTTGGCGGTTGCTTTGTGAAGTTACTTGGGAAGAGAGCTGCGATGAGGAACTGTCTATGTCGGGTTGGCCTGTGGGTGTATCTGTCAGGACTGTCTTAACTGACGTGGACAGACTCAGCTCGGCAGTGTCCTGAACTTACACCACGGGAAATCAAGCTGAACACAAGCAAGCAGGCATGGATGCATTAACTTCTTTCTGTTCAGTGCTGTGGAAGTGCGGAAGCTCCTGTCACTGGGACCTCTCTACAGTGACGACTAACCTAGACCCGTGAGCTAAAACAAAACCTCTCTCCCACAGTGCTCTGGCTAGAATATTTTATTACAGCAACAGACAGGAAACTAGGAGAGTGGCCTTTCAAGCCCACTCCCAACCTACTGGACTAGAGCAGTGGTTCTCCAGCTGCCTAACGCTGCGACCCTTTAGTACAGTTCCTCATGCTGTGGTGACCCCAACCATAACACTACTTTGTTGCCACTTTATAACTGTAATTTCGCCACTGTTATGAATTGTAAACATCTGATACACAGGATATATGATATGTGACCCCAAAGAGGTCGACCACAGGTTGAGAACCAGACACACTCTAAGAGTCACTGCTCCAGAATCTTGCTGTTGATATTGGGTTGAGGTCAGATGACATGAATGCACACGTAGCTTGAGGAGCACTCTGAAACCAGCCTGGCTGACCAGGCCTGGCCCAGCGCTCTGCCCGCCTATGCACACAAATTCAGGAAGGAGTGCCCCAGAAACAGGGGCTCTTGCTACATGGGCTCCTGAGGACTCTGAAGGAGACATCCTCCTGCTCCACCTGCTCCCATAACTTCACTAAGCACAAAGGAAAGTATCAATCACTTACCTCTTTTTTACACATCCCTGAGGCTGCCAAGCTTGATGGGGCATCCCCTCTCACAATGGACTTGAGTTTCAGTGCCTAATGGACAGAGGGACCACTTAAGGGTTGGTGCCAGACAGTGAGAGAGCAGCAGGGGAAACGAGCAAGGTTTGGGAGACGCAGTGAGTCAGGAGTGATGTGGGGTTAAAGCTGCCGGCTCCTCTATCACTGACAAGGGATTAGGAGGGAGGATGGTGAAGTCCAGCAACAGGTTACGGCCCAAGCTGCACCTACTGTTTTCGGCATTTCAACTAGTTCTATTAGTCCTATGATTTCAAAACTAAGAATGCTGAAAAATACAGATGTCGAGGACCTTCCCAGTCTTGATGGCTCAAGAGTCCCTGAAAGGAGAGGCCATTTAGTTTTAAGATTTTTTAAAAATTGCCAGGTGGTGGTGGCACACACCTTTAATCCCAGCACTAGGGAGGCAGAGGCAGGCAGATCTCTGTGAGTTCGAGGCCAGCCTGGTCTAAAGAGCAAGTTCCAGGACAGGCTCCAAAGCTACACAGAGAAACCCTGTCTCAAACAAAAAACAAAAAAAATATTTATTTATTTATTTTGCATGTGTATGTATGTATGTATGTCATATGTATGTATGCATGCATGCCACGGTGCAGTCATGGAGGGCAGAGGACATCTTGCAGGACTCGGTTCTCTAGGTTGTCAGGCTTGGTGGAAGTTCCCTCGCCTGCTATTCCATCTTGCCAGCCTCAGCTATCTTCAACAAGACTGATGCATATTTTGAAAAATGTGACTTCTGTCTCCCAGCTGTCCTTGGTCACAGGGCCCTCCACTGTCTACTCGCCTTGCTGCTTGGTGTCCTGCCCTTAGCCCCCTTACCTGCGGCTGGAGGGCCTCCCCTTCCCACTGGAAGCTTGGAGCTGAGAACTGCTAGTGTTCCCAGGGAAGGAGGCAGAGGGAGGGCCTAGGGTGAGGAAACACACGGAGTCACCGAAGCCTGCGACTGCTTCAGGTAACAGTGGGAAGTGGGGTCTCCGTGAGTGACACTGCAGTGTGTGTCTCCTCCCACCCGGAGGGTTTTAGGGTTCAGTTTGATGGTACTCTTTGGAGAACTCCTAGGAGGCAGGGTGATCTGGACAGCGGAGCTGGCCCCTGCCGCAGAGCACTGCTCTTTTGCTGAGGGAACCGGATCTACACAGCTGACAAAGTCCCACTTGTCTTCCACCGCAATCCTGAGAGAAATCATGTGCTTCCAGATGGCCGGTTAGGTTTTGACAGCTTGACACAAGCCAGGGTCATCTGGTAAGAGGGAGCCTCAACGGAAAAAACATGCCTCCATCAGACTGGCTTGTGGGCAAGTCTGTGGGGCCTTTTTTTGACTAATGATTGATGCAGGAGGGCCCAGCTCACGCTGAGGGGTGCCATTCCATGGCATGTGGTCCATGAAAGCAGAGCGAGCCAGCCATGGAGAGTAAGGCCGTAAACAGCACTCCTCCATGGCCTGTGCCTCAGCTCCTGACTTGAACGCCTGCCCTGACTTCCCTCAGTGAGGAACTGTAAGCTGTAAGAGGAAGTAAACCCTTTCCTCCCTGGTTGCCTTTGGTCACAGTTTTATCACAGCAGCAAAATGCACATTAGGACTGCAAGAAAAACAAAGTATCAGCCCGGCAGTGGTGGCGCACGCCTTTAACCCCAGCACTCGGGAGGCAGAGGCAGGTGGATCTCTGTGAGTTCGAGGCCAGCCTGGTCTACTAGTGAGTTCCAGGACAGCCAGGGTCACACTGAGAAACCCTGTCTTGACAAAACCAAAACAATAAACACACACACACACACACACACACACAAATCCTAAACAAAGCATCCCGTGGGGGCATCTAATTTGAAGGGACTCACAACCACACTTCTCAGGAGCTGCAGCATCTAACATACCTGCCCTATTCTAACGAACTCGGCCTGGCGGGCTTCCTCTTTCTTCCGTGCTGACTTGGGGGACTCGGGTAAAACATCACTGAAAGACCGTCGATTGAGCATGTTCTGAAAAAGAAAAACCAGGTTGGGACTTCTCAGACAGTTGTCAAGTCTCATCCTTTGGTGTCTCCACACACGTGCGCATGTGTACACACACACACACACACACACACACACACACACACACACACACACACACACACACACGTTTGTCTAAACAGTACTAGGTCTACCAGCAGCATTCATCCATTCAGCACTGTGGCAGACATGCAGAGCCAGCACTGTGCAAAAGCTGAGAACATGGCCTTTAGTTCAGGCAAACCGGCAGCTTCTTCATTAACCAGCATTGTGACCGAGGCCCCATGGTGTACAGCTCCAGGATGCCAGTCCCATGGAGTGGCATCTTGGGAACCCCGCACACTGAGTTCCATGGGAATGGCACCCTGAAATGTATGGCTCTGGAGTGTGGGTTAACTTCTGAGTCCTGTGTGACTGGCACCTGTCTCCCAAGTGTGTGGTGGGGACCAGTGAGGCAATATACAGAGGGTACTTAGCACGGTACTTGGTCTTTCCCTCCAAAGCACTCGTCAAGCCCTGGCTGAGCGCCTCGCCCTCTACCAGACTTGGGGATCTGGCAGACACAGCCTGTGTTGGCAGGTCACACAGGCTGGTGGACTAACACATGAAGAGACTAACAGGACTAACATGTTTGGTCTGGTCACTGACAGAAAGGGGAAATGTAGACAACTCAACAGGGGGATTTGCTTCAACTAGGGAATAATACCTTTGCTGAGGCCTGAGGGACATGATTACTCATTATGGTGGCCTCTCTGAAGCCTTCCTGACCTGTTAAGATTTGCTCTGTCAGGTCCTGGGCCTAGCTTGGTCATCCCCTGAGACCTATCAGACTACCAACCAGACAGAAGTCAAAGGGTGCTGCTATAAAAGGTGTCATGTGCAGAGAGAAGGGGCCAGTACGTCTAGTTCATTCTGATGGCCTGTCCCCTGGGTGAGTGACGGACAGCTCTCATTTACATATATCACCAGAAATTACTTTTACTGGAGTTTATGAATGATCAAATTTGAAGATAATTCTTAACTTGTTCTGTGCTTCCTTGTGAAATAGGGAAATTAAAAATGACATGTATTTGTTTGTATGTATGTGTGTGCATGCACACATGCCACGGCATGTGTGTGGGAGTCAGAGGACAACTCGGGGTTGGCTCTTTCTTTTTGTCATGTGGGTCCTGGAAGCAAACTCAGGTTGTCAGGCTGGGTGACAAGTACTTTACCTGCTGAACCATCTCACTGGTCCCAGGGAAATGGTTTTCAAATAATGACTTTCCTCTCTTGATGACCTCATACTCGGGCTGGAGCCCTCCTAAGAGCACGTGTACTGCTCACAAGAAAGGGTGGTATCTCCTCAGTGTGGACAATGCTCTGGGCCCACAAAGTATCCAGCACAAAGTGGGTTTCCCTCAGCCGGGCGGTGGTGGTGCACACTTTTAATCCCAGCACTCGGGAGGCAGAGCCAGGTGGATCTCTGTGAGTTCAAGGCCAGCCTGGTCTACAGAGTGAGTTCCAGGACAGGCACCAAAACTACACAGAGAAACCTGTCTCGAAAAAACAAAACAAAACAACAACAACAATAAAGTGGGTTTCTCTGAATGGAGACCCTGTTTCAGTGTCTGATTACAGACAGAAACCCACAGAAAGCCACAGAAACCCACAGAAAGCCACAGAAAGCCCACGAAAGCCCTTGTTCTCTCTTCTCTCTCCCAAATCACTATTTTTGCCAGTTCATCCGCTCCAGGTCACTAGCACCAAGGACAGCACCCCCAGAAAGCAGCTTTGGCGTTCTCGGGTGCTGACTTATTTCTGTGCCCACCTATACCTTAGCTACTGCTTTGTAAGGATCATATTCTTGCACATGGACACTCGATGACCCTCCTTTTTATGGAGAACGCCAGCTGTGTGGCCTCAGGGCAGCCTAGGCAGCAAGCACCTTGGGAACTCAGGACTTTCTCCAGAAGCCCAATGGAAGAAAGGAAGCCCAGTTACCTTATGCAAGTCTGGCATCAAATCTTGGTATAAGGAGCGAATCAACATGTCCAGAGTACGCCGGCGTTTCTGGGCAAAGGTTGGGGTTTCCAAAGTGGCTTTCTCACCATTAATCACTAAAACAAATAAAAAAGGGCATGACAGTCATCAATACCTAGTGAAGAGTATTCTTTGCAAGCAAAGTCTGCACAGTGAATGTCACCTGCCATTATAATACTAGCATTATGATTTAGATATGGAGTGTCTCCCAAAATGTCAAGGGCATGGCCGCAGCTGGTGGTCCAATTATGGGAGTTCTCTTGGACCACAGAGGCTCTGATTTCATCAGTGGCCAACCCACTGGTGGGTTAATACTTGGATTATTGGTGGGTGGTGGAGACACATGGAAGTGGCGTCTAGTTGAAGAAAGAAGCAGGCCACAGGATAGTGACTCTGAAGGGTGGCTCTTGTCCCCTGGCCCTTTCTGCTGGTCTCTGCTTCCTGGCTACCATGAGGTGAGCAGGCTGCCACCATCATGCCTCGCTGCCACCACATTCAATTTCACCGTAAGCTCTTAGTGATGGAGCCAGGTGACGACCGAAGTCTCCAAAACAAGCCTTGTCCTCATCTCAGCTTACCTTTTCCTGAGACAGGGTTTCTCTGTGTGGTCCTGGCTGTCCTGGATCTCACTCTGTAGACCAGGCTGGCCTCGAACTCAGAGATCCACCTGCCTCTGCCTCCAGAGTGCTGGGATTACAGGCATGCATCACCACTGCCCAGCCTCCTTTTAGTTGTTTTTCTCAGGTATTTTACCACAGTGATGAAAAATGACTAAATTAACCGGCATTACCATTGATCTAACCTTCCTTTCATGGGAGAATGCTTCAAATTTAAATCCCAAAGTATGGATTTATATTACCTATAGGCATATGAATTTTACCTTTCCTGTTGGACAGTAAGTGTCCAGAGCAGAGAGCAGATCTAATCTTTTTTTTTTTTTTTTTTTTTTGGTTTTTCGAGACAGGGTTTCTCTGTGTAGCTTTGAGCCTTTCCTGAAACTTGCTTTGTAGACCAGGCTGGCCTCGAACTCACAGAGATCCACCTGCCTCTGCCTCCCAAGTGCTGGGATTAAAGGCGTGCGCCACCACCGTCTGGCAAGCAGATCTAATCTTAAGGACCTCTTTAGCCATACCTCAACCCATCCATCCTTCCTCTGCTTCTTTCCTGAGATGTTATTCAATGGGACTAATTCTCTCTCTCTCTCTCTCTCTCTCTCTCTCTCTCTCTCTCTCTCTCTCTCTCTGAGTGTGTGTGTGTGTGTTTGCTGCAGCTTGTTGAAAAGAAAAAGCTGCTTTAGCACAAGTTCTTAGCTTATTGGGTGTTCCTTCTGGAAAAAGCTAAGCATTTCATACACTACAGACACTATGATCCAACAAGGCAGAGTGCGCAGTTACACACCAGAGCTCAAACTGGGTGTCCAAGAGGTTAAGAGTCTGAAGTCATGAGTGTGGAACCCAGGTCTGGGACTGGATGTGGAGTCTTAAGCACTTTTGTCCTACCTTTCTGGGGCTTCAGTTTCTACCCTACCCTGTAAAAATAGCCATGATCCTATTTTTATAGAGGGCTACTGTTATTTAAGTAATAATACATACACCCAGTACAGTGCTAGGCACATGGAACTGGTTAAGTATTCTAGCTTAGTTTTCTCATACAGAGGACCAATGGGAAGGTCTGTTCATGAACTGAAAAACAGAACTTGCTGTGGACAAGGCATTCCCTAGATACTTTCTATGTGCTGGGGTCAAGCTGGGCTTGTGTATTACACAGCATCTCTTAGGAGTTTCTAAAGTGCATAAGGTGTTTTCTTTTTCTTTCTTGAGGAATTTCCCAGTTAGTACTTTAGAAAATTACATATTTTTCTGTTTTTAATAAATAAATAAATAGATAGTTGTCCTAACCTTCCCTCTTCCCGCCCCTCATCCACTCCCCCTCCTTTCTCTTCAGAAAAGGGCAGGCCTCCCTTGTACATCAGCCAGTCATGGTATGTCAAGTTGCAGTAAGACTAGGCACCTCCTCTCCTGTTAAGGCTGGACAAGGCAACCCAGGAGGAGGAAAAGGTCCCAAAAGCAGGTAACAGAGTCAGAGACAGCCCCGCTCTCACTGTTAGGAGTCCCACAAGAAGACCGAGCTACACAAGTGCAACTTCTGTGCGGAGGGCCTAGGTTATCCCATGCAGGCTCTCGGGTTCTGTCTCTGTAAGCCCCTATGAGCCCAGGTTAATGATTCTGTGCATTTTCTTGTGGTGCCCTTGACCCCTCTGGCTCCCATAATCCTTCCTCTCTCTCTTCCACAGGATTCCCCGAGGTCTGCCTATGGTTTGGCTGTGGGTCTCTGCATCTGTTTCCATCACTCCATACTTATGGACACCTGATTTTTGATAAAGAAGCCAGAAATATACAATGGGAAAAAAAGCATCTTTAACAAACGGTGCTGGCATAACCAGATGTCAGCATACAGAAGACTGCAAACAGATCCATTTCTCTTACCCTGCACAAAATGCAAGTCTAAGTGGATCAAAGACCTCAACATAAACCAGGTTCAGAAGAGAAAGTGGGAACAGCCTTGAATGCAGTGGCCCAGGAGACAACTTCTCAAACAGAACACCAATAGTGCAGGCACTAAGAACAGCAATGAATAAATGGGACCTCATGAAACTGAAAAGCTTCTGTAAGGCTTTCCTGTCAAAAGGACAAAATGTTGTCCTCTAAATAATCTGAAGTTAGAGCACTCCAGGCTCCGGGCCCTGCTGTTCCACGACCATCCTGTAGAACACGTATCTACCCTGCCTGGCTCCTTTGTTCCTTTTAGCTGTTAGCTGCAACAACTGCTCTGTTTGTTTTTTGCTTCCTCTTTGATACCCTGGGCTTGAACCACATGAAATTTCCTGATTGGATGTTTTGAAAATGCAGCCTACTGGCAACGCTGTGCTCATGTCCCAGGAAAGGGCCGCTGGCTGGAGCCTGGTGCAGTCCCCAGCCCGCCGCGCCCCAGAGTGCCTCACTGTCATCTATTCCCAGGACTTCTCTCAACACCACCCCACCTCTCCACACTCGAACATGTGACCCTTGTCCCAGCCACTCAGCTGGCCTATGGACATGGAAGGTACAGAATTATCACCTGGGCCAAGCAGTCTGCTGCTTCTAATGTTGGAGGCAGAGCATTTCTCCAAGACCCTGCTGTGGACCAAAGCTGGAAGCCAACAGTGTGGAGGTGCCCAGCTACATGCCCTTAATGGCTGTACCCGCCAGAAGGCTGTGAAGCATATGGAGACCTCTGGGAGGGGCTGCTGGGATTGTGGAGGAAAGAGCACTTTCAGCCAGCTTGGCTGTGAGTGGGCTGTATTTGGTGACTGGAGTTAAGTGACATCTATCCCTTCAAGCGCTACTGACATGGCTGCTAAGACACGGGAAGCTTCTGTGGCTGTTGATGGAGGACTCACATGGGGTTATGGAGGAGACTAGGTAGATAAGAAGACAAAGGTGGGGGCTGGAGAGATGGCGCAGGGAGCCCTTGCTGCTGGTGGCGCACACCTTTAGTCCCAGCACTCAGGTGGCAGCAGCAGACTGATCTCTGGGAGTTTCAGGCCAGCCTGGTCTACAGAGTGAATTCAAAGCTAGCCAGGGATACATGAGACCTTGTCTCAAGAAACAATGCAGTACTTCCTCTTCTAGCAGAGGATCTGGATTCCATTCCCAGCACCCATACTGGGTAGCTCATAACTTCAGGTCCAGGGAAATAATCCAATGCCCCCTCTTCTGGCCTCCATGGACACAACACCTGCATGCATGTAGTGTGCATACCCACATCCACGCAACATTAAATAAATCTTTAAAAAAGAAGGAAAGAAAGAAAGTGTCATCTGGCACTTGCCTGGCCTGTGGCACTGGTTTTGGCCAAGTCTGAAGGAGAAAGAGGACTACAAGCTGAGCAGCAGGTATCGATGTGGGGTACTGGGAGGTTCTGGGTATTGATGTGGGGTACTGGGAGGTTCTGGGTTCAATCAATACCACCCTGGGGCCAGGTGACCAAGATGGACTCAGTGAGAGGACAGGAGCTTTTCCAAATGCTCTCAAACTACATGACAACAGTGACAGAATTAGGCACTGTGTGCGTGGGTGTGAGGACAGGTGGATGCCAGAGAAGCAGCTGCAGCCCCTTGTGTTCTGGCAGAAGACCGGAGCTGGCCTCTTTGTAGAGGGCACAGACCGGGTGGCATTGCCAGGGCTCCAGGGCTGACAGACTGGGCTTCTATGAAGAGATTTCAGTGGATGGAGCCAAGTGACTAGCTCCTGCTCAGTAGGTCCTGATGGGCTTTTTAGATATAATACCCAAGGATGCTCTGAGGAGCGTGTGGTCAGCTTCTGTCATAGAGAAAATGGGAGCTCAGAGTCAGGCTTTGGGAATCATCAGTGAGCTGAGATGCATGTGCACTGGGTCACTGGCTAGTGAGGCTGGGGTAAGAAGGTTCTGCACACTCCATTCATGCCCCCACACCACAGCACATACATATACTCCAGCAGCTCTCCTTGTCCCTAAGTGTGTATCAGAACCATTTTTCCTACCTCCACTCTGCTCAGATAAAGACATAGATACATAATGACTCAGACTCAGAATGGTAACATCAGAACCCAGGGCAGAAAGGCCAATTTGAGGCCCCCAGGCACTGTGAGTGGTGAAGGTGGACAGCCTGCAAAGCAGGCGGGCGGGATGGTAAGTGTAGATGAGGACCCAGTAGAAAACCTACCTAACATTACCAGAAACTAAACATGGGTAATGGATGAACAGAATATGGACTGTATAAAAGATGACACTCTTTTATGCCATGTCTGGGGAGAATATGAAGAAATACATTTTTATATGGAACAAGTGACAAAAGCAATTTAAAATGACAACTTACATTTCACAAGCAAAAAGTCCCTGAATTCCTGGTGGTCTGTAAACACTGGTGGGGATGGCAAGGGTGGGCCAAAAAGTGGCACACTTTCTTCTGAAAATATTTTCAGCCTACGTGAAGAACATTCCAGAATTAGTTGGTTCTTTTCTTCAAAGATCACCAATATTTTCCAAGTCAATGTGTCCAGAAAACTATGTAGTGTGTCGGGAAGATTCACCCAGAGGAGTCTGCCTCACCTCTAATCCACCAGCCTATGGATAGGCTGGACAACAGCAATGGCGTCCTGAACAACCACGGCACACTAGGCAGGGTAGTTTCGATCTTAAGGCTTGTTAAACATGCCAGAGGTAATTGTACTCATTGTACACCAGGTTCAAGGTCCCTGGGGGATAAATACTTCACAAATCTTCAGAGTCAGTAAATGACTGAGCTGAGGTTCAAACCCACTTCCCCTAACTGGTGGAAACTGACTTTCCCTTCACATCCTTTTAATAGAATCACTTTGAGAAACAGAAAGACGAGTGGGCAAGGCAGTAGTCTAGGGAAGAGGAGCTCTGATCAATCAAACAGAGATTTCCTTCCCTGTAAAGTACAAAACACCTGGGCCCACTGTGCATAGCAACATTATATGGAGCAAAACTTTTTTCTGAAGGGAGGTGGCTTTTCAGGATATTCTAGAAGGTCAGAACATATGTAATAAACCATCCAGAAGAAAGCGCATAAGGATTCTCTGAGAATCAGTGCCAACTGATGAACAAATGTTAGGATTAGAAGAATCGAGATGAGTCATCACCTACCTGTAATTGTCGTTTTGCTGGTCATACCTCACTAAGGCAAAAATGTCTGTGGGGACAGGTAGTCAAGGCAATTCATCAACACCCCTGATGCTCACACCTGACAGCTATGCCCTGAAAACCCTCCCTCCACAAGAGTTCTTGAGCAGGCCTTTGTGTGGCTAGGCACCTCCTGCTCTTAAGTTGGGACTGAAGAGAGACAGTCTTGGAGAACACAGTAGAGCCCCGTGTCTAGGGTTAGCATCTGTGTGCTCTTCTGCGGGAAAGAGCTAGGCGAGTCCTCCAAAGGGTCAGATAAGCAATGTAAGTAAATGCATTAACAGCCAAGCTGCCAGCAGAACCAAAGGAGCCTGAAACCCAAACAAGATCCTGACATGGATTACTCATCTATTTCATCTCACACATTCTGAGCTGGGAAAACAATCGAAATGTTTCTACCATACACCTTCCTCTCCTTCTGCCTTTGGTAGACAAAACAGCACTGGAGAACAAGCCAATGGAGCTGGTGGTGGCTTCTATACACAGTCGGCTCTGCTTGGGCTGAAGCCCAAAGTGTCCAGAATAGCTCAAGCGCTCTGGCTGTGCAGAGCACTAGCCTCACAGTGGGAGGCCTGGGCTCCATCCAGCACTTAGGAAAAAAGGATAAATGATGTTATGGAACTTCAATCTCAATATAACTCTTTAAAAATAAAACCAAACAGCACAACTACCTGCATGGAGCAGAGTTCTTCCCCCACCTCCTCCCTCACGGCCAGTCCTGCTGTTGTCTAGAGCTGAAGCCGGCAGCCTTGGGTACCCCACTCCTACGCTCTGTTAGCTCTTTTCAGAAGCCCTGTGCCAAGCCCAGCATGGAGAACCTCCAACAGGAGCATCCTGAAGCTTCTCTAACACAGCAGATCCCCTTGTCTCCCTGCTCCACTCAGAAGAGAAATCACCACCAAACGGGAACTATTAGTGACTCCACAGCCCAATGAACGGGGACACCAGCAGAGCGGGGTGAGCACAGAAGGCCCTCACATGGGCTCTCACCTTAGTCATGATCCCTACCCTGTGGAAGAAATCTGCCGTTTCAACTTCTAACCACCTCCGTGCAAGCTTCAGGAGACAAGTCAGAACAGAGAGAGCAGCTTCACCCAGGACACATGAGGCACAGTAGTCTTGTCTCCAAATGTCCTTATGGGGGTTTCTGGGGACAGGCGTGCTGGGATTAGACTTCATTCTGAAAACGTCCACTAGATGTCCTTTATTTACTGTGGCTAATCTACAGAGGCTCTGCCTTTGCTCTCGTGGCCTGTGACCATGGCAAGTGGGCCATGGCTGAAGTCTGGCAGGGCAGGAGGAGCGCGCGTCCCGGGTTGTCTGGCTGAGCATTGCTGAGGTCACCCCCTTCCTCTGCCCCCATCTACAGACAGTCTGAGCTGAGCAGGATTAGGGAAAGTGAACAACATCATTAATTCTACCATGCCTCATACTTTGAGTGCTGTGATTAGAGGTGTGAGCCAGCATACCCCGATATTTTTTTCCATATTTGAGACAAGGCTTTGCTTTGTAGACCCAGCTGTCCTCAAATCTGTGATCCTCCTGCCCAGGCCTTCAGTGTGTTTGGACTGTAGGCACACAGCAACAGACTTTGATAATTGAAGTCGGCTTCCTAGAGGACTCAATACTTATTCTTAGATTCATTCGTTACTAGCGGATGATGGGATGCTTCCCTTATTTCAGACTTCCTTAGAAAAGAGAAGACATTTTGGAAGTCAAAGCTGGGTGTGGTGGCATGTGCTTGTAGTATCAGCACCCGGAGGTCTGAGGCAGGGAGGCTGTGAGTTCCAGACTCTCTCAGAGGTTAGCTGTGAAGCACTGTCTTCTGCATGTGACATGGATGATACACACATGAACACACAGTCACAGCGGCTACCTGCACAGGACTGGGCCCCTCAACCTTCCGTTGTGGATAGGAAAGAATTCATGGCCCTCCCCCTCCCCCTGGAGAGCTGTAGGCAGTTAATGGTTGCTGGGATACAGAGTCATACTCCTCAGTGGTGTAGCTGCTGGTAAGCAGCTCAAATAAATCACCTTTTCCTAATGCTTATGCAAGCTTCGCTGACTAAATACCGCGGGACACACACAGAGCCAAGAAAGTGAGAGCGGGGCTGGGGAAGACGAGGTTCAGCAGGGGGGAGAGGGAGAGGGCAGTGGAGGGTGAAACTGAGAAAACACGGTCAAACAGTCCCCTGAGGATCACTACCCACTGCTGCGGAGGGTGGGGAGGGAGAAGGAACAGTGCAGGGCTTAGGCAAAATCCCCCAACGACGTGTGTCAGGCTAGCCACTCAGGACAGGTCTACCACCCAAGGTCCTGGAGCATTTGTGCAGACCCAGGATACGTGTGAAATGGGAGCGGATCATGGAAGGCTTAAAGGCGGGAGAAGATTCCTCTCCTTCCTGGAACACGATGGTGACAATATCGTTTCCAATGTGGCGCTTTCTTTCCACCTGTCATGAGCATAAATGACATCATGAGAAGAGCTGCTCCACCAGGGCACATTCCCAACACACATTCCTGCTTCTACCATGCTGAACACGCTTCCCCATCCCCCGAGTTGCATTCGGGGCCCACACAGAAGCACAGGAGGCTACAGAGGGGTCTGGGGGGAGAGCACACACGCATACTGGGGCTTCATGTAGGTTATGCAAGTGCTCTACCACTGATGAACAACTCACCTTAGCTAATCTGAAAGCTCATACTTGGTGACAAAATGGCTCTAATTTGACCCCTAGTTGACCTTTCCAAAACGATTTCCTAGATCTGCAGTTGACACTTTTTTTTCCTATAAAAGGTCATACCAAGACTGTTTGCAACTTCATAGACTGTATGAACTCTTTAAGCTACACAGCTCTTAAAGTGCACATGCTGCCATAAAAAAATGTGTGAGTGGGTGTGGTGTGCGCCAGGTGCACAGCACTCGGCAGAACGGGGACAGGTCAGCTTGCAAGATCCGTTCAAGACCTTCACCTACCCGGTCAAACCGCAACACCTGCTGTCCCCTGGACTCTGTCAGTGGTGGACTAAGGATGCTCACTTGTTATCTGGCTTGTCCTCACTGGAAGGTGGGGCTTATTTGCTTTCACCTTCGCTCTGGCTGCTGAATGCAGTCATGAGTGAACTGTAGCAAAGAGGACTGTGCACCAGTGCCCAGGCTAGCTTTTTAAAATTTTTTTATTAATTTTTTTTTACATTGGTGTTTTGCCTGTATGTATGTCTGTGTGAGGGTGTCAGATCTTGGAGTTACAGTTGTTAGCTGCCAGTGGGAGCTGGGAATTGAACCCAGATCCTCTGGAAGAGCAGTTAGAGCTCTCAACCACTGAGCCATCTCTCCAGCCCCCAGACTAGCTTTTACAAGGACCAGAAGGGGGCTGGAGAGGTGGTTAAGAGTGCTTACTGCTCTTACAGGGGATCTAGGCTCGGTCCCCACCACCCACACGAGGTGGGCTCACAACAGGCTGTAACTCCAGTTCCAGGGGCTCTCATGCCCTATAGCTTCCTCTGACTTCTGCACACATGTTGCAAATGAGCTCACGTAGGCATACATGCTTACATACATCCACATAAACAGAGAATAAATTAGTCAATTACAAATAAGTAAATAAAAGGACAGTCAGCTTTTGCCACAGTCCTCTCAGAACACATGCTTTTGGGAGAACTGAACCAGTGAGGAAGTGTTGATGAGGAAGCCACTGAGACTCCATTCTGTGAGGAAAGGGCCACTCTGCCAATGTCCCTGTTGAGCCTCCAGTGGTCCCAGATTAGCTACTGGCTGAGTGTAATGGATGAGAAGCTGAGACAGCAGAAGACCTGCGGCTGAGCCTTGTCAGCACAGAGCCTGAAGGAATCAGTACTATCTTCAGCTGGTGAGTTCTGGAGTGGCTTATTGCACAGTGGTAAATAAGCAAAGCATGGTCTGTGCTTGCCTAATTTACCTTGTCTAGCCTCTTACGGCCAAACAGCTCATACGTGGTTATCTGTCTAAGCTCATGCAAAAGGCACCTTCTCCAGGAAGGCCTCCTTGATCTTCATTAGCTGTCCTGTTCTTTCTCCCTCAGCATCCATAGCACTTTGTGTTACCATTAAATCTGTGTGTGTGTGTGTGTGTGTGTGTGTGTGTGTGTGTGTGTGTGTGTGTGTGTACCCACCAAAGCCAGAAAAGGGTACCAGATTCCCTGGAGCTTGAGTTACAGGAACTTTGTGGGTGCTGGGAACCAACTGGTCACCTGAAAGAGCAGCAATTGATCTTAACTGCTGAGCCATCTCTTCAGCCCCCATGATGTCATTCTTTAGTTTTGTTTTTGCTTTTTTTTTGAGAGAGGGTTTCTCTGTGTAGCCCTGGCTGTCCTGGAACTCACTCTGTGGCCCAGGCTGGCCTCGAACTCACAGAGATCCGCCTGCCTCACCTCCTGAGTGCTGGGATTAAAGGGGAGTGATGTCGTTCTTAGGTGGATTATTCCTCTACGTATGCTGATCATTCTGGGCTGTGCTCCCTGTCCTGTACCCCATACCATAAGCTCCCGGAGAGCAGGCCCCTGACTGAATCACAGTGTGTATTCCCATTTTACCAACGAGGAAGCTCAGGTGTAGAGAACACCTGAGTGCAGTTCAGATGATTTGGTTAACACTATAAACACAGACAGCAGAAGGAAGGTGGGGAGACGGCTTCAGAACGAGAACCTCTGTGGACTGAAGGACACTGTCAGGAGAGGGAAAGGCAGCTCGATGAAGGGCAGGAGTATGTGCAAGAAATTAGTATCCAGAATATGTAAAGAATTCCTACTATTCAATAACAAGAATAAGCAAAGAATGTAAACGGACATTTCTCCAGAGAAGATATGCAAATGTATAAAAAGCACAGAAGATATTCAGGTTCACTAGCTACTGGAGACATGCAAGTCAAGACGATCAGCTCCTCCAACCGGCAGGATGAATGTATAAAATAACCAACTGGAGTGTAACACAAATCCTTAAGAATATGTAAATTACTAGATGTCAGTCTCGAAAGACCAAATACTGGTGCTAGAGAGACGGCCCACTGGTTAAAAGCACTGACTGCTCTTGAAGTTCAATTCCTAGCACCCACATGGTGGCTCATACCCATCTGTCACTTCAGTTCAATGGATCTGGCACCTCTTCTGATTTCTGTGGGCTCCCAAATGCACATAGTACACTTAGATACACTCAAGCACATACACACATACACTTCAAAGTAACTATTAAGACCATGCATTATTTTAATACAGTATCCATGTGTGGCTGATGCTCCATTTGTCAGTTGATGTGGGTAGTGTTGGTGAATGTTGGGAGTTGGGGAGAGGATTGTAAGGTGTTTCACTGAAGATTGTTCGGTTGCTGTATGTAGGGTGCACTCCACCCCTGAACTCCAAGCCCCTGTGTAAGTTTTCTGACACTACTGTTGAAATATAAGAGGTCAGCAGCATTCAGGATGGTAGAGAAGATGGGTGTGGTCTATCCCCACCACATGATCACAAGATCCTAAGAGCTTCAGCTGCCATGAAGACCAAAATCAACTTGGGGAGGAAAGGGTTTATTTCAGCATATAACTGTCACACTCCATCATCTAAGGAAGTCACAGCAGGAGCTGATGAAAAAAGAGGACTTCTTACTGGCTTGTTCCCATGCCTGGCTCAGCCTGTAGTTTTTTATTTATTTATTTATTTTTATTTTTTATTTTTTCCGAGACAGGGTTTCTCTGTGTAGCCCTGGCTGTCCTGGAACTCACTCTGTAGACCAGGCTGGCCTCTGCCTCCCGAGTGCTGAGGTTAAATGAGTGTGCCACCACCTCATGGCTTCAGCCTGTGTCCTTATAGCGCCCAGCACCACCAGCCCAGGGATGGCACCACCCAATGAGCTGGGCCTTCCCACATCACTTATCAATAAAAATGCACCACAGGCCAATCTGGTGAGGGTATTTTCTGAACGGAGGCTCCCTCCTCCCAAATGACTCTAGTTTTTGCCAAGTTGACATAAAACTGGCCAGCACACCAACTTATTTCATGTTCCAGAATCTCATTCTGACAAGGCCAAAGGCACACTGAGCCAAGCCACAGGGAGAAGGCATGTTGAATACAGAACAGCCTCAAGCCTTCTTCTCGTGGTTTGAGCAGGTCTCCCGGTTGCATGTGCTGGAGGCCTGGCTCTAGGCCTGGTGTTGCTAAGGGGTGGTGGTGTTTTTGAGAGGTGGGCCTAGTTGGGGGTGATGAGGTCTTGGGAGGGGTTAATGCTTTTCTCGTGGAAGTTCATTCTTGCTCACTTAGGTCTGTCTGGAACCTAACCTGGATTTCTTATGCTTCCTGTTTGCCATGTGATTTCTTCTACATCTGCACCAACACGATGACCACCATGAGGGTCTCACTAAAGCCCAGGAAATATCAGTGCTCTTGAAACTACATGACTCTGACTGAATGAACCTCTTTTCCTTATAAAGTACCCGACTCCAACTATTTTGTCATGGCAACACAACATAGACTAGTATGCCTTTAAAATCACAGTCACACATGTCCAAGTACATATATGTATACACCACAAGCTCACTACTATCCCTGACCCTTCTTAAAGACGACAGAGGCAGCAACAGCACGCTTCCGTGTTTGCAGTTCAGACAGACTATAAAACAGTGCCTGAATTGGTAGCTGATAACTGAAGCCTGGCTCACAGTAACAAACTTAGTCTCTAATTTTATAAGTCATTGCGTTGCTCATCCCACATTTGTGTTTTCAAAGAGCCTGTGGTCACACGTACCTGCTGTCTGTTCTCTTTGGAATACGGCAACATGGTGGAAACGTGAAACATGACCTCATGCCCTTGGTACACAGTATAGACTGAGTTGATCCCTGTGGTGTTATCTGTAAAACACAAGAACGCAGTCAGGGGTACCAGATGAAGGAATGCAGTACACAGGACATTTTCAATGACTGCCTGGTCCATCAGCGTTGGTGAGCAGGAGCCGATCACCTGAATGTCAACTCTCCATCTCACTCAGGCTCCTGTCCGTGAGGAAAGACCTTGTTCATGTTCTCAAGGCTCCCTGCTGCCTGCTGCACATCTAGCTCGGAACACAAAGTCAGGAGAAGTCTGGCTAGTAAGGGAGAGCATGCTGCAGCCCCCACATCTTCCTGTGACTGTGGGGTAAAGGATACCATTCACCCATGCTGATGCAGCTGTGATGCCCACATATCAAGGTGAGGTTTTTGAAGATCTGTGCTTGGTTAAGGCATAGCCTCTGGAGGTAGATGGACTAGGACCTGAGTTCTCACAGGCTACGTCGCTCCTGTCCCCCTCCTCATATTTAAGGGCTTTATCATTTTTTGTAATCCAAATTTGTTTGTTTATATGTGTGTGCACATGTGTGAGGAGTCCAATGTCCATATCCAATGTCTTTTTCAATTGCTCTCCACCATATCTTTTCTCCAAGTCTGGCTGTTTGATTTAAAGTCAGTGTATCAGTTATCTATTGCTGTGTAAGTCATTCCTAAGCTTGGTGGATTAAATCAGTGACTAACACGAATTTTTTAAAGGTTTATTTATTTTATGTGTTTGAGTGTTTTGCTTGCATGTATGTTTGTGCACCAAGTGTTTACAGTGCCCAAGGAGTCCAAAAGAGGGTCCAGATCCCCCAGAACTGGAATTACAGTTTCTCTGATCCTGTTTCTTAGTTTGAAAATGGGGACAGTAGTATCTAACCCTCAGGGATTCGGAGAAGACTCAGGAGAATGGTCCCTGCAAAGTGCTTAACCTGACAGAAGACCTGGGTCATAAGAGGGCTCAGGAGATGGTAGTCAGGACCACTACAGTGAGGCTGAGAGGTGAGCGTGGGTGAGGAGCTTACAGGTGCTCGGGAGCCCATCATGTCCACAAGAACGCTTGTCAGAGGGGAGCTGGGCTGCCCCTTCTACCTCTGAACTGGTAACTAAGGCATTTCCACGGCAGTCATGTACTGCTTTCATGCTGAATCTGTGGGCTGCCAAAGACAGCCTCCCAGACAGTCGGCTACCTGGACTGGAAGTCTGCCACATTCAGGCTGGAGGAGCCTTGTACCACCTGCCTGACTTTCTCTGAGGCTTGACTGAAGATCAAACAAAACTACAAACCCAGAAGCACAAGAAAATGCTAGAAACACTCCTCAGATAGAAGCCAACCTAAGCAACTCAAGTCTGGCCATCTAGTCCCTCTCTACCCACCTGCTACCTTCCCAAGCTTCCCTTCAATACCCCGAGATCTCCATCAGCTACTTCAGGCCAGAGACCATCCCCATTCTCAATCGTCCTGAGATGCTGTGTCCTCCACTTCAGAGGCTCTGGAATTTGTGCGCTGTCCCCCTGCCAGCCTGTTGTTCCTCCAGCCGTGACAGTTGTCCTCAACACCTTCCACCCCCCACCCCGTTCAGACTGTGAAGTCTGCTTTTCCAATGGCTCCCTGGCCTGTTCCTTCTGGATTATCTTCCCCACAGGTCTGCCCAAAGGGGACCTCACTGCTCTCCTACTCGGTGACATGCAAGGGGACTTCAAACAACCGTCTCTAGTCTGTATTGCAACCTTGCTGGTCTCTCTGCTCCTTCCAGCCAGAAAGATAGCCTCTTAGTTTCTAGAACGGCATGCCGTGTTCTCTCCTGCCTCAAGGACTTCACAGATGTTCCCTGTTTGGAATTCTTTTCTCAAGATCCCCACTGTTCCCACACATCACTTCCTTGTCCCCTCAGAGACGTCTTCTATTCCCCAGATTCGGCAAAGCATCCGTGGCACTCTCTGTGGCTCCCGATTCCTGTGAGCACTGATTGCCAAGCTATTTCATAACCATCACCCGTGTGCCACCTGTGCTGCCTAGCGGGCTGTGGGGTCCCTAGAAAGGCAGGGACCACGTTGCTTTATGCATGCTGACCCAAGAGCCCAGCAGCATCCTGGAACACAAACGGTGCTCATTGCTAAATATAGCTATGGGACACCTGAGATTTGTGTTATAAGAGACCCTCGCCGAGGCAAACCACAGTGGTCACTATGATACCAGGTAGTATAGCCTTAGGAGACTCCACAACAGACGTGGTTCTTCCTTGATGGGAATGCCATTCATGTGTACACGATTTTATGTATTTACTGATCATACCTCCTGATGTGTCCTCGGGGTCTTATAAAGCCCATGGAGTCGATGGGCTTTATAAGTGACCTATGTCAGATTGGGGATGGTCCTCAAGTAACAGAATTTCACTAATTCCAACAAAGGGCAAGCTTACTTTTGGTGTCCAGACCGCCACGGTAGCCTGTCCAGCCCTTTAGAGTAATGGTGTCACCGAGGAGATTCAAAAATTTTTGAAAAGCTTCACTTCCAATTTCTGCAAGAAAAGGCGAGGGATGAGGAAAGATCGCTCTCTGGTCCTCATTTCCTGACCACAATGGAATCAATGGAAGCCGAGGTGCTGTGGCATGCGCGGTACCAAAGCATGAGGTCGCATTGCCTTCCACCCAGGGCCATAAGAGGGCTTCACAATTCTCAGGAACCCAAGGAAGGAAAACAGAACCAGATGAACCAGGTGTTATCACTTCTCTGCCCAAAGATAAACAGGGTTGTAACATGAAAGATACAAATACAGGAAGAAGATACTGTCTTTATGTTCACTCAGTCAGAAACATCGAGGAAAGACCTTGCACTCTGTAGAACCAGATTCTCCAAATTCATGTGTGTCTCCTCCCCTCCCAGTTGTGTTCTCCAGGGCCCACTGCAGGGACCCATAGAAGTTAGGTGATAGGAAAAAACTTGGCAAATGAATGGAACTGGTCATGAGCTGTCTTATAAAACTCGGTAAACTGCCTCCTGATATTGGAGATTCCAATCAAATATCCAGTATCGGCTGTGGGCAAGGCAGTAAGGGGCAGGGTCTCCCTTAGCAGGGGTGAGGCAAAGGACAGGGTCTCCCTCAGCAGGGGTGAGGAGGAGCTGCTCACCATTGCTGAACATCTCGTCGTCTGTGAGCTGCCCATCTTTGGCAAAAAGGACTCCGAATTTGAAATTCACAGAGCCCTTACAACGAGACAGCAAAAGACACACCAGTTAATTTTGTTACGGAAGCACACACAGTTTTAGGGTACAGTGTTTGCCATTTAGGGTCACTGCAGTCACCAGAGTGGACACGTGGGGGATTCCTTCCTCCCATTAGCCCCAGGACTAAGCAATGTTAACAAGAGACACTCGTTTTTCTGTAGGTTACAAAACAGCTAGCAGATGAGGGGATCCACTTCTCTACCAGTTGAGCCTCTTGCGATTTCATTCCCGACAGCATGAGGAGGATGCCAGGTCCATGGGGGCAGCATGGTGCTGCTGGCAAGGGCCACAGGCACCCCTGGGTCTGGCACCACGTTCTGACCCACCCATCAACAACAGTTCCCTGAAGAGTAGGGCAGCTAAATGTAACTCAGAGCCAAACAGAACAATCTTAAGACTGAAGGCTGGTAGATATGGAACCAGAAATAGATATGGAAATTGTGGGCAATTTATATGAAAAGCTTCCCCTCCCATTCCTGAAGATCTTTAATCTGAACAAGTCACAGATGTGCAAATGAAGACAAAGCAAGTCGAGCAAGCCTGGCTATTCCAGTTTGAGTTTATGACTCAGTTCACAGAGGACTGATAGACTCTGACCCTGCAGAAATGACCAACTCTAGTGTGTGATGGCAGCTGCTTCAGGAAGAGAAGAAGACAGAGGAAGGGAGCAGGCAGGAGGCTCTCAACCGTCACTTTTTAAAGATTTGGTTATTACTTATGTGTTTGCTATGTGTTGCCATAATTCATTATCATACATGTATGTGGTGGTTATATTCACCACACAAGTGCATGTGCCCTTGGAAGAGGGTACTGATTCCTCGGAGCTAGAGTTACAGGCAGTATGAGCTGCTGGATGTGAATGCTGGGAACCAAATCTGGGTTCTTCCTCTCTTTAGCCCCTCAACTCTGTGTTTTTAATGATTTTGCCTGTAATCTGGGCAGGGGATTTATATGTTATTCTCTATACTTTGTGCATGCCTGAATTACTTAATAGTAAGAGTCCTTTGTTGGAAGAACATCAACATTACAAGGCTGTCTGACCCACCACTAGGTGAAGGATTCTGGGTATTGGTCAGTCAAGGTGTGGGTATCAAGAGTCCTAGTCAATGGGGCCAGAGGTGGGAGGTCAAGGCAGAATGTCGGGACTCAGAAGTTGAATGGCAAAATAAGACTCTGAAAACCCAGCCTGGGCTGATGGCTCAGTTATTATAAAGTGCTCACCACACATACTAGAGAACTGGAATTCAGATCCCTACAACCCACGTAAATCCTGGTACCGCAAGGTGCCTGCCTTTCTAGCCCAGGAAGGCAGAGAGATGGGGATCCCCAGAGCAAGTTGGCTAGCAAAAGTGATGTATCAGGGAGCTCTGCATTTGATTAGTTCTACCCAACTCAATTTTGAGTAAGGTAGAAGAGGGATAGTGGATGACTCCTGACATCAACCTAAGGCATCTGTATGTATGTGCACATGTACCCAAACACACGCAAACACGCTCACACACCACATACATATACTTATGAAAAGAAGAAAAGGAAAAGAATCTGAAAACCCATGCCTGAGGCTGTGCTTCAAAACCTTTCTCTGTCTCTAGTATACCGGCAAAGAGATGCATGCCCTTCTGTAACAGTGGCTTTCTATAGAGACATGGGTATAGGGAGGGCATCCCTACCTGACTCCTCTACCCAGAGCGCTTCCCCAGTTCTCAGGGGTGATGCTCTTCCCCACCAGGCAAGCCTCAGCTCCAGTGGAAATTTCCAGAGAGGCCACTATCTCTCTCTTTACACCACTATCCCCACTGTAATTCCTTTCCCCCCTCTGTACAGCTCTGACTGTCCTGGAACTCACTCTGTAGCTCAGGCTGGCCTGGAACTCACAGAGATCCGCCTGGCTCTGCCTCCTGAGTGCTGGGATAAAAGGCGTGCGTCACCGAGGCCCAACCCTCACTGTAATTTTTATCTTGAACATGGACATGTTTCTTACTAGAGTCTGATTTGTTGGAAGATAATCACACATACTTTAATTATTTTTGAATTTGCAGGGCAGAGGCCAGGGACAATGGAGAAGATGGACAAATTTGATTCGGTGACTGTGCACAAGAAACAAGAAAAACAGTGAAGGTGGACAGAAAGAACTCGCTTTATTATCAGCCTGTCAGGTTTTGATTGATTTTTTTGGGTAAGTTTTTTTTTTTTTTTTTGAGACAGGGTTTCTCTGTGTAGTTTTGGTTCCTGTCCTGGATCTTGCTCTGTAGACCAGGCTGGCCTCGAACTCACAGAGATCTGCCTGGCTCTGCCTCCCAAGTGCTGGGATTAAAGGTGTCTGTCACCACCGCCTGGCTAAGATTTTTAAAGGCTTATTTTTATTATTTCAAATTGTACGTGTGTGTGTGTGTGTGTGTGTGTGTGTGTGTGTGTTAATGTGTGGCAGCATGTGCACATGATTGCAGGTGCCTGTGGAGGCCAGAGGTGTTGGATCCCCTGAAGCTGGAGTTATAAGAGGTTATGTGAGCTGCCTGAGTGGGTGCTGGGACCAAACTCGGGTTCTATGAAAGAGCAGTATACTGCTCTTAACCATTGAGACATCTTTCCAGCCCCGATCTCTGTAGTTTCATCAGGGACCCCTACCTACTTTGGGTTTCCATGGCCATCACTTTTCTTCCTCTGTTTTGGAGTGATGATGATATTCACACGTCTCCAAGATGGTGGCACCTCTTTTGTTCATGGACCCTCTTAAAAAGCACCCACAGAAATTTGCAGTCTAGCAGATAGCCCTTTTGGAGCAATCACAAAAAGTCTGAAGCAGTGGTCCTCCACACTTGGCCTCAGGCTAAAGGCATCGGGAGCCCTGGAGGGGTGTTAGAAGATGGCTGGCCCACAGCCCAGTGCTTCCAGCTCAGTAGGTCTGGCATCTGGCTTGGAAGTTTGCATCCAAGATTCCCATGAGATGCTCTTGCTGCTGGTCTGGGAAACAGATGCTGAGAACCAGTGGACAAAGGAACAAACTGGGAGGCTTCCAGGTGGCCAGGGTCAGGTCCAGCTGAGCCGGCAGACAGGAAGCACAGGGCAGAAGGACGTGGTGAAGTAGCAGCTCATTAGGACCAGAAAGGAGCCACAGTCCACAGTCAGGGACACCCAGGGAAGAAGAGGTTTGCCCAAGGCCGCTCATAAGTGAAGAGCAGGCTGGAGTCGGGATCTGGGTCTCTTGACTTCTGACCAGGGCTCTTGCCAGCAGCACAACACAGCGTTGCACAGGTCTGCACTGAGCAAAGCTGAGAGCCCAGGCAGAGATGGAGCCTCCATGTCAGCACTACCAGTACCCTGGGGGAGACCTTGGAAGGGCTGGGTTGTAAGACATGTTCCCAGTCAGGCTAAAGCCCTGCGAAGTCTCAGGGCACGGAGGGTGCAGGTTGGGGACTGTCCAGGTACCCTGGCATGAAAGGATTTCCAATCTTCAAGTTCACTCAGAAGGAGAGCATGACTCCAGGTTTGCCACGATGGCCCTGGTCTGCATCTCTTTTCTCTGCTGTCCTGGTATTATTAATACTCTCCAGAGAGTCCCAGTTTAAGTGAGAAATTGTATAGAACCTTCTGCTTCAGGAGGACATTCCAGGAAGACTGGTGTTGTCTTAAGTTCTTGAACCTTCTAGGACTCTAGTGAAATAATCTGGTGTCCAAGGCTTCCCAGACAATGCCCACAATAAACAGAAAGCATTCATCTATTTTCAGAAATCAAGGTGTCGGTCCACATAATGAGCTATTTTGTTCTTTAGGAGAGGTAGTTTCATTTGGGACTACTGGATCAAAACCCATCATTTTGAGTTGTTTGCCTTCTGGCGCTGGGAACTGAACCCCAGGACATGCTCTACCACTGAGCTCCAACTCCTAATGGACCACATTGGGATAAGTCACTAAACACATCAGGGTTTCATGAGCACTGCATTTTGAGGGACGCAGGGAGCTTTCCAGGTCTCATGTTCGGTCTGGGACTCGAGAGAGCAGCCTGTTGGAGAGTTATAGGCACTGATTGCCTCAGGACACAGTCTTGCTCAGATACAGAAACAGGCCACACTTGTCATTTCTATTTGTTTGGAAGTTAAAGTATTTCTAAATTAAAAAAATATCTATTTATTTTATGTGCATATGTGTTTGCCTTCATATATGTATGTGCACTACATGTGAGCTTGGTGCCTGTGGAGGCCTGAAGAGGGTATTAGAACTGGAGTCACAGATGGTTGTGAGCCACTATGTGGCTGCTGGGAACTGACTCTGCTCAGCAAGAACAGCCAGTACTCTTAACTGCTGAGCTGCTTCTCCAGCCCTAGTTCTAATTTTATCTGTGGAATTAACACTCCAAATTATATTCCTTCTGTGAAAAGCCAAGTCTGAGCAGAAAGTCCCAGTGAGTCCAGAAGAATCATTGGAACCCAGAAAGGATGGCCGTGCTTGGACAGTGTCCTGGCTAGTGTTATGTCAACTCGACACAGCTAGTCAGCTGAAAGGAGGGACCTCACTTGAGAAACTGCCTCCATAAGATCTGGCTGTAGCGTATTTTCTTAATTAGTGACTGAGGGGGGAGGGCCCAGTCCATTGTGGTGGTCCTGGGTTCTATAAGGAAGCAGGCTGAGCAAGCTAGTAATAAACAGCCCTCCATAGCCTCTGCATTAGCTCCTGCCTCTAGGTACTGGCCTGTTTGAGTTTCTGTCCTAACTTCCTTCACTGGTGAACAGTGATATGGAAGCAGGAGCCAAATAAACCCTTTCCTCTCCAACTTACTTTTGATCATAGCGTTTCACAGCAGCAATAGTAACCCAAACTAAGACAGTCTTCTGTATTTATAGGGTTCCACCTGTTCACAGTTCACTGGTTCCTCCTTGTGTGTACTACAGCATAGGACACCATATCTTTTATGGGGATGCCTGTCTGTGCAGTCATGAGCAAATAAACATGGATTTCGGGTCACCAACTTCATTTTACTAAATAGCTAACCTTTCAGGCACATTACCAGTGTTCCTTATGAAGTCTGTTTTTTGTTTTCTGTTTTTTCTGCCCATCATCACAACTCACAGTTTATTACGAGGAGGGACTAGAATCAAGGTCTTTGTTCCCCATGATTCTAGTGGAGAAGCTGTAGGATTAAATGGGAATGCTTGGGCCACTCATCTCTCAGAAAAGTTCTGCTGGATAGTGACCTCTTCTCACCCCTCCCCAAGTCATCAACAAGGGACATTTGCTCCTTCAAGAAAATTTCCCCTTAGTAAGGAGACAAAATTGAGAAACAGAGATCTGGCCTGTATAGTGTAGGCCGGAGATGAAGTGGGTGTTGTCAACATACTGAAGAGGTTGTGACAAATTCACTAAGACACTTTGAGTTCAGGACATTTTATAAAGATATGTCAACTAGTTGAGGTGACGGATTAGAGTTGGGGTGTCAGGGAAATGGAGGAGTTAGGATTTTACCATGTTTGACCCAAGCAACTAGACAAATGGTATTTCCATTTCTGCTATGGATAACATGCACAAAACATCGTTTCCTTACTCAGTTATCTACGGATAATATGCTGGATATCTATGACACACATACATGTACAGGCACATGCACACAAAAGTGCACACACACATACACACACACACACTCACACATAAAACGGGGTAACGGAATGAAGCATGCAGTTATCTTTGGCATGTAGTGTGGTAAAGTGTGTGGCTTTGCACAGAAATCCTACTTGAATGGAAATGAACATCTCTTTACACCACAATCATGTATTTATGCAGACTTAAGTATACTTGTCTATTTATAGAGAGCTGTATGTGAAGTTCTGAAGGGGACCTCGGACAGCCCCTTCAGGAGGCCTCTTTGTAAGAACAAGCCCACACTGCAGATGCACTGAGGTCTAACTCAGAGAAGGCTGTGCTCACAGTGAGGGGGCTGACACTGGCTAAGGGCAGGGAACAAATCTGTTGATAAACTACTCACCTCTTGTTCTTCCAGAACCAGCAAGTCCTGTCAAGCAAAGTTTCAGAAGTTACATTTATACATCATGGTGATTACTGGATTTTGGTTCTCTGAGAAAGCCAAGCTTTATATACTCACACGATTTGATGTTATGACATTTTAGAAATAACAGAAGTTGGCTATGGGATCTCTCTTTAAGGAAAACAGAGACAAAAGTAAAGAACAACTGGAAACAAAACTCTGGCTGGGCCACACATCTCTGAGAAAACCTCTGACAGATACTAACTGCTGCTCACCGATCCCTGAATCAACGCACACTTACTGCTTCACGAAAACACCCCTTTAGTAAGGATCCAATTGGGAAACAGAGAACTGAACACCAGTGTCAAAGGCTGGCGTCAGCATCAAGACACTGGTCCAGTGCGTCTCATTACTTGCATTACACTAAGTCAGCTGCCCTGAAGAGACCCTCTCCTGAGGTCAGCAGGGGGCACTGGTGACCCTAAAGAGTCCTGGCTGTGAGTCCTTGCTCTGCTGCCCACAACTGTGTTTGTGCACAGATTACTTGACCTGTCTGGGTCTGTTCCTCATCCACTACTATCTTGCCCTGTGTGGGTCACTTTGGAGAGAGACAGAATGAGTGTGGGGGATGCCTGGCAAACAGCCTCAGACCACCTTCCCTCCTCAGAATAAACTTCTGAGGAAGTTGGCAGGCAGATACCAAGGCCAAAGGCTCTGGTAGAGGTCACTGGGTGAGTGGAGGTGGGTCCAGGGAAGCCATGGCTGCCAGTGAGAACTAAGAGGAAGGCCAGAATAGAGGTGGAAGAGACTGAGCAACCCTCATCCTCCCTGTCGGCCGGGAGCTGACAATTCCTAAAGTGAGGCACACAAAATCCTACATTTCAAGGGCTCTTTTGTTCAGAAGTACGTCATCATTGTTTTTGAATCCTGGAAAAAATAAAACTATGTGTCTTATACTTTGGGACACACTTCATATTCGCATGTCATTACACACTTCATTGCAAAATCCTCTTTTACATAATTTCCTTTGGTCTAAACCACTCTGCCATGCAGCCTAATCATTCCAGAATTACAGGTAAGGCATTGGAGATTCAGCAGAGCCTGCGTTAAGGTCATGTGGCCTGGTTCTCCTGACACCTGCAAGTATATGGTGAATAAAACAATGGGGAGCTTCCCAACTACCTTTAGTCCAGCAAAAATCAGAACTGGGGCATTCGTTACCGGCCCCTGGCCTGGGGAGAGGGCTTTCCTCTGTGGCCAGGCTGTGGGAGCAGCCTTGCACCAAGAGTCCCCAGGGCCTCAACATGCAGCCACAGGCTGCCAGGTCACATTCCCTTTGTATCATCTTTGTTTTGGATTACATCTTTTTAGAGGTGGGTGTTCCTGCCAGGAATCGTGGTCTACCAATATCTACCTGACAGCATTCAAGTTTTAAAAACTCATTTCCAGATTTGTGAGCACCAACTAGGTCTCTTTTTGTTGTTTCTCGGTTTGTAATTTCAGCCTGGAAAGTCTAATTTTGTGTAGTAATGGTGTTTCTTAAGTCCTAGTGACTTTCTTCCTTTGTGCCTATGTGTACATGTTTGTGTATGTATGTATGTGTGCAGGGAGGCATGTGTACACCACAGGTCACGTGTGGATGTCAGAAGACAACCTAAGGTGTTGGTCCTCGCCTTCCACATTATCTGAGACTGGGTGTCTGACTGTTGTGTACTGTGTGCGGCAGGCTAGCTAGCCCACAGGCTTCTGAGGAATTTCTCATCTCTGCCTTTCATCTTGCTGTTGGAGTGCTAGGATCATGGATGCTGGGATCAATCTTCAAACTTGTGCTAGTCCTGCTATATTTTTAATGGAATTTTGATTTTTATCATTAGTTTGTAGCTAATATTAAGTTTTAAAAAACAAATATTAGCCAGGGCAGAGGTGGTGCACACTTTTAATCCCAGCACTCAGGAGGCAGAGAGAGGTGGATTTCTGTGAGTTGGAGGCCAGCCTGGTCTACAGAGCTAGTTCTAGGACAGCCAGGGATACACAAAGAAGTCCTGTCTCAAAACAAAAACAAAAACAAAAACAAAAGAAAACAAACAAAAATTAGATTTAAGAGTGCAGAATTTTACATATACTTTAAAAACCCTTTAATGCTTTAAACATTCAGATTTAGTTCTACAGGTTTTTATACAATCCCTGGTCACCAGGAAGTCATCTACAGCTCTCTAGAACACAAAGTGGCAGAAAAAGGCAGGAAGATAACACAGAGATCCCACTTTCTCACTAACTTAAAGCCAACTTAATCACACACACTGCTTCTGGAAGGAATCTGGTCAAGAAAAATGTCACTGCATCCTAGCAAGCAGAAGCAGAGGGACAGCATTTTAATAGGACTAGCCATCTTCTTCTCATAATGAGGCTGGTTCAGCGTCTATTCGCTGTGTGGATCCTGAGACTGTCAAGGGCTCCTAACAGTAATGTGCAGAAGCTGGGGGGCAGCTCTGATGGCATGACTTTGGGGACTGGGCCTCATACCCAGGCCTAGGGAGGCTCATGAGCGTTCCTTGTTAAGGGGTTAAACCAAAACACAATTATAGGAGAGCATGAAACAGCTTTTCCATAGAATCAGGCACAGAATGGGGACCTCAACAGGCAGCAACAAGAGTGCTGCTGACTCTTGTCTGGTCATCTGTTACTCTGTGGGAGAGAAGGCAGCTGGGGTGAGCTAGCACAGCAGCTGAGAGACAGGCCACCACAGTGCTGCTCCTCCAGGACTGGGGGGTGGGGTCTTAAGAGTGGGGCTAGTAGTGGTGATCGCTCTCAGTCACCAAGAAGGAAAGGATTAAGACTGTTCTCACAGCCTGATGTGGAGGATGCTCACACTCTCAGTACTACAGGGGCTAAGGCAGGAGGGACATCAGCCTGGTTTATAAAGTGAGTTCTACGGTAGCCTGGACCTTATGGTGAGACCCTGCCTTTGAAAAAAAAAAAAAATCTATGTTGTATAATGAAGTAAAGACACATTGTTACTGATATTTTCATTCATCTATCTATCTATCTATCTATCTATCTATCTATCTATCTATCTATCTATCTATCTATCTATCTATGTTTTTCGAGACAGGGTTTCTCTGTGTAGCTTTGGATCCTATCTTGGAACTCACTCTGTAGACCAGGCTTGCCTTGAACTCACAGAGATTCACCTGGCTCTGCCTCCTGAGTGCTGGGATTAAAGGTGTGTGCCACCACCGCCTGGCATTGATATATTTATAATTCTAATTTGTTTTAAGGTTGCCATAGTCACTTTAAGCATAGCATGGCTTAAATTTGCTTAGTTTAACCTAACACACTAAATTTTGCCCAAGTTTATTCTAGCAGGGTGCAAATATTATTTTATTGTTCACTTATTTATTTAGTACATGTCTGTGGGTACAGGTGCACGCAGTGCTTTGGCACACACGTGGAAATCAGAGGACAGCTTGCAGAAGTCACTTCCCTCCTACCATGCTGGTCCCGATGGTCAAACAAATGGTATTTTATAAATTAAACGAAAGCAAAGGCATGAGGACACTCTACTCTGTACGTCTGGGTTGAGCTAAGTCGAAAGGCAATGACCTCAGTTTGAAAACTTACCTTAAAGGGATACAGGAAATAACTATGCTCTGTCAGTCCTCACATCTCACTTGCATTATTTCCCCTGCTCACTCTGCTGACAGGCCCGTGGCCTCTTGGCCGCCACTCCAGCTGCCTCACCAGCTTCTTCCTTGTCACCAGCTCTGGCACCACCCACCTCCTTGAAGCTCAGCTTTGCTCTGTTCACTGGCATCCTAGTGAGGATGGCTACAGTTCTAAGTTTTCAAAGCTAACTCGATTCCAGCAGCATGATGAAGGTATACACACACACACACACACACACACACACACACACACACACACACACACACACAAACCTGACTCTGATCCTGACACCACACTTCCTTCTCTCTGACCAGCCCAGCCCGCCCTACCGTCCTGGTGAGGTGAGACTGAGTCCATGGGTTGTTATGAAGCCCCACAGCTTCCTGTACCTTCTGTATCTCGGGATGGAAGATTTCCCTGGGGCCTTTCTCAAACTTGTCCAGGTTCATGGCACTGGAACAGAGCAGACAGAGTGAGCCAGTGAGCAGGGGCTGAAGCAACAGGAGTAAGGTGCAGTTCTCTGGAGAAGACAGACAATGTTGTCTAGAAAAATCACGGGGGATTCTCTGAGAGGACTGACACACTGGAAATGCAGATCAGCAAGTGAGGGAACAAATCGGGAGTCCATGAACTTCATCAATTGCCATGGGTAACTGTCCCTTCAGGACACTCACGCAGTGAGAGCGGCAGGCATCAGGGACATCGGTGTCAGGCATCCTCGCGATTCTCCCAGATTGCTATTGACTTAATTATTGGCTGTTATCGACAACTTCGTATATGTTTATGATACTCTTTAGCCCCAGAGCTGTAGATGTCTAGTTTAAATCTTGCAGTTTACCAGCTCTGCAGGGGCTCTCCTGCTCTCTGAGGCCCTGAGTCCTCGTAGGGAACTGAGGCAGCAGGAGGACTTGGTGCAGCTGAGCTGAAGAGTCACCAAGAAAATGCTGGAAAGTATTCCGCACAGTGTCTGTGTCTGACAAAGAGCCACTGCCATTAGGATGTCATATCTTAGCTGGGGACAGAGTGACAGGCTCCATCTGAGTGGCAGCTTTCCCCAGGCCTGGGAGAGTGATGAGAGGGAGATGGGAACCAGGGGCGGGAGCCAGATGTTCCAATCTTTTCACTCGCTGTTCAGTGAATAAAGCACATCCCCCAGGGAGCCTTTGCTGACATCTGGGTTTCTATTTCAAAGTATAAAAATAAAATGAAAAAGATTTCTTGATTTTCTTTCTAAACCCAAAGTATCCAAGTGAACACAAGAAAAAAACAAAACAAAACAAAACAAAAACCCCAAAACCAAGCACAGGCAAAGAAATGCAGAGCAGGAGGCATGCTTAGGAGCCACGACTGGATGGTGCGGCCAAGAAACCCTGGCTTTCCTGCTCTGAACCTCCATTTACTCATCTGTAAAGTGGAGGCAGTGACAGTCCTGCCCTCTGAGGCTGCCTTGGAGACTCGAGGAGGGAATGCCTGGCGAGACAAAGTGCCCGGCGTGCCAATCAAGGAAAGCGAAAGCACAGGGATCCCAGGAATACGCACTCCATCCAGGCCGCCAGCTTGTGTGGGCCTCTGTCCGTGAGTACTCACCTTAAGATGGACTTCACAGACAGCGTTTTTGTGGGACTGTAGGGAAGGCATAGTTTTTGCGTGCCCTGGAAGAAGCAAAGCACCAATCAGGGAGGAGTCTGGTGCCCTTCACCTCTGAAGAGCCTCACGTGGGCTCTGCAGTGAAACCATGCCTGCTCTTTCTTACTCTGCTCCGGCTGACAGCACCCTCCCTCTCATTCACACTTCTGGTTCTGAGCAGGACTCAACACATCAGGCCTCAGTGTCTTGATATCATGGTGGACAGCTGAGCATCTGCTACAATTTGGATACAGGACCCCCAACAACCCATGTGCTGAAGGCCATGTTACCAGTCTGTGGCACTATTTAGAAGGTGCCAGAAGCTTTAAGAGCTGGACCTAGTGGGAAGTCTTAGGTCACTGGGGTGATGTGCTCCCAGATGGGGATGGAGGACCCTGGTCTCGTGGTTCCCAGCTGCCATGAGGTGAGCAGCTTCCTCTAGCTCCACGGATCCCGCTGTGAAGGGCCCCTCACCACAGGTCCCAAAGCAGTGGGCACCTGCGCTCCACAGCTGTGACTCAATACAAGCCTTCCATCTGTTCAAGTCTGTCATCATCTCAGCCTCCTGGAACCCTGAAAAACCACACGTCCAAACCAGTTCTGAGCTAAAAGTCAGATATGGTTCAAAGATTATAAGGAAGAAGAGTCTCCGTTTGTTCAATGAGACTCAAGTACCATGTCACCCGGTCAAAACCTTTTAACTAGAAATCACCCCTGTCTTCCAGCAAGGTATTAATAATGTGTGTTTACTGTGCTGACTTATTCAAAGTCATTTACTTGCTTTAAAGTGAGTACCTATTGTGACCGACTCACAGGAAGAGTGGATAAAATCCTATCTACGGAACAGGAACAGGCAGCCACCTCGGTAATCCCGTGTTCAGCACACCCAAGGCAGAGGTGCTCCTGTCCTGTCTCTCCTCTCCACTACACAGGACCAACTGGGCACGGCTAGCAGATGAGATCATCCAACAGTACCCACCGAAAGGCTTTGTAACTTTGGCAAATCACAGAACTGTCATCACAAACAACTAGAGAAGGGCTGGGGTGTTTCTGCAGGAAGTGAGCAAAGAAGTAAATACTTGGTGTGTTGTGGGGACACTTCTACCAACTTCCCTGTGCAAGATGAGAATAACGGCCCGGGGTAGAGTTCCTCTGCCTTTTCAAGCCTGTGATCTCTGTCAGTAAAAAAAACACTGGACCAATGTACAGGAGACCTGACTCTCATCTCCACCACTGGTCATGAGAGATTATTCCCACACAAGACTCTCTTTATGGGTCCTCTACTGGATTAACCTGCCTTTTTTGGTACAGAGATTGGAAACACTGTCAAACACAGGGAGGAGATGGTAGCTCACTTTCCAGACTTCCCAGGTCACACCACCAGGAGCGAGCTCTTCCTGTGGCTTTGCTGCATACTGGCCCCAGCGTACGTTCACCTATATAGGAAGCTAACCTGCTCAAGGCGGCCTCAGACCTGTGCCTCTGCTTAGCCTCCTCCTACTACCTCTGCTCATCAAACACACCAAAGGCAGCTCTAAGGTAAGCCCAGGCCAGCCTGTGGCAGGTGACAATGGCACCTTCATGAGTAACTATGTGGACAGAAGCCCCAGGGCTTGTGGGCTCTGGACTTGGGGTTTTCTTCACTATAACCTGGCAAAGTTCTCCCTTCTCATCTCCTGTTTTCAGATGTCTAGAGTTAATACTCAAATGAAACCACCCTGTGTTTTCTGGCAGAAACAGGAAATGCCCTAAGTGGAGGCCTGTGTTTGCACATATCAGGCAACCAGAGGTGAGCACTGTGCAGATTCAGAAGTACAGGCTGGATGTGTGGGTACACCTGCCAACATGCACTTGTAGGGACTCCCACAGGGTGCTACGATAATTTCTCTGAGCAGACAGACTTTGAGCCTCCTCTTTGTACCAGCTGTATTATCTGGATGGAATTTCTACAGTGCATTGGAGCGTTGGAATCGTTTCTATATAAAAATCTTCCTCATGTGTTCAGACAACACCTAGCACTAGGATGGAGTGCTTGCTTGCTTAGCACGTGCTTTACCTGGTTCCAGCCCCAGCCCCTCAAAAGCCAAGAGAGATGACCAGGAAGAACCGCTTGAGTAGTTATATGTTGCTGTTCTGCTTTTAGACAGCACGGGCTTGTGTGCAGGGGGCTGGGAGGAGCCTGGTATCTGACCTTCCCACAACCTCCAGTGCCGCCTTGCAGTTACGGGAATCTAGTAACTGGTTTTATTTTTCTCACCCTCTTCAATATTTCCATTTGTAGCTAGGAGCAAACACTTACCCTGCTGTTGGCCCACAGTTTAGCACCTACAGGAGAGGCTTTTTAGATGAAGGTTTGGACATTCTCAGCGGGATTAAGATTCCTGATGGTCAGTCCTGGGCTGCTTTCCCAATGGTCTGGGGACTTAAATTTCACATCTACACTTCTCTAACAGTGGCCCAGAGTGGCTCCACACACTACTGCTTTATTTGGCTGCTCATTCTTGTTCTTTTTGCCTGGAATATTCCCCAGCTTCCCCTTCCGGTTTGCCAGTCCCACAGCATTTCTCCTTTGGATCTCATGTGGAAGACCCTCATCTTCAGGGGTCTCAGCACCTTCATTAGCTCTGTTCCCTCCAGGGTGCTGACCACGTTACCACAGTCTGTATGTAAGACAGACAATTGCTTCAGAAGTGGAAGTAAGCCAGGTTTCCCTGCATTTGTCCCGCCTGCCCACCCTTCCTCATATCCAGCAACCATCTAAGGATGCAGGCGACTGTCAGAGGATCAAGGAAGTTCATCCCTGAAAGGCAGGAGAGGTGGGAGGAAGGAGAGGAGGAGCAGAGGAGGGAAAGTCCAATTATTTGCCCAAAAAGGACATTGAAAGCAGAAGGGCCTAGAATGTTGTAATGAGCAAATATAAAACAAAAATAAATTAATGAAACAGAAACCAGAAAATCCCCTGCCTGGTGCAGGAGATAAGGGGCTCTGGATGAAGGTCATTTGTCACCAGGGGAACAGCGGGCAGAGACTACAATGAGGGCACTTGAGAAACGGGGCACATACACACCAGGGTCTCCTAGACCATTCATGGCTCTGCCTGTCACACAGCTGTGCTGGTAGCAGGCTGATGGCCCCAGTTATGGCGGTGGCAGGGGGAGGGGACGTGTTGGTCCTTCCAGTTCTTCTGAGTCTTGGAAAGCCCCTGTCCCTGTAAACCTTGGTCCCACTAAAGTCCCTTGTTATGAACATGCATGCCTCTGTTGGAAATAAGTTCAGGAGTAACACAAAAAAGATCTTTACCCCAAATCTGCTTCAAAAAAGACAAACTTCTGAAAATACTGTAGATGTTTACTTAAACAGAAGCAGTGGTGTCCAGAGCCGTTGAGCCGGCTCGGTGCCATCTGCTTACTCATACTTCTGGAGCTGTGCCTATGTGTCAGGCATTCTGCTACGTGGTGTGGGGACACCGAGGGAAGACACTATGAGTCAAAGACTTCCACAGAGAATTAATTATGGACAGTAGTGACACCTTGGTCACTGAGCCCTGGGGTACATTTGGCCCGTCATATAGTGGGAGGGACTTTGGCCACGCCATTTAACTTCTGTAATTGCAATAGCAGGTATTAAGATTTGGGTAGTTAAGAAATGATTTAAAGCCGGGCGGTGGTGGCGCACGCCTTTAATCCCAGCACTCGGGAGGCAGAGGCAGGCGGATCTCTGTGAGTTCGAGGCCAGCCTGGTCTCCAAAGCGAGTTCCAGGAAAGGCACAAAGCTACACAGAGAAACCCTGTCTCGAAAAACCAAAAAAAAAAAAAAAAAAAAAAAGAAAAGAAATGATTTAGTACAGTGGTTCTTAACCTGTGGGTCACGAGCCCTTCTAGGGTCTAATGACCCTTTCACAGGGGTCACCTAAGACCACAGGGGTTGGAAAACACAGATAGTTACAGTAGTAAAATTACGGTTATGAAGTAGCAACAAATAATTTTATGGTTGGAGGGTCACCAAAACATGAGGAGCTATATTAAAGGGTCGCAGCATTAGGAAGGGTGAGAACTACTGATCTATCATATAGTAAATGCACAATAAATGTTAGGTTTTATTCTTTACTATTTTAGCTTACTATTTTAGAAGTACCTAATCATAGTTTGTTGAATAGTAGTGGTTCCTAGAAACTTTTTCTTTGTGAGATAGAGTCTCATATCCCAAAATGACCTCAAGCTTATTATGTAAGTGAGGATGGCTTTTAACTCCTGGTTCTCCTGCCTCTGATTCCCAAGTGCTGGGATTACAGGCATGTGCAACTGAACACAGGATTTCATGCATGCTGGGCATGCAGCCTATCAACAAAGCCTTATCCTCAGTCCTTCCTTCTAGGTCATTTAAAGTTACTCTATTGCTATACATGTATGTGTGCATGTAGGTGTGTGAGTGAATGTGTGTGTGTGTGTGTGTATGCTTTTACCAGGGTATCATATTGTCTGTGTACAAACGCTCCTAGAAAATAATAGGAAAAAAGAAAACAATGAGAAAAATTTATGAAAAATGAAAAAATCAAATATAAGAATTTCCATAAGACAAATTTATGAATCAGAGTAGCAAGTAGACATAATGAAAACATAAGGAAATTATGAAACCTAAAACAATACAGCTGGATGGATGCGGGTGCTGGCTGAGCAAGTCGGAGAGAGGGCGACATTGTAGGGGCTGTAGCCAGATAATACTCATCTGTTCTCCAATCTAACTAAAAGATGGGCTAGTTCATAGCTTTAACTGTCAAAAACAGCTCTGGTCAGGGCCGGGAGAGATGGCTCAGTAGGTCAGAGCAGTAACTGTTCTTTCAGAGGACCCAGGTTTGGTTTCCAGCACCCACATGGTGGCTTATAATCATCCATAACTGCAATTCCAGGGAATCTGGTGCCCTCTTCTGACCTCCCTGGGCATCAGGCACACACTCGGTACACAGACGTACATGAAGACAAACACTTATACACATAAAATTATAAGAAATGTAATTTAAAAAATAGCTAGGGTTAGCTGGGTGTGGTGGTGTACTCCTATAAGCTCAGTACTCAGGTGGCTGAGACAGGAGGATTGTGAAGTTTGAGGCTACCTTGGTCTACATAGCAAGTTCATGAATACAAAGTGAGATCCTATCTCAACAAGCAAAACAATAGATAAAAATGAACAAAACTAGGGCTGGGGATGTGACTCAGTTGGCAGAGTGCTTGCCCAGCACGCATGAAGCCCTGGGTTCGATCCCCACATCATCATAAATGGCAGAGTGCTTGCCCAGCATGCATGCAGCCCTGGGTTTGAACCCTACAACATCATAAATGGGCATGGTGGTGCATAATCCCATCACTTAGGAGTTAGAGACAGGAGGACCAGAAATTCAAGGTCATCCTCAACTACAATGTGAGTTTGAAGATAACCTGGGCTGTATGAGACTGTCTCAAAAACAAACAACCTTTCATATCCTCCTCTCCAGCCCCCCAACAAAAATGAACATACCATACCATTAAAAATCCCAAAAAGTAATAGACAAGATTAGCGAACTAATGTACTCTATAAAACCTACTGCTGTTCCCCAGAGATCAAGACTTAGGAAGTAGCTGTGTCTGACTGTGGCTTAGAGATGAGGAGAAGCGCTGTTAATGTCAGGCTTGGTGGCCCCAGCTCAGAACGACAACGACGACATCCTGAATGATTACAAGGAGAGGAGGCACCTGACAATGGGCTGACGGGACTCTGAGATGGCAATGGGCTCAAGGCCCTCCCGCACGTGTGCTGACCAGGGGACTCCTGAGTACAGGGCGAGGCAGCTACTCACTGTTTTCCGCCACAGAATTGCACGGTACTGAGGGACACGCTGGTTGTTCTGGTCAGAAAGGGTCACAGACAAGAAGAAGGGGCTCTTCTCCGCATCGTTTCCAATGTAGTTCTGATGGACTGCAGAAGAGACGGTCGGTGAGGACCCAGCGGCTTCCTTCAGTCAGCAGTGGCCAGTGTTCACACACACAGCAGTCCTAAGACCGGCGTGGGGGGGTGGGCTGACCACTGACTCTGCACCCACCTCCCTTTGCCAGCAACTGGTTCAGAAACTAAGTATTCAGTGTGGACTGAGACAGGATGAGAAATCTGCCAAGAGCCTTCTGGAAAGGCTTCTCACTCTAGAGATGCCCCCCTTCCTCTGGCTACCATGGTGTTGAGGATGTCTGGAGTCACTGAAGACTTGTGTGGGCAAAGCCATCACACTAAGGGCAGGGAAGCAGAACAAGCAAAAGGGCCTAGGCCTCTAATATCACCGAACTGCCGACACCACCAACCACAGGGCCTTCCCTGGCTCACCTACAACTTGCTACCTAGACTATGCCAAACTTTATTGTTCATTTCCTTCTTGTTTAAACCAGTTTGAGGTAGGTTTTGCATTACCTCTTTGGATGCTGCTGGCATTCAAATTCACAGAGACCTTTTTGCTATAAAGCCAATGCTGTGGGCACTCTGTGCACAGCCAGGGGGAAGATGAATGGTACATTTCTTTCTTTGTAAATGCTTCTATATTCCCCACCCACCCAAGCAAAGCTTGCCTGGCCAGACCTGAACTTTAACTTTTTAGAATAATACTGCAACAGTTTTTCTTTTCCTTTTGTGTGCAGCACATTGTTATGTATGTGTTGCACACACATGGCGTATGGTGTGCATGCCTGTGTGTGCACTGAGGAAGCCAAGGGAAGATATGTCTTCCTCTTTGCTCTCAGCTTCACTGCCTTCAGACAGGCTCTCTCGCTTAACTGGATAGTCTCCATTTTGGCCAGGCTACTGGCCAGCGAGCTCCCAGGATCCACCTGTCTTTGTCTCTCCAGTGCTGGGCTGAAGGAATGCTCAGCCATGCCCATGTATTTTACATGGCTGGGGATTTGAACTCAGGTCCTCATGTTGCAGAGTAATCGTTCTCACCCTCTGAGCCCTGTAACAGGTTTTTAAAAAGACACTGTGCTCATTTCCTGGCTTGAGAATCATGTTCTACAATGGATGTTTCATTGAGTTTCTCTGCCATTTTTATTTTTCCTCTATTCCCAGCCCCCTCTCTCATCAGTAACACACCTGCTTCCTGTCCTTCCACGTGCTCTCTCTAAACCTATGAGCACCTGAGCTCTTGGCATGTGTCAGGCCCCACGTTCTCTGTTGTTTTTGCACATCTCACTGGAAGCTTCGCTCGCCCCTCTAGGAAGGACTAGAAATAGCTCCACTACACAGACAGAGAAGCCACGTCCAAGTCCTCAGGCTAATGAGAGCAGAACCATGCTCCGAACCCATTCTATAGGCTCCATGAGGTCAGGGGGCGAGCCTCATTTTGTACTGTACCCCACTATGTACACTGCCCACCAGACAGCAGGTGGAGCTTAAATATGTGTCACTGGTGAGTGAATGTGGCAAGTCCACAGTCTTTCTTGTTTGGTTTTTCAAGACAGGGTTTCTCTGTATAGCTTTGGAGCCTGTCCTGGAACTCGCTCTGTAGACCAGGCTGGCCTCGAACTCACAGAGATCCGCCTGCCTCTGTCTCCCGAGTGCTGGGATTAAAGGTGTGCCACACCATCCGGCCTGAGCCTGCAGTCTTATGGTCAAAGTTTGCTCAGGAAACCATTGCTCTCCTTCATGGTCACGAACTGCTGAAAACTCATGCAGATGTGTACTGACCTTGCTAAGTTAAAGCCTTTTGTCCATCCTGAGAGTTCTTATCTCTCAAAGATGAGATGAGCTAATTCCTCATTTACCAGGGGGTTAAAATAACAACAAGATGGGGCAGGGGCACACACAGAGGCAGGCAGATCTGAGTTTGAGGCCAGCCTGGTCTACAGAGCGAGTTCCAGGATGGCTAGGGATACACAGCGAAACCCTGTAAAAACAAAACAAAACAAAACAAAAAACCTCAACCCCCTCCCTGCAAAAATCCCAAGCCAAAGAAACAAATAAAACCCCCACAACAACAAAACCCAGCCCCACACCATTCCTTCCAAGCAGAGCTTACTCTGAGTTGTAGCTCTTAGCCTACAGGGCTCACCACTGACCTCAATGTGGACTGTCTGACACCGTTGTCCCTCAATTATTTCAGTCCACTCATACAGGGAGTCTGAGATCACACAGTTTTGAGCGGCATTTCTCCCCCAGTCACCACGAAGGCATAATTACCTTGTCCTAAGAAATACTTGAAATACCACCGGGTGTGGTACTCTGGGTTTTCTAAGTGCACGTCTGTTCTTCGCCAAGTACCTGGCAGAGCAGCTGCGTTCTGTAACGGAACAAAGCTGTGTTGTTAAAAGGTGTATTTAGAAAACGAACATGAAGCTAGCAAGAAACCAGAAGCCAAAGAACCAGGAAGAAAAAGTCGCCATTAAAAGCATACACGTAAGAGCTGGAACCACATGTTCTCACTAGTGGTGACAGTCGGTGTAAAGTCACATCACAGAAACATCTAGCAGGCTGCAGGCTGCAGGAATAAGTAGACCCAGTTCTAACAGGCATGTAAAGTCTTTCCTCTGGTCTGTGGCATCCCGATAAATGGAACTGATGTCCCCTAGGGCACCAATTCTTACCTCCCAGCACATTTCATCCAGAGGACACTTCTTAAGCATCTTACTCGAGGTCATTTGCTTTGTAGAATTTTTAAATGCATCTTAACAATTGCCCAGTTGGGGTGGAAAATATGGACAAACCTAACGAGTAATCCTATTAACTGACAGTCATTATTACTATTTTGTATATATGATGATTCATCTTGGTTGCCAACTTGACTGATCTGGAAATAACTAAAGTAAGCTACTGGGCACATCTGTAAGAGTTTCTTGATTAGGTTATTTGGGGTGGGAAGACCTACCCTAAATGTGGGGGCATCTTCTGGTGGAGGCCTGAAGAAAGGAGGTCTGAGGGAAGAGGCTGTTTTGTAAACACCCCTGCTGCTGCTGCCACTGCTGCTGTTATTCTTTGCTGATATCAGAATCCTGAAGACCAGCGATCTCCAGGAATCTTCTAGGCTTTCAGCACCAGACTGGGATTGCTGAGACATCCATCCTCGTGGACCAGGCAGCTACTGGGTTCTCAGTCTTTCCAGTGTGAAGACAGACTTCACTGGACTACTCAGATCACATCTCGTAAGCCAATTTAACAGATCTCCTTTTACTTTTTATTTTATTTATTTTTTTGGAGCTGAGGATCGAACCCAGGCCGTGCGCTTGCTAGGCAAGCGCTCTACCACTGAGCTAAATCCCCAACCCCAGATCTCCTTTTAAAAGATGTCCACTCCATCACGTCTGTTGCTTTAGACTCCAACTCACACAGCCTCCCCCAATCCCATCCACACTCACAGGAGCATACCAGTCACGCAGTTTGGAAGACTGCAGATGCTCACGGTGGTCAGAAGAGGCCACCAGACCCCCTGGAGCTGGGATTAGAAGTGAGCTGCCATGTGGGCACTAGGAACTAAACCTGGGTCCTTGCAGGGGCAGTAAGTGCTCTGAAATCTCCGAGCCATCTCTCCGCCCCTCTTTTCCTATCTTTATGAGACATTAAATACCCTTACAGGGAACATCCTGATGGCCAGGCTGAGACTGTGTTAAAGCCATTGGAATGCAGCTTCAAGGACATAACATTTGCCATGGTAGGAAACAGACTATACAGAGCATGCGTTGTGACTCTGACACGCCTTGGAAATTTTCTACATGGTTCTGATCAGTTCTTTATCATGTTGAAGAAGTTTTCTTCAATTCTGAATTTACAAAGAGGCTTTCAAAAATTTTTCTTTGCTAGATCTTTGTAGAAGAGATTAAATGGAGGAAAATGTTACATTGTAACAGATCTGATGCTGAACAGTTCTTGGATTTCTGGAGGTCCCTACCAGGTCATGGTATACTCTCTGAACAGACCATTGGACTTTTAAAAAGATGGGTGTGCCACGGTTGTTCCTCAGGGCATCTGCTGGCTTCTTCTCTGATGACGTTACTATCTACTTAACTTTTTGTGACCTGGTCTCTTTGGACCTGAAGTTCACTAGTTGGCTAGCTTTCCAGACAGTAAGTTCCAGGGATCCGTCTGTCTCCAACCTCCACGCCAGTGCTGGGATCACAGGTGCCTGTTGCCACGCCTGGCTTTTTACATGGGTGCTGGGGATCTGCGCTCAGGTCCTCCTGTTTATACAGCAAGTACTCCACCAACGGAGCCGTGACCCAGCACAGCCACTCCCCTGTGCCACTGAAGACTCAGATGTACAAGAAAAAGCTCTTTATCCCTAAACACTTCAGCGTCTACTGCTCAGGAAAGAGGTCTTTTCATACGTTAACTAGAATACAGCCTTTTTCCTGGTGCTGGGGATTGAACCTTGATCCTTCTGTATGCTAGGCAGGCACTCAATCATTGAGCTACACCATCAGATCAGCAATTCAGCTTTATCAACTTTGTAAATTTAGCATCTATACAATGTATTATCATCTGTATTCCGAATTTGTCACCATACTCAATGCTGACGAAAGCTTCCCACCCTGCTTCAGCACATGATCATTTTGTCACTGTGTCTCATTTAGACTCCCTTCAGAACGTTTTCAGAATTTTGTCTTTTGTGACAGTGGCATTTTGAAGCACGTAGTGTCCTCCCTTCCTTGCTTTTTCAGTAAAGGACTCTCTATCTTGTGGCTGTCTGATGTATCTCCACAAACAGATCCAGGGTCTGCAAACCCAGCCAGAACACTATGTATGTAAAGCTGTCCTCAGCTCATCAAGACAAACTAAGGTAACTAAGCTGCCCATGTGCTCCTTGTTGGAAAGGTTAACTGTGATCACCCCAAGGTGTTTCCTCTTTGTTTCGGCCTTTTGGGGTGACTCAGGAGTGGTGAATTGGCTTCTGCTCTTTGGAGGATTTCTGCATGATTCATTAGCTACAGTCACTTGTCTTTAACCATGAATCCCTGGCAGTACTCCTGCTCTGCAAATCTTTCCATTATGCAACCAGGTCCATACAGCTAAGGCATGACACTGGCCAGCCTCAGGTCTTAACCCACCCAACAAAGGGGCACCCAGGCCAGGATGCAGCCTGAGCCACTCAGACTCCACAGAGGTTGGTGTCCTGGTCTCAAGGTCCTAGACCCTAGAAAGCTTCTAGAGAGCTTTGAGGGAACTGTGATCCCAGCAGTCAGGCTTCTGGAGTTTCTAAGATCCAGGTGGAGAAACCAGAGAGGTTTCTTTCAAGCAGAGCCTTGGCTTAGTGCGTCTCAGTGCGCTGAAATGTGTACTTCTGGCTCTGCTACCAAGCTGCTTCCCCAGAACTCTCTAGGTGGAGCCTGAATCTTTTTCCATTTTTCTTATCTTTCCTTTCTCCTTTCTTCCTCTCCTCCTCTTTCTTTCTCCCCTCCTCCATCCTTCCCTCTCTCCCTGAAGTACTGAGGACCAAAGCCAGGTCCTCCTTTATATGAACACGCATGCAGGTGATTCTGCTAACAGTGAACTTTGAGAAGCAATGGTCTCTACCAGGGATTCAACATTACAGAACTTATGAAACCTGCTGCTGGACTGGCTCTCTAATGTATTAAAAATCCTATGGATCACGGCATTATAAATTATGTTTAAAATGTTTTCCCTTATCACAGTCTGCGTTTTATGCATTTAAAAACAAAACTCTGAGAGGGGTCTATAAGCTTGACTGCCAGAACCTTGGAAGCTCCTGCCTTGGTCCACACATGTCCCTTACCCCAGGGCTGAGCATGGCAACTGCAGAACAGAAGAATCCAGGGAGAGGCAGCCAGAAGTCGAGAGCGAAAAAAGACTGAGGGCAATGACATGCTGTGTAGCTCTACTGTGAGCCAAGTGTTAATGATGAGGTCTTTTTTAAGGACTGAGAAACCATTTCACTTGTGTCTTCACTGAATACTTAACTGAAATGGAGGGGCGAACCCCAATACCCAAAAGTTGTGAGTCTTGCAGAACCAGACACCTCTGTCCCCTGTTAAAGGCACACAATGGGGAGAGACAAGAGTACATGTGGGGATTGATGAAAGAAACGGAGAACCAAGTAAAACCCTCTGCCCAGGACCCCAGAAAATGAGCTCTGCATTCTGTGTGTGTAGCCCTGGCAGAGAGCAAGGGTACAGAGGAGGGCAAAGTCAAATGGTTCTCTACATGTCCAACCTTGTAACTGTGACCTAGATAGAGATACAGTATTTTCAGACAGCCCCACCATTCATTCCCCAACCATGATCCAGTCACAGCTGCCTCCCTGACTTTCCTCACCGTGGGTTGGCTTCACCTGCTGCTGGCCTCCACAGGAATGAAACCCTACGTGTGTATTCACTCCAGCCAGGCTTTTCATCCTTCAGTCCTGCGTCTGTGACATTCATCTTTTTGCTGGTGCAATGATTCTTTTTTCCATCACTATATAGCCCACAGGACAAATGCCACGCCTGATGTATCCACTCTATTCACTCTCCTGTTGTTGGATGTCAGACTGTGTGCAACTGAAGCCGCTGTGAACAGGACTCTGTCCTCGGTGGATACACACACTCTTATGCATTCGGTTTTAGTGGGGACAGACAGACAGATTTCCAGGGAAGACGCATCACCCTATGCTCCTGCTGGCACTGTTCTCACTGTTCCAGGCCTCTGGCCAAGGTCCAGGCATCTCAGGCCTTTTCTGTTCAGATGTTCTGAGGTGCTGTGGTGGTGCCTAACTGCGGTCTTAGTTTTCAGCAAGTCCTATTTTTAAGTATGACCTGTTTTATTAGAGGATTTCAGAGACAGACAAATAACAGCGGTTTCAGGTGGGAATGAAAGAGAAACACATGATTTGGCATCAAAAAGAAAGCTAAGAGATGATGAGATGGCCCAGTAAAGGTGCCTGCTGCCAAGGCTGATGATCTGAGTTTGATCCCCAGGACCCACATGGTGGAAGGAGCTATCAGTTGTCTTGTGTGGTGGCATGCCCTTCCCCTCCATAAATGTGATTAAAAACAAAGTGAAGAGGAAATGTCCAAACAAGTCCATTTCCCAGACAACTGATGTTCAATGTTGCAACTACCACACTCACTCTATGCCCTCTGGGGTATGCGTTTGCTTCAAAGACCTGCTGTGGGATTGTGGACTTAAATGTTCTATGCTGTATGCGTGCCCACAGAAGCCCATGCTGGCTAGTGAGTTCTGACGCCGAGAAAGCCTCATTATTTCTGCACCAACTGCAAAGCCACAGAAGCTTCTTTTTGCCTCACTCCTCCCCCCTCCCATCGGGACTTGTGGGAAATGAATGGGGGGGGGCACTGAATCTGACCTGAATATTTTGAGAAGAATTCAATCAAAAGCCATATAAAACACCTGATTTGCTTGAGTGTCCCCAAATATTTGGCTTCTGGCAGGAAATCCACACATACATTCAGGCTACAAAGGACCCCTAGTTTTATATATGCCCGTGATTCCTCAGAGTCTTTCCATAGTGGGGTGGACGGAGGACTGAATACATTATCTAGCTTCACCTCACAGGTTAGATTGTTGAGATAACACCAGGACAAGGCAGGCTGGACTTCTTTTCTTTTAAAGACTCTCTATTTTTAAATTACTGTGGTGGTTGACTGAATGGGTAATGTCTCCCCCAGGCTCAGGTATCTGAACACTTGGTTCTCAGTTCTTGGCATTGTTTGGGAGGTTTAGATGGTGCAGCCTTGATGGAGGAAGCCTGTCTCTGGGGGCAAGCTTTGGGACTATATAACCTGGTCCCACTTGCAGTTCCCTCTCTGTTTGGTGCCTGCATTAGAGGACGTGAGTTCTCAGCTTCTGCCTGTTGCTTGCTGCCATGCATCCCTGCCCTGATGTACACTTACCCTCAGGAACCATAACCAGAATCAACTTTCCGCTCTCACTGTTAGGAGTCCACAAGAAGACCACGTTACACAATCATAACACATATGCAGAGGGCCTAGGTCAGTCCCATGCAGGCTCCCTGGTGTTGGTTCAGTCTCTGTGAGCCTCTATGAGCCCAGTTGAGTTGGTTCTGTGGATTGTTTTGTGGTGCCCTTGGCCCTCCTGGCTCCTACAACCCTTCCTCCCCCACTTCCATAGGATTCTCTGAGCTCCCCTACTGTGTGGCTGCAGAAGCCTAGGGTTTTTTTTAAAGATTATTTTTTTATTATTTTCAATTATGTGTAGGTGTGTGGGGATGTGCATTTGAGTCAGGTGACTGAAGAGGCCACAGATGATGGGTCCCCTGGAGCTGGAGTTAGATGGTTGTGAGCTGTCTGGTGTGGGTACTAGAAACCAAACTTGGTCCCCTGCAAGGGCAGCAAGCACTCTTCACTGCCACGCATTGCTTCAGCCCCCAGAAACAGATGGTTTTAAATTCTTATTTGTCCTTTTGGAAATGTTCTTGCCTATTGAAAACATCTTTCCCATCTTCCTGGAACTGGCTTTTATGTCCAGTACTTAACATTTCTTCTGTGATAGTATATACTTCCACTTTGTGGTGTGTGTGTGTGTGTGTGTGTGTGTGTGTGTGTGTGTGTGTGTGTGTGTGTATGTGTACGTGCTGCATGTGAGTATGCAGGTGTGTGCTCTTGTGTGCACACATGTAGAAGCAAGATTGAGACATCCAGTGCCTACCTCCATTGCTCTCTTCCTTATTTCCTTTGAGACAGGGCCTCTCACTGAACCAAAAGTACCTGTTTTCAGGTAGGTTGGCTGACCAGTGAGCTCTCAGGGTCTTACCCATCTCTATCCTCTAACACTGGGACTACAGGCACATGCAGCCATGGCTTTGTACTCGGGTGTTTGGACTTAGAACTTGGGTCCTCATGCTTGCAGAGAAAATGCTCTTATCCACTGAGCAGGTCTCAAGTCCAACTTCGTTCTGTCTAATAGCTCCAAGTGAGCATTCCAGTGTGCAGCTGGGCTGTAAATCACAGTCAGTCTCTAGTGATAGAAATTCAGGTTGCCCTAGGCCCTCCCCTATTTTAGATATTGCTATAAGACCCCCAGAAGAATTGCTAGGCAAATGACACACACTTTAACTGCTCTCCCCATGCCCTCAAACAGTAGACAGCCCTTCCCATGCTGACACAGGTAGATGTGTACAAAGCTAGCAGACTGTCCTCTCTGTTCTGCCATCAACTAATTGATGTACCAGGAGGCAGCGAGGGCAGGAGAGAGCACCCCAGTGGTCTACTCGGGGGCAACGCTCATTTTAATTACCACTTGGAATGAGCACACAGATGGCATGACCAGCATCTTGAGGAGACATAGAGCCGCTCAGTGGGTGAGCTAATAGGACAGGTGACAGAATCAAGATGTCACAAAACTCCTGACAATTAGCAACTGTGGGACGTGTTAATGAGCTGACACTCAATGTGGACTATGCAAAATCCTGTGCTTAAGTACAAAACACAAATTGCTCATGGGAAGACCAGGTGCTGCAGAGCAGGACCCATCTCTCTCCTTATTCAGCAGAAAACTGATCCAGAGGCATTGAGTCATAAATTAGTGCAGGACTGAGATTTAAATCCAGGTCTGTTTGAGCCTAAAGCCATCCCCACTACACCCTGATGCTGGCCCACATCTAAGCAACAGTCTCATGAGCTAGACTGCCAGACTGAGGCAACTCACAGTCCTCAGAGCATCTCCAGTAAGGAACAGGCCAGGCCAGCTTCTACTATGGCTCTGTGGAGCATACCCAGTGTCCTGCATTAATCTGTGAGGACTTCAATTTAAAAGGCTCAGGGTCATGAGGACAGCTTAGTGCTACAGCACTTTCCCAGGATATATGAGGCCTGGGGCTTGTTCTCAGCACTGCAAATAAACTATGAAAATAAAATGTCTCCAGTTGGCTATGTTAATCACCTTGACTTGATAATTCCATAAGATATACATGTATTGAAAGTTACACTGTGGGACTGGGGACATAGCTCAGGCAGAGTGCTTGATTAGTAACCATGAAACGCTGAGTTTGATGCCCAGCACTGTATAAACTGGTGTGGTGGTGCATGCACACCTGTAATCCCAGTGCTCCGAGGAGATGGAGGCAGGGGGTCCAAAGGTTCAAGGCCATCCTTAGAGAAACAGAGACTCATTAAAGAGGCTGCAGCTCTCCCTTTGGTCTGCTGTGGGCAGAACAGCCTCACATGTCTATCTGACTTTATGACGAGCTTTTAAAGAATATTTGGAATTACCAGCACCTTCTCTGCCCCCACGATGGTATTTCCCTCATGTCTTCTTGTGTAAAGCTCTGAAAAGCTCTTACTTGTCCCTTCTAGGGCTCAGCTGTCCACTGCTACAGCTGAGAGCTTGGTGACAGTGCAGACCCTGGGGTGTCCCTACCTCGTCCGTAGAGCCGTTTTCCACTCGGAATCTTCCTGCTCTTTGGATGGCTCCATCAGCATCACTAGAGATAAGCTGGGGGGAAAATGTTCAGTTAGCTAGCTGGGCCTCCATTTGCGAAGCTCCCGAGACTCCCCCCACAGAAGCAGCCCCATCTACTGACACCCGTTGGTGGACCCAGCCTAGAAGCAAAGAGTCTACTGTGAGCCCCAGGCCTTTCGAGTCCAAGAGCAAGTCCCACCTAGAGGGAACCTTTTCACAAACTGAAAACCATTAAAGGCACGATCCATGGGAAAACAGTCTTAATCCCTATTACATGTGGATAAGCAGCAGCTCGCAGATGGCAGGCTCAGCCACCTTCCAGGAAAGCCCAGAGAACAATTAGTGGCTGGCCTGAACTCAAGCTATAACCATCAGAGAATGCTCTTGTGCTTCATTCCGTTTTAAACAGTCTCTGGCAGGCCAATGCGGCCCTCCAGTCGATGGCCTTAGGGAGTCGTGGCTAGAAAGTGGTGAGCAGAAAGGAGCTTGAGCTTGGCCCCACAGTCCGTAAGCCAGTCTCAAGATGTCTGCCTTCCAGCCTTCTCAGAAGCAACACGGGAAGGGTGCATGCAAGATTTTCAAGTTTTAAAATCTACCAGCAGCTCACAGCAAAGGTCTGCAATAATGTCCACACTTCAAATGTCTCGGAACACACTTGCCTGGGGGGTAGGGTGTGGGCAGGGTGCTTCTCACTTCTAACTCAGGCACTCCCAAACCAGAGTACAACCTCTTCAGACTGCTGCCTCCTGCCTCATACTTACACTTGTGCTTAAGAGACACGGAGGTGTGAAATAAGGAACACACTTTCAGAACCACCCCACACAAGCAAATTTTGCCATATTAAAGGATCTGAAAAAAAAAAAGGTTTGGAATATTTTTCTCATATGAAGACAGAAGGTAGGAGGATCTGAGTTCAAGGCCAGCCTGGTCTACATAGAGTTCCAAGTTAGCCAGGGATACACAATGAGATTCTGTTTCAAAAATCCGGGAGGTGGGGGTCCTGGAGAGATGGCTCAGCAGTTATGAGCACTTGTTGCTCTTGCAGGGGACCTGGGTTCAATTCCTAGCACCCACATGGTAGCTCACAACTGTCTGTAATTCTAGTTACGGGGGATCTGGCACCTTCCTCTGACCTCCACAGATACATGGTGGCTCACAAAGGCCTGTAACTCCAGTTCTAGGGGATCAGCCCTCCTCTAGCTTCTGAGGGCACCACGTATGCATATGGTGCACATACAAACATATAGGCAAAACATTCACATACATAAAATAAATTAATACAAACACCCAAAATATACAATTGTATCCAGTTTTTATTTATTATGCACTCCTATATACCATATATTCTTCTGCCCCTAGCACATACTATCTCATTTACTGTAGGTAACAACAACACAGAATACGTCCTGGTATTGATCTCAGTTTTAATGAGGAAAAGGCTAAAAATCACAGCTAAGGTTACATAACTAATTGACAGAAGCAGAGCTGGGACGTGACAATGGCAGCTGGGACTCAGAAGCTTGGAGCTATCCTCATCTAAGCATTGCCTCACCTAGAAGGCCCAAAACAAGCCTGCAAAGTAACCTCCGGACACAGATGGAAGTCATCTATGTCTACAGCTGGCTACTGGCAGTGTATAATGCCATACTACCATAAGGCAGAGAGTGAGTAGTGGAATTCACTTTGTCCAAACAGAGGTCTAGCCAGGCATGGTGGCACACACCTGTAACCCCTGCACTCAGGAGGCTGAGGCAGAAGACTGTTGAGTTCAAGACCATCCTTAGCAAGACCCTTTTTCACAGACAATAAAACAGAACAAGAAAAAACAAAACCCAAAACTAAACAGGACTGGCTTTGCCCCTGGCACTTGGGAGTGACTTCTTAGCCTAGTAATGTCCTATGTGAGTGTCTCTTTTCTTAAGGGCTTCAAGCCATACTGGCAAGTAATACTGTAGTTGATACTATAGGTCATGCATGTTAGCTTTCCCTCTGGAGGAACTGAAGGCTAAGGTCATCCATGTGACCGAATCCCACTAGAAAGCCAGCCAGCACTCTGGCAGTACTCCATACAGTATGGCTGGGCCAAGTTAGGATCCCATTAGAGAGGACATTTGGAAGCTCTATGCTGGGCCTCACTTGGATTCTGCTTGTGCTGAGTTGAGTCTGTGTCCTTTGGCTGTCACAAAACTAAGTGGGCTAACAGCTGTCAATGAGTTCAATGAGTCTTCTATCCAATTATAAAAGTGGGAGGAGGGGTGCACTTACAGCACGAACTCTGCAGATGGTGTCGGAAGGAAAGGTGAGCTTGTGGGCTGACTGTCCCCAGGCCAGTTCTCAACTGCAAGTGAAAGGGCCTGAGAGATGGCTCAGTGGGGAGGCTTTTACTGAGATCAACTCCCAGAATCCACATAAAGGTAGGAAGAGAAAAGGGATTCTACAGACTTGTTGTCTGGACTCCTGTCCACATGGGTACCAGGGCATGTGTTCCCCCACACAAATACACAAAACGATAATGAAGTACAAGTGAGAGGTAAGGATGGGTCTCTAGGGACTCTGCCGTTCTCACGGGGAAGCAGCGGTGTCAACAGACAGTGGACACCCACGCATTGTTACAGGGAATGCAGAGAGAACTTGAGTAGGGTGGTGCTGGTGCAGGCTGCTGAAGGGGCTTGGCAGGAAGTGTCTGAGGGTCACATCAGGACCGGGCAGGAGCGGAGCACCAAAGTCGGTTCACAGTGTCTCCCCCAGACAGAGGAAGGGCCACTCGCTCTCACTTTTTACCCCTGAAATGTAAGGTGGTGAAGTCCTGGCCATAGCAGCCTCATAGAGGACTTGGGAGAAGAGCTGATGCTCATGATCCACCTGTGTATCCCCAGAACGAACACAGATTATTTCCCACCACATCCCCAACATGGCCAGGCACAGGCACCTGTGTCCTTTCCCTTTGCTGAGACTAGAACAAGAGGCACATCACTTGTCTCAGTCAAGAAGGAAAGAAGAACACTCTTCATGATTTAATAGTTGGAAAAGAGTTCGTGCCCTCTGAACCCAGGGTCATGAAATCCAGGAAGAGATGTAACTCAGATCTGATACTAAGATTCTCTCCCCTCTACCTTTTTCCCATCACCATCTTCATCCAAAAGTGCCATCATCTCTCACATGGATGCTCGTGGCTGCCTCCTAACTAATCTGGCCATCACATACCACTGCTCCTTCCAACCCCATCTTCATGCAGTGGCAGGCAGATGTGGTAAATCCCCGATGTCTCTGGCCCACAGACCCACCTCTCTGCAGTCTCTTCTCTGCCCTCATTTATAAGCTATTGCTTTCTACCTAGATGTCCCAGCTCCTCCTTCTGATCCACCCAAGTTCCTATAGCTTCAAGGACCTCCTGCGTGGGCAAAGGGCCACTTGGCAAAGTTGTGTTTTATATTCTTTCCTGTGATTACTTGAGTTCATTGGGTCTCTCTTGGGGCACACCCTTTGTTCCTTAATAACCTCTATGAGGACAGCATCTACATTCATCTCCTGTCACAAGTGCACCTGCAGAGCTAAGTCCACTGTGTGATGTAGAATAGGTATTTATTGGGCATTTATAAACAATTGATGGATACTGAGATTCTATGGAAAATGGTGGAAAGACTATGGAAATGGGGCTATTCCTTGGAAGGCATGGTAGGATCATTACTCATGGTAGAAATGTCTAAGACAGTCTACTGGTCTATCACATGGGAAAGACCAAGGAGAAGGAGTGGCCAGGCAGCCTGAATCAACAAGTGCAAGGTGAAGTCAGCCTAAGGAGTCACTTAATAGGATTGTGTAGACTTAAACAAGCACCACTGAGCATGGGCTAGAGGGAATTCTCAGACAGAGTGAAGTGGAGCAGTGGCTGGAAGGAGGTCTTGCTAGCGACATGCAGGCTGATGTACAGGGTGAGTCCCATCCTGTCCCCATTCCACAGCCGGTAGGACCTAAGAAGACTGTCACACCAGATGATGAAAAGCAGAGAGCCTCACCTAACAAAGGGACAAAACAAAACAACAACAAATTACAGAAGGAAGTCTTTCACCACGGCAGAGAAGCTGTTTTCCAGGTAGCCCTCCGTATCTCAATCACTCCTCACAAACCTCTGATTTGGCCTCTCAAAAACACAGAAAATCTGGCACAGAAAATCAACACTAACCATTTTGTTAAAAGATTGTACTCAGGCTGGATGGTGGTGGTGCATGCCTTTAATCCCAGCACTCTCTGTGAGTTTGAGGCCAGCCTGGTCTACAAAGTGAGTTATACGACATCCAGGGCTACACAGAGAAACCCTGTCTCAAAAAACCAAAATAAAAACAAACAAACGAACAAAAGACTCTCCTCAGGAATGACTTAGTATCCCCCAGAAACCATCAGAATGCCCACAGCACAACCCAGAAGTCTTCTCTTCCAACCCATCCCTGAGGCACAGAGGTCTATGTGCTAACAAGGTCCACTCATGATGCCATCTTCCATGGAGTCACAGTCATATCTGGACACAAGGTGGACATTTCCCATGAGGCAGCTGATCACCTGACTTGATTCTCTCCATCTGCAGGCAGGTCAAAGTCCTGGGTGGCAGGGACAGAGCCGCCTTCAAGAGGGGTATGCCTCTCCCATGGGTCCTTTCCTTGCCATTAGCACTAACCCCAGATACCAGAGACCACAAAAGCCCATATGAATATGGCAGAATCACTGCGAGCCTGAGTGTGTGGAGCAGCCACCAACTACTCACAGTAGCTAGCTAGATGTGAGGAAGTGTGAACTCATTAGGTTTCTCTGGTCTTACTGTCCACAAGGGAGGAAATCACTGACCTTGTAATAAGTTCTGATTCAAATGTGGAAACTAACCTGAACCCTCAGAGCATGTGTAGTTAAAGACTAAAGAGCATAAGGGCTTTGCTGTGAAGCCCAGGCTCTCTGAATTCATGAGCCTCCTGCCTCAATCATATGAATAACAGCTGCCCATAAATGCACAACTTCTCAAAGCATTTATTCAACTTTAAAAT